CCTCGTACCAGCAGTCGCCGGACGTCTCCCACGTGAGCTTCTCGAGCGGCAACCTCAACTACAGCTTCTAAGTGGATTCTGACTACTGTAGCTAGTACTTTCATATATTTCGAGCATCTAAGTTTTTTTTTCATATTTTTTTTGCGTAAATTTTCGTGGTAATTGATAAGAGGAATTGTGTAGGGCAAGCAAGAATAAATTTTGTGAGTGATGATAAACTGGCATTTGTTAAGGGGGTGGGGGCGGCGTTAGGGGCCTTCAAAGGGTAAGTATACTTCACAGAGAGCACAACTATGATATAATGGCTTGCTAATTTGCCCCTAGTCTTTCAAGAGCTGCGAATTCATCGGAATGTGTTCTAAAAATCAATAAAAAGAATGGCCATGGTAAATAAAAGTCAAGGGATCATATATTGCAAATGAGGTTAGGTTAGGTTCACGGAACAGGGATAGACTGATATTTAACCTTTAATGGCCAAACTATGATACAAGGGCTTGCTTATTTGTCTTTCAAGAGCTGCGTATTCATCGGGATGTGTTCTAAGAATAAATAAAAAATATGCCCATGGTAAATAAAAGTCAAGGGATCATATATTGCAAGTGAGGTTAGGTTAGGTTCGTGCAACAGAAATAGACTGGCTGATAGACATTAATGGCTCTTTTGTTGATTTATCACCGCTTATAATAGCACTTAATTAAACGGCATATATTTTACAGCGACTATCTCCGCTCATCTCTAACAAGCCATCGTGCTCACGTGCAATTAATGTTTCAATGTTCTTTGGATCGGACCGCCTTCGCAACCGTAATTGCGTGCTGCCATTGAGTCTGTTTACAGAGTTTATAATCTCGACGGAGCTCCTTGCGACTGCTCCCGCCCCCCGGCAGATCCATTTATCCCAGCGGGCAGCGAATTTCCATTGTGGGGGTATTAATAGATATCCATGGAAATGGGGTCCGCAGTTCGGGGTCCGGTTCAAGCACTCCGCTTGCCCCTCGATAGACATACCCCTGGAACATCCCCGGGCAGCAATGAATGGAAACAATTACCTTGGCTACCCCCTGGCTAAAGGGGATGGGGATGATGATGACCATGAGGCCGGGGGTCGGCTGTTCACAGCGATATCCAATGCAAACACGGATGGCGAGCATCGAATCCTCTGAGTGGCCACTTTCCACCTGTGCATCCATATCTGCACTGCGAGGAATCATCGAAGAACCTGGCTCATGGGGATGTGTACTTACCCAACATCAGTTTCCAAAGCTGCACTGCTGGACTCCATATACCGCCAATATACAAGCTAAGAACTGGAAAATACATTTTAAACCCAAGCTCAAAATGAAAAACATTTTAAATAAGGAAACGTAATTATTATGATGATTGTTTAAGTTTTTTATTAAAATGTTCAAAATTAAAAGTCAAATATATTGATGTTTATTAATTTATATTTTGTTTCGATTAAACTTAAACTCACTTTAAAAACACGGCTTCCCTGTACAGACTTAAGCCGTTTTTTTTACATAGTTTTATAAAATCAACTTAAAGGTGCCACTCCTGGATTTATATTTGATTCCATGATATCATTGTATTGGCTAGTAAATTAATTACTTGGAAATGAATAGTTTGTGCAAAGAGGATGTAATTTAATAGTGTTTTCCTCTCCTTCGCATCAAAAGATTATTATTAATTAGCTGCAGTCCCTGTCTTAAATTTCAATAATTTCTCTAAGCCTCATTAATACTTAAATACTTGTAAGTCAACCTACCCCACCTAAAATAAATAAGCCTATAAGCATTCTGCCCCATTCTATCTTCTTACCACATATAATCCAAACATGCTTATAATTTAAAATATCTTAAAGCCCAAGCTTAATATCAGGTATATCAAAAAGTCAATCACTCCCCGAACTTGTTAATATTGGCCTCAAAATGTTGATGCTCTTAAGTCGAGTTACCCCACTTTAATCTGCAAAATCTGTGGCCTTGCTGCAGGCAGTATAGACATAATTCTGGGTGGCCCACAACAATTGAGGCACTGTGTTATGCAATTTGAGGCCTCTGCCAGTCAGTCTCCCAGCCTCACGGCAATGCCGCACTTGTTGGCCAACAGGTGACAATCGAGTGGTTATTTTGGCCCCCGAGGGGCTGGCAAAAACGTGTCCTTGGAGGGGTTCTTGGCAGGACACCTGCTGGCAAGGCCATCCAGTGCAGCGGGCCAATGTAAACAGTAAGTGGAGCGCGAGCCAAGAGCAAAACGGAACCGGAATATGGAATGCGAGTCCTGAATCCGTAGCTAAAACACGACAATTGCATTAGACGGACGACCCGCTGACTAAGCCATTTCCACGAACATGAAGGCACCATAAGGCTCCGCAGGAAAAGGCTGCAAATATAATAAATGTGGTCGTGGTGGCCATCTGATTGCCGCCACGTACTGAAACTTATTCAATTTCTTGGCCAAATATTAATTGGTAAACGACGCAAAAGCGACTGAAATGGGGGATAAATTTCGACCCTCACCCCAACGGCATATTTGCATGGAAAATTCCAATTTAGTGTCGGCCGGGAAGATACACAAACACCAGGTAACAGCAAACAGAGAGCAGCAAAGGAAAGCCAAAGGAAAAGAAATGGAAAACTAGCCGTATGAGACGAAAAGCAAATATAGTTACTAAATAAGCCCACGTGTGCGTGCGTATCCTGTGAGTATTTTGTGAGAGGCATGTGTGTGCGTAGGACCGCATCCTGTTCATTTCCCCAAACGAGCTGGCAAAACAAAGCGCAGCATTCAGATACAAAGACAAACAATGAATTTCCCTTGGGCGGGATGGTGCTCCGCCCACCTGTGGCCAACTCACCTGTCCTGGGAGAACCCGAAAACTGCAGCAGGACTCCAAGGACAGGCACTCAAGTTTAGTTCCCTAATTAGCTGCATAATTAGGACGTAACCCCAAGTGGCCACGTTCTGACAGCTACACAGAGAAAATTATGACGTTCTGAAATTGAGTATTTGTATTCTCAATTTGAGGATGTACTCAATTTAAGTACAAAATTTGTGGAAAAAACTAATGTTGAGAAAAGCTTCACTCATTTTAAGTAAAAGGACTTGAATTGATCGCAAAATTCTAAGTTTGAGGAAATGTGTTCTTCAATTTCCAACTTGAGAATTAATATTCTCATTATGAGTAACCGATAAACTCAAAAATGAGTAGCGAATTCTCATAAGAATTTCTAGATAATTCCGTACTGCGAACGAGACGAGACAAGAGCGGCCTTAAGTTCGTTGCGTATGTGGCTGTCTCTCTCTCACTAATGGGTGTGTAAAGTGGTGCGCGCCGCATTTGTGTGACTGTCATTTGCCGTGTGATTTAGCAAAGTGAAGACGTGCGCAAGACACAAAGGTGAAAAACTATTTCAGTGAATTGGACATATGTGCGACCCTTCCGTACCTCGAGGGTAAGTTTTTTAATTTAAACTGTATTTATAATGTTCTAAATAATGATAAAATAAACAAACACTGCAAAAATATTGTCAAAGCGTGTACATTAATATGTATGTATGTGTGATTGTAAGTGGCGTGAAGCAGTCTAGTTTTGTTAGTTTCTACGTACATTGTACATACATACATACATATAATTTGTTAAATGCTTTTTAAATGTACATCTAATAACATTCTAATTTTATTGTTTCATGCTTATGTATATATGCTATATATTTACAATATTTGCTAACAATAACGTTTTCTTTTTCAGCCTCTTTGCTCTTCGCTAGACCAGACAGCTAAGGGAAAAAATACCATAGCCCAGAAAATGGAACATGTATATACATATATAAGTAACTGTATTACAAAATAAAATATAAAAAAAATATTTTACCTATTTTTCTGGAAATGGGTGGACCCGGGTTTAAGTGCAAAAGTTCTTCATTTGAGAATTTAGAAGAACACTATCAAGAACTTGTTTTTCATTTTGAGCGCTGGAAATTTCTCAGTATGAGAAAAGGGGATACTCGTTTCTAAAATTCAAGCTAAATTATTTCTTAAAATGAGTGCAGTTTGTACTCATATTGAGGAAAAATGTTCAAGAAAGAGCACAAATGGACTCAATTTAAGTACAGATTTTTTGAGAAATTTGTACTGAAAGTGAGTATTTTGCACTCAGTGTGAGAATTTTTGTTCATGCTGAATTTTTGAGTACAAAAATACTCAATTTGAGTCCAAATTACTTGAATAATTCTCTGTGTGTAGCAGTTGCCAAAACAGGGATTTGTGGAAGGCACTTTAAACGATTTCAAACGCAGTTTATATTTACGGTACTATACCGATAAGGCGGTAAAACTTATGCACGCATATTAGCTTAAAGGAATCTAACTTCGGCACGTCGATGCTTCTATACCCTTGCAGGTCGTTACCGTGGGAGCATTGTATGTACAGAGCTTTCCGATTGTAGAAAAACTCTAAACTAATTACAAAAACCTAATTCCATTTTAATTTACTACCGTAAATAAGCGAAATATGACTGTTTTTGTATTATTTTGACATTAATAATCCAATCATTCCTATGGCAGCTATATGATAAAGTCGTAACATTTGATTTAAATTTTATTCGAACTTCTAAAATATTAAAAGAATGATAATCCCAAGAGTAGAAGGTAATATGTAAATAAAACCCCAAAGTTATAAGTTTTTTGCATTACAAATTTTTTTTTATCCTTCCTATAGAAGCTATAAGATACAGCTGTCCAATCCGGCTCGTTCCGACTTATATACACCCTGCAATAGAAATACAACTTGGCAAGGTTTCATCCTGATAGCTTTAAAACTGAGAGACTAGTTTGCGTAGCGAATCAATTCAGTAGTTTTGATCCAGAAATCACTCAGTTTCGCTTCCCATCGATTCGTAAACAAAATGCTTCAAGTCCGGTGATATAGAATGCCATGACTTTCCTTTTGTTCGAACTTGGGTGGGCCCCTGTCTATAAGGTTCATTATCGTACGGCTTTCTGAACAGTTCACATCAATTTATTCTAAACTTGCTTTGTAAAATATTAAAAATTGGTTGTGCTACTTTACACCAACAAAAAACCCAACATTTAAAGAAGTGGTAATTTTTCGAAAGACAAGATGCTCTTAGTGCAAGTATTACCAAGTTTTGAAAATAGTCGAGATGAGGTGAGTCTGAGATTTTTCGTTTAGTCGTTTGCTGAAACATTCAATGACAGTTGCAACCACGCCTACCTTGGCTGAATTTTTCCAAATCTTTGAAAACAAATCTGACAAATCCAGTGCTGTAGATTGCCATGACTGTCCATTTGGTTGAACTTGGGTGTGCCCCTGACTATAAGGTTCATTTTCGTACGGCTTTCTGAACAGTTCACATCGATTTTTTTCTGAACTGGCTTTGTAAAATATTAAAAATTTTGTAGTGCTACTTATCACGAAAACAAAACCCGAAATTTAATTTAATTTAAGTGTCAATTTGTCACAAGCGCCAAGATGCTGTTAATACAAGTGGTTTAAAGTTTTGAAAATAGTCGAGATGTGGTGAGTCACATCAAATTTTCCAATACTTTTTCAAATATTACAAATATTTTAGTGGTTTTTTGCATCACAATAATCGAAATTTAACGTAGTGGTAATTTTTACACAACCCAATATCAAAAGTCATATATCAAATATAATCAAAATATGGTGGGTTTAAGATTTTATATAAGCTGTTTTGTTAGAATATTCAAGTTCGTAATGACAGTTGTCAGTTCGTTTACTTCGACTGAATTTTTCCAAATAACATAACAAATCATACTAATTTCCGAATAGTTCATATCATTTCATATACTAGTTTTGTAAAATCCTATAATTTTCTAGTTCTTTTACATTAACATAAAATACAAATTTCCGTAGTGTTATTTTTACACAAGCTAAAGTGTTTTTAGGTCCCAAATTCCTCTAGTATCGCGGCAATGGTAAAAATAAGCAAAGAGCTTTCAAAATAGCCGGCTTAATAATTTTGTTAGTGTGCTAATTTCGGATAATTTTAAAAGTTTCTCTTTTCTATCTAAGCGTTTGGACCAGCCAATCTTGTTTGAGATCGAGGATAACGCAAACATTCTGCATCTGTGCCAAAAGCTGGAGCCTATAACGGCGATACCCCTGTACGAGATTAAAATCGAAAAATTAGGCAAGGGAATAGACAATAACGAATTGATTTCTGATGTTTTGGATGTGGGGACTTCTGAAGATTTGGGAACGGACGCTGAACTCTCTGTCCTACACGGCAGCTCATTTGTGGCGAAGATAAAATTCTACAAACAAGCACATAAAAACGGAGAACCGCTCAGCCACGAATACTACGGGCTTCCGCAAGAGATGATCAAGGTAAATATAAAGGCGGGCGAAATAATGCGATAATATTGGTATCCTTAACGTAATTTTTAATTTGGCGAAAACCATTATTCCTTAGCGCAATGGTACTCTTCTCACAGGACGATCGGCTCAAGTCGCGGATCCTGAGCCGATCTCTAGCTTTGAAGAGGAGGAGCCGACCTGTTGCGAGATCAGATCAGCGAATTTGCTATAAAGAAGTGTAATTGTAACTGCTTAGCTTAAAAAACCCCTTGCCTCTCCTGCTTTTCCTGATGGTGCTCCCAGCTGTAACGTAGTCAAATCGATGTCGTTAATGTAGCCAAAGATCTACTCCAGATGGTTCCAGTTGGATATCATGTTCCGCTCGAAAGGGCTTTTCGTTGGAATTTCGTTGCCCACCTGGACTTCGGCCGGTGACTTCACAGCCGCTCCAGCCCACGACCCACTCATTGTCGATCACCAGAATGCAGCTTAACTCGTGAGTTTTCATAAAAAAAGAAGCCAATCTGATGATGTAGAACGCCATGACTTTCTATTTGTTCGAAATTGTTTGTGTCCTGTCTATGTTAGTTTCCGTACGGCTTTCGGAACAGTTCAGATCAATTTTTTCTGAACCTGCTTTGTAAAATATTAAAAATTTTTAAGTGCTTCTTCACACCAACACATGTCTTAGATTTTTCATTTTGTCGTTTGCTGGAACATTCAATGACAGTTGCCCATACGCCTACTTCTGCTGAATTTTTCCAAGTCATTGAAAACAAAATCCGGTGTTGTAAAGTGCCAACTACTTGTGGGTGGCTCTTTCTATTAGGTTAATTTCTATTAGGTTAATTATCAGTTCACATACATTTTGCTAATGCTTGTTTTGTAAAATATAATAAATCAATGTTTTTGGTGCTACTTAAAAACTTTGTGATACATTTAAAGTGGTAATTTTTACACAAGTCAAAATGCGGCAATGGTAAAAATAAACAAAGCTTACCAAACATTCGGCTCAATAATTTATTTAATGCGCTAGTTTCGGACAATTATGTTTTTATTCTCTATCCAAGCCTAAGTAGTAGCCAATACTATTTGTTGGCATGCAGATTCCTGAGCTTCTTGCGCACCGCAAGTTTGTTTTAGCAAGCTGCCACGCCCACTCTAACGCCCACAAGCCGCCCAAGATTGTGGCTCCTACAGTTTTGATGCTAGAATAAAAATTTTAACTGAAATTTATTGTTCTCATCAATACCTATCGTTTGACCCAAAAAAGTGTGCCACGCCCACTTTAACGCCCACAAACGTAATCGTAAATATGAACGCGGATATCTCGGAAACAATCATAGATAGAGAATTGGGATTTCAGATTTAGATTCCGTAGCCTTGTACGCAGCGCACGTTTGTTACGCGAATATGCCATGCCATCTCTAACGCCCACAAACCGCATAAGCCTGTGGCGCCCGAAATTTTCATGCTAGAAAAATATTTTAACTGAAATGCATTAGTCTCGTCAATACCTATCGATTGACCAAAAAAAAAGTTTGCCACGCCCCCTCTAACGCCCATAACGCATAAATCTGTCTACCGCCCACATAACCATATATTGAGATCACGGGTAGGTGGCAGATTTCAATCTCGATTTGCTACTTGCATATCTCCATTTCCCTTTGGTCCCATTAGCTGAGTATAAAACACCGAATCTTTATATAAAACAGAAAACTGTGCACTGCAGTATTAGCTTGCAGTACCAACAACAACACAACTTTCATATGAAATTAAAATCAAGATGTGTGTGTCAAATATGTCATATTTCAAAGAGCTTGATGTCATTATAATGCCAATATTTTATGTGATTGCAGATGAATTGATATCATTTTTAAAGGATATACACATGTCAAAACTTCAGAATAGACTTTCCACCCGAGCAATTGTTCAGTATACTGCGATGGCTCGTCTAGTCAAATGGTGTTTATACATCTTATATTTTATCGGGCGTACTACAGGCCTTATAAACTTTGAGGTGGATTTGAAAACGGGTCGACCTAAAGTTACTAAAAGAGCTACAACATGTGCAGTCTGCTTGCAAATACTTATCCTCATCTCAATTACTTACTTGCTGATAAAAGCGGAGTTTTTCACCATGTCCTTAAGGAATGCTAACGCTCTTCATGAATACACGTCTCTGTTTGTAGAATGCTCTCGATTGATTTGTGTTATCACGGCTTTGGTCAGTCGTTGGACTCATCGTAGGAACTACATTCGACTCTACAACTCGTTCCGCCGGCTTTTTCAAAACCATCCTGAGATAGTCAAGTATTGCCAAAGAAGCATCATTATCAAGTGCCTCTGTGTTAAAATATCGGAGATAATACAAGTTGTGACTATTTTTTATCTAATAAGATTTAACCTTACTATAGACGTTTGTATACGCATTTGGAATATGATGAGCGTAGCGCTTATAATAAATGGAATTGCTACCCAGTTTTTTATTGCTATGGCCAGTCTTCGAGGGCGCTATATCCTTCTTAATAAGGATTTGAAAGCGCTTCTATCCGAAACACAAGCCCTTAATCCTTGCAAGAGTGGAGTGTTTATGACCACTTGCTGTAGCCTTGCCGATCGCTTTGAAGAAGTATCTAATTCCCAATCTGAGTTACAAGCTCTTATCAAATGGCTTTTAAGAACCTACCAAGTTGAGGTCGTGATCACGACCATCATTAGTTATTTAAACTTGGTGGGAAATTTTTACGTATTATTCATCTTTAAAAAAAACCGGAACTGGGTAATATATTGGCCCAAGAACGTAGCAGTTTATTTTACTTTATTCACAGCCTATTACTTCATTGACTATCTGCTTAACATGTACAATATATTTGACGTGCTGGAAGCTCACGAAGAGATGGTGCAACTGCTAAGTCAACGGACTCTCTTCAAGCCAGGCTTGGATCAAAGATTGGAGGCAGTTGTGAGTCGAAAAGAGCACCAATAACTTTTAAGTTAATACATTTTCTTTCAGATTGAATCCTACACACTGAACCTGGCCCGAAACCCATTAGAAGTTAGATTTCTTGGCTTATATAACAGTGACAGATTTGCATCATTTGCCATACTTAACTCTTTTTTGAACCACATAATACTACTAATACAATATGAAATTGAACACTTTTAAAACTGTTAAATGTAAATAATGCTGATTAAACTTAAATTTAAAATACAAGTAAAATAAAGTGAGTATGTGAGAAATGCTCCTAAATTTGTATTAATTGAAATTAAATGCAGAGTAAAGCGTATCTGATAGTCGAGGCACTCGACTTAAGCGTTTCTTCTTGTTATACCCGTTACTCGTAGAGTAAAAGGGTATACTAGATTCGTCGAAAAGTATGTAACAGGCAAAAGGAAAATTTCCCGACCCCATAAAGTATATATATTCTTGATCAAGATCACTACCCGAGTCGATCTAGCCATGTCCGTCTGTCCATCTGTCCGTCTCGGAAACTATAAGAGCTACAATACTGGGATTAGTCATGCAGATTCCTGAGATTCCTGCGCAGCGCAAGTTTGTTTCAGAAATGTGCCACGCCCACTCTAACGCCCACAAACCACCCAAGACTGTGGCTCCTACAGTTTTGATGCTAGAATATAAATTCTAACTGCATTTATTGTTCTCATCAATACCTATCGATTGACCCAACAAGGTTTGCCACGCCCACTTTAACGCCCACGACCCGCCCAAAAACTTCAAAAAATCGTAAATATGAACGCGGATATCTCTGAAACTATCAAAGATAGAGAATTGGGATTTCAGATTTCCGTAGCCTTGTTCGCAGCGCAAGTTTGCTACCCGGATATGCCACGCCCACTCTAACAACCACAAACCGCCCAAACTTGTGGCGCTCATAATTTTCATGCTAGAAAAACATTTTAACTGAAATGTATTAGTCTCGTCAATACCTATCGATTGATCCTAGAAAAGTTGGCCACGCCCACGCTAACGCCCACAAACCGCCAAAGCCTGAGGCGCCTTTTAATCTCACTTTACTACTTGCATATCTCCATTTCCCTTTGGCCCCTTTAGCTGATTAATGCACAGAGAGAATTATTCAAGTAATTTTCCCTCAAATTGAGTATTTTTGTACTCAAAAATTCAGCATGAACAAAAATTCTCACTTTGAGTGCAAAATACTCACTTTTAGTACAAATTTCTCAAAAAATTTGTACTTAAATTGAGTACACTTGTGCTCTTTGTTGAACATTTTTTCTCAATATGAGTACAAACTGCACTTATTTTAAGAAAAATTTTGACTTGAATTTTAGAAACGAGTATCCCCTTTTCTCATACTGAGAAATTCCAAGCGCTCAAATTGAGAAACAAGTTCTTAATAGTGAACTTCTAAATTCTCAAATGAAGAACTTTTGTACTTAACCCGCTCCACCCATTCCCAGAAAAAAGGGTAAAAATATTTTTTTTTTATTTTATTTTGTTCTACAGATATATATATATGTACATATGTACATATTATTTTTTATTTCAGTTTGTGTTCCGTGTTCTAGGTTATGATATTTTTCCTTAGCTGGCTGGTCTAGCGGAGAGCAAAGAGGCTGAAAAAGAAAACGTTATTGTTACCAAATATTGTATATATATATGCATGTATAAGCATGAAACAATAAAATTAGAATGTTATTAAATGTACATTTAAAAAGCATTTAAAAAATTATATGTGTATGTATGTACAGTGTACATTGAAACTAACAAAACTAGACACGTGCTTCACGCCACTTACAACCGCACACACATACATATTAATGTACAGGCTTTGGCAATATTTTGGCAGTGTTTGTTAATTGTATTATTATTTAGCGCATTATAAATACAGTATAAATTAAAAAACTTACCCTCGAGATACGGAAGGGTCGCACGAATGTCCAATTCACTAGAATAGTTTTTTAGCTTTGTGTTACGCGCACGTCTTCACTTTGCCAAATCACACGGCAAATGACAGTCACACAAATGCGGCGCGCACCACTTTTCACACCCATTAGTGAGAGAGAGACAACCATATACGCAACGAAATAAAGGCCGCTCATCACTCGTCTCGTTCGCAGAACGGAATTCTCTAGAATACTTTATGAGAATTCGCAACTCATTTTTGAGTATATCGGTTACTCATATTGAGAATATTAATTCTTAAGATGGAAATTGAAGAACACATTTCCTCAAACTTAGAATTTTGTGATCAATTCAAGTTATTTTTCTTAAAATGAGTTCAACTTTTCTCAACATGAGTATTTTCCACAAATTCTATACTTAATTTGAGTACATCCTTAAAATGAGAATACAAATACTCAATTTGAGAACGTCATAATTTTCTCTGTGTGGGTATCTGATAATCGAGGTACTCGACTATAGCGTTCTTCCTTGTTTTTAATTTGGTGAATTCCATTCATTCCTTAGCGATATGGTGCTGTTCTCGCGGGACGATCGGCTTAGGTCGCGCATCCTGGCCGCTGGCGATGGTTTTAAGGTTGAGCCGACCTCGAGCTTCGATGAGGAGAAGAAGAAGCCCTAGTGCGGGCTACAGATCAGCGATAAATTTCCAAAAATCTGACGCGACAAAGAATTTGTTTTCGTCGTTTTGCGTGTGATTCAAGATCCGAGAATGGGTGCGAGCCTAACCGTATTCCATGACAAAGTTTATGTGGCTTACCTATGGTTTTATAGCCAAGAGCATATTTATGGGCAACCATTTGAGGGACATTACCGCCAATTCTACGTGTCTCAGGATTCCTGTGCGTCGACCTCGTGCGAGTCGACCTCGAGCTTGGAGGAGGAGCAGCCAAGAGCAGTCTTCAAAGTAGCGATCAGGGAATATCACCATCATAATTGCTGGTTATATTGTATAAATGTAAACTGCAGCCCACCGAAAACATATTTTATTATAATTTGATGTATTAATATAAGCATTAATATTATTTTCTTGTGGTACTTGGATTCTAAATGAGCATAGATTTAGTGACATGTCCTTATTCTCACCCCTTATCAATATCCTGTTTATTCCAGTTATTTAAGCTGGTCAGCCAAGGGCAAGCTCACAGTTCCTAAATGTAATTTTAATTGTATACTTTTCGACGGATTTTATATACCATTTTACTCTACGAGTATCGAATATTAAGATAAAATAACTTAAACATCGAAATAAACAAGCAAATATCTTTATATCTGATGATATCTGAGGTTTTAATACAAGTACACAGTCTTTTTGTACGGTTCCAGTGCATGGAGTACCGGAGAAAGAGAAAAATTATATAGCAGATTCATCCCGACATCAGTTTTCTGCTCACCCGATGATTTAAGGTATGAAGTATTTGCATTAAGGCACAATAAAGCACTTTAATGAACACACAATGAGCGAGAAAAGAGGTTTATTTATATTTTGAATTGGCCCTGGCATGGCTCGGCCCCCAACTGCTTTTCCAGTTATTCCGGCTCAGAGTTATCCTTGTTGATGGCTCTTGAAGCCGTCGTCCTTGGCGCCCCATCAGCCCCATCATTCAACTTTGTCCGACTTAGCCGGCCAGCTCTGACTTTCACTCTCCCGCGGACGCAGTGACATTTTTAATGCCATCGAATTGCTGCGGATCTCTTTCTAGGCAGTATTTTAGGCCAGGACCGAAATAAACGGGTTCTCATCTATTTCGGGCCATGTGCGATGCCCGATGTGACGTAAATTGGTTTTCTGGACCTTTGCGCTTTCACTTGGTATTTGGCGGACTACACTCGCCATATTTATGGTCGCTGGCACAGTGCGTTTCATGGCGGGAAGTTACCGCGATGGCCCGGCACAGCGACTGTCGCTTTTCAGCTGAAAGACTTACGCTTATGAAACGGGCATCGTGTTATGCGCCATAAAGTATGCTGATCAACTGATGCGTGGCAAATAAATCTCGGCCTGCTTCTGCTCCGCATCATGGCCAAAAAAGCAGAGCACTGCAGTGCTTGCATCCTATCATATCATATATCATATTGCGACAGGCCAAGTCCCCAGTCCCGAGACCCGATCCCCGTCCACCATCATTTGCCAGCCAGTTATAACAATGAGTTTATTTTTTTCCAACATTTCCACATGCATTTCGTTTCAGTTTACAAAATAAGTTTAAATACAACGTAAATTCAACCGCGATAAAAAAAAAAAACACATTCAGCAATGCGGGATGGGGGACGGGATGGTCTAAGCTCTGGGGCCGGGCCAACAACACGTTAATAAAAACGGAGCGTGCGGGGTGCGCTGCATCCCCCGTGCCCATCTCCGTTGCCCAGGTGGGTTGAGGTCAGGTGGGGTTGGCTCCGTAGAACGGAGAACGGCGCACAGGTCACAGGCTCTCGGTGCAGTTAACAAATTGAGTTTTAATTAAGGCGAACGGCTACCGACACGCTCTGGGTATTATTGTTCCTATTAGTGTTGTTAGCCAGACGGATCTATGGGCGAGTGGGGCGGTGGCGGGGGTGGAGCGGTGCGGAGGCGGTGGCGTTGGGCGGTGGCTCCCCTAGTAGCCATAGTGAATGCCGTGGCCGGAGACCGATGTGTGCACAAGGGCGGGTGCGGCGACGGCAGCCCTGAAAGACGGGGGTGGCGATTATGAGGCAACCTTATTAATATGGTCCTACGAGCTGGATACTCACTTCAGAACGGGCCCGCCCAGATGCGTGGCATAGGCAGGGGCGGCGTAGGCGGGGGCTGCGTATGCGGGGGCGGCCAGTCCGATGCCATGTCCAATGATTCCAGGAGCTGTGGGATGGCACACAACACAGAACGTTAGCAGGTTTTAATGCAAAAATACACATAACAAGCCAAGACACGGGAAAAAGATGGACAGAGACAGATGGCCGGGCTGAAAGAGATAGTCGCCGAGGAGGTCGAGATAGAGCTTCCCCAAATTAGCATCGTGTCCATTGTTTGGACAATACACCGGCCCCTGGACTCCCCAGCCCAATGCGCCACTTAAAGGTTGTCAACGGCAACCGGCTGACATGCCCTGACCACCACCCACCAGGCTCGTGGCACAACATTCTGCACAGGGCCAAAATACCAAGTACTCCGCTCTTAACCATTGGGAATTTCAGTTCCCTTGAGATTTTAGTTTGCTTTGGTTGTTTACACAACATTTCCGAGCTTGGGAACTTAAAAAAATATTTTTGGACTGTCAAAATACAAACAGAAACCATTTAAAGCTTCCAAGGACTCATATTACATTTAAAGATTATATATTATATGTGAAATTGTAAGTATTACAATATTAGAGTTTTAATATTTTTGCTAGGATTTCTATTCTATTCTATGTATATTCTTTGTATAATTTATAAGTATTTGCGATACAATTTCTTTCCGTGCAATGTCCTTTTGGTCAAACTACCCCCTGCTGTGAAAAACGTCCATGGCTTGAAAATTGTCCACATAATGGAAATAAGGACAGGAAAATAGCCATGACGTACATTTTAAATCTGCGCATTATAAATATTAAAATTAATAACACTTGGAGGTACTTTTCTCTCCGTGCACTATGCACAAACTGTGGAACCGTCAGCCAACATCAATCAAGTGACACCCAAGTGAACGGGAACGGTGACTGGCCGATTCGGTGATTGGGTGACTCGCTGACTTGGACGTGGCCAGCTGAATCAGCACACAGGAAAAAAAGTAAGGAACTGTTTTCTCTCAAAATTCAAAATTTCAAATCGATGAAGAGAGAAACAAGCCCAAAATTACTTTGGGTAAGATCGAGACAGCACTCCGAAATGGAACAAGAGAGCAAGAAGCTAAATGGTAAACATATCAAAGTACCTAGACAGAATCAAAACTGATTTCCATCAAAGTGATCATTATAACTTAAGCATTATTTTCTCTGTGTAGCACTAGGATGCAGTTTTGGGACCACCTTGCCGTGTAGAACACGCCTTGGCCGTTGCTTTAAAGCCTCCACAAAGGATAGGCAATGAATGATTGATTACTCGCCTGGACTGATGGTTACCTCACCGCCGAATTCCCACACCCACTGGGCAGTTGTATCTGTTTTCTAGCAAGACAAATCGATTGCGGACGAACCCAAAACCGATTATCCCTTTTGTTGGCTGTTTCCCTGGGATGTTGGGATATGTATCGATTGCCTAAGGCTGCTAGGGGAACCCCTATCCTTATCGACGGGCAAAGGGAAATGATCATTGGGGGCTTTAACGTCGACAGGCCTTTTCATTTTAAATCCTAATCATTTGTGCCTTATCGCCGTGATCTCTGTGATGTTTTTTACCCACCTGGCACTTTTCAAGGCCCAACTAGAAACAATTTGCCTGAAAGTTTTCCTCTTAGCTTGCTGTATCAAAACGATCTCCAAACAATGTGAGCCCCCCTCTCCCATTTGACGTTATTAACTTTGGAGCCAACACTATCCCATATCTCAGAAAACGTCCACCCCACATCACATCCCTCTGTCTGATGGAGCGAAACTTGCACTTTGTGCTTTACCCGGGGCAAAGTTTGTTTTTGCCAAGTGCACTTGGCCAGCACGGCGAAAACACAATAAAGTTCTTTTGCTGCTAGCAGACTGGAAAACTCGTGGCAAAATTAGTTGAAAATCGCTGAGGAAACAGAATTGGGGAATACAGAAGCGTGCGAAAAGTGCGGAAGAGTGAAGTTAGAGCGGGGAGGGATGAGCGTTAGTTACTCCAGGATGCTGGATCCCAGATCCTGGTCACCTACCGTACGAGGGAGCAGCGGCGTACTTCACAACCGGAGCAGCGGCGACTGGGGCGTGGGCCAGATATCCGTGGGAGATGGCCGGAGCGGCGCTGTAGGATCCATAGCCGCCATATCCATAGCCTCCGTAGCCCCCGTAGCCTCCCAGGCCCAGGTGTCCCAGGGAGTGGCCCAGGTGGCCCAGTCCGGAGATCTGCACGGCCGGAGCCGTGGCCGCGTAGTGTCCGCCGTAGGCCACGCCCTGGATTTGGGCGGGAGCCGTGTGTCCGGCGTAGCCCAGCGAGTAGGCGGGCGCGGCGATGGCGTGGGCCGGAGCAGCTTTGGTTTTTCATTTCCAATTTTGGGTTAAAAGTGTTAACAACCAACTAGGCAGTGATGGCAGGCAACTAAGTGTGTTCTATCTGTTTCAAATGATTCTATCGGAGGTATATCTTCCTGAGATCTAGTTCAAGTATTATCTGAGATAGACCTACACAGAAAATTATTCATTTCGCTTTCTATAAAAAGCTATATTTACATTATAGTTGCCCAACTTTGCTTTACTATTTTTAAATATTTTAGATATTATAAAATATTGCAGACAATTTTAATAAATTCATTCGTCTTTTAAATGTATAAAATTTTTGCTGGTTTTATTTTAGTTGTTTTAAGCACCCTTTGTGAATAAGTTATGCATTACAAAGAAAAAACATAAGATAAATATGCAAAATAAAATGTAACTGAAATGGGAGAAGGTCTCTAGACAACTGAATTTTATAAAGTGATAATCGCAATATCGATTAATTAGTTTGTGGGCTAATCATTTAAAAATGCAAGCACACAGAGAAAACTATCTAAGAACGTTGTTCTTAAATTGAGAACATTGTTCTTGAATTGAGAACATTCGTTCTTAAAAACCGTGTAAGTACATTTTGGTATCAATATAAGAACGAAATGGTGAGAAGAGAAAAGTTAAATTGAGTTTACCTAACAACTTTTTGATAAATATACACTAAGGACTGAATTAAATGTTTATTTGTACTTACAATGTACTTAAATACCGCGAATTCAACTTGATTCGAGCAAAATAAAAACATTTTCAACTTAAAAATGTCGTTCAATTTTTAAGAACATTTTCAACTCAGACAGAAACGTCAGAATTATTTCTGTGTATCTAGAGAATAAACATAAATCTGCCGAATTTCACTTAAAGGTGGAATTGAACCTGAACCATCACTGCGTCTACGTGCAGGGGGGTGAAAGGTGGTGGGTGTGAGTGGTGTGAGCTTGTGCTGGGTGGTGCGGCGGTGTTTCTCTTGTGGATTGGGTGGGCTTGGGTGGATGGATGTGACCGATGCAGATCCTGGAGGATCCGGCACTCACCTGCGTAGCCGTGGGCGGCGACGGGCGCCAGGCCGGCGTCATTGCTGATGCTCGAGCGCTGGACATGGGACTGCGAGTGGGCCGTCTGCACCTGGCTGGCGTAGTCCGACTGGGAGGACTGGCCGTAGTGGCCCTTCACCGTGTGCTCCTGGGTGCTGCCCACGGAGGCGTGGTCCACGCTGGGGGCGCTGATCGAGTAGGCCGCCGGGCCGCCGGGCTTCGCCTGGGCACAGGCGATCATCGCCAGCAGAGCCACACAGAGGACAACCTGCGGATGGGCAATATTTATGCGGAATAGTATAGTAGTACATCGGTGTCTGCTTTTGGCGCAGTTCGACGCTCTGCAGGAAATTGCAGGCGAACAAACTTTTAATTAAGTTGGTAAAGTTGTCCCCGGGCAAATAGTTGGCACATAACCTTGAAAGGGTGCTGCACAGATGTCTATCGCCTAATCGAAAGACATGCAGAGCTGTCCAATGCGAAAACAGTTTGTAAATAGGTAAATCGTTAGCTGATTGGGGAAAATTCTATTTTCGGAGAGCAACGACATAACAATCAGCATCTCAGTAAAAAGGTAGGGCTATCAGAAGAGCCAAATTATTATGTAAAAATTTGGTATTTTTAAATGCAATGATGGCATCACATTAAAAATTTAAAATTCTCACAAGTTCTATTTCAATTTGAACAAAATGCCCTTTGGACCTTTGGCCTTTTACCACTTGATTTTCTTTCATATTTTATGGCCGATTACCAGATGCCTATTCCTGGACAACTCTATTTTTAGAGAGCAACGAAATGGCAATCAGCATCTTAGAAAATGGGTGGGGCTATCAGAAGAGTTAAATAATGATGCAAAAATGGCTTTAAAATGGTAAATTTCCTTTTAAATGCAATGACAGCCTCACAAAAGGTAATTGAAAATTAAAAATTCTCACAAGTTCTATTTTAATTTGTACCGAAAGCCCTTGAAGTGGTCCTTTTGGCCTTTTACCAATCGACTTCTTTCATAATTCATGGCCTATTCCTGGCTCAAAGTGACCCAGATTCGGGCCTCATAATGAGTAGCCCCTTGACAGCGCACAATTAGCATGCGTGTTGGTCTTGCTCTCGTTTCCATTGCCTTGGGCATTGAATTTAAATTGCGAATCGAGCCGAGATCGAAATGCATTTTCAATTGGCCGGATGAGGTCGAGTGTGGGTCTGGTCAGGAGCCATCGGCCCTGAGTCCTGAGCCCTGAGCCATGAGCCATGAGCCACGAGCAGAAGCCAACCCAGTTATCCTGACAGCAAAAGAAATACAAAAAAAGGAACCACAAAGGAGTGCCCCCATCCTGTTGACTGGCGAGTGACGAGTGAAAGGATAACAAGTGCAGGCAACTTGTATCTCTGGGCATCTGACTCCTTCTGCCCGTCAATCCGACTGCCAGTGAAGGGCCACAACAGGGTTTGCAACCTGTACTATCACGCACCTTGAATGCCATTGTAATGTAGTGATTCACTCAAAAAAATTCGACTCAACTCGATTGGATTGCGATTGGTAACTGTCTCGGTTAGCCGTTCTTTGGGCCTATTTATACGCCTGCAGCCGCCGCCACCGCCGGTCTGCTCTCAAAATATGGTGCAAAATAAATATAAAAAAAATTGAAAATCACTGGAAAAACAAAAAAAGTGGCAGCGGCGATGAGAACGGGTTTTCATTAGTTGGCAAAGCAGGCAGAAAAACGCGCAGGCGCGCCGCTCTACGCAATACCAGGCCACCCCCGCCCCGCCCCCTTTCGGTGCCGCCCATGGCAGAGATCGCCTTTCGTGTTAATAGCATCGATTGTTTAATTGGAAATTTGTCCGCACTTGTCCGAATGCGGCTAAAGGAAATGCCAGCGGACAAGGTGAACCCACTGAACCCGCTCGAATCGATAGTTGCTTTTCGATTTTTGATTTTTGATTTTCAGCCACCGAACCAGCGCAGTCTTCGACGCGTTCTCATTACCAGGCCCCGTATCACTCACGTGGCTCCTGTCAAGTGCTTTATTAATGGACTCCCCGATTTTCCATTTCCCACCACCACACCCGGTGCGTTGCACACTCTTTTTTATTTTGGCCCAGCCTGCGGACATTTTGTGTTTAACTTTTTAGACTTTTCATACCCCGCAATTGAGGCTTTGAGTGGGCATAGTGGCCAGCACTTTATGGAGCTCTTTTATTAGGTAAGCACACTTTGGGAAACTATGAAATTATATTAAATTTGTTGGCAAAAAGTTCAGAGGGTCCAGAGAAGGCATAATGTGTGTTGTGCATAGTTTGCCATATGATGCATATTAGATGTCACCAATGGTTGTGGCTGCAACCATCGAAATCAAGGATAGTAAAATGCTTTTTTATTTCAGGGTTTTCATACTATAATTAAGTATATTATACTCTATTTCATTACGAGACTTATGGATGTTTAGCATTAGTATAAAAAATCTAGCTTAAATGGGGTCTCCATTCACAACCGTTAATAATATGTTACGAACAAAACATGTTACGAATTTATCTTGAATCATAAATAATGTTCTTGAATTTGTTGTTGTACAGATATATTATCACTGAGATTCTAATCAAATAGTTTTGATATTCAGAAAATATAAAATAACAAAATTCATATGTTTTAAAGATTATTAATTTTTGAAACTTAAATACTTAGTTTCATATAGTTACACTAATTTAGGAATTTGAGTTATGTTTCATTGCATGGCTTAATCTATGAGAATATCATTATAAAAAAGAAAAATATAATGGTAGCCATGAATATTTATGCTTCGAATTATCGATTTTAGATAATTTATTTAAGAAAAAATCTAAAGTTAGAATTGGTTTGTTAATTCCTAATAATATTTGTTCCCATTGAAGGTGGTTAATACCACCTAGTGGGTATAGCTCAGACCGAATACCCGACCTCCCAGTTCCCATTTGTTATTTTTTTGCTAGTTCTCACGCAGCCGCCGCCAAATGGGCGCGGAAATTGGGCGATCGGATTGGATCGGGTCGGATCGGGGTGCTTTAACCGAGAGTGGGAGCCCCAGAGTCGAAGATTGGAACTGGGGGTATTGTATAGGGGGTATTGCAAACGGGCCTGAGGACTTGGCAGGCCTGGCTCTGATTGCTCCGCATTTCGAAAGGCAGCGGCAGTGGGCACGATTTTTGGACAGGGAGGCCTTTTTGCTAGTTTTTGATTTGTGATTTCTGATCTAAGCCATTTTGTTGCTGGTTAACAATTTTTTGTGGGTCGCTCGCAATTTATGCGCACTTTGTGCGTTGTCGTGGCGAGGGACAGATATACTCACTGAGAGAAAATGGTTTAAGCAATCGTTTTTGCAATTATATATATAAAATAAAAACTGATTGATAAAGTTAAGTTATTTTTTCAGTCTAGTAAATAGAGTATATTAAGTTAAGTTAATACATTTTTTTTTGTTATTATTTATTTATTTATTTTTAAATTAGTTTCAAAACTATGTACATAAAACAGGGCGGTCCAATTTATTAAATCCTACTCATACCCGTTTTTATAAAGCTTTAAATGTAAAAAATTCCTTTGAATGTTAAACATTTTGTATGAATTTTAGGTGTTACGTAAGGGTCTCAAAGTTCTCTTAAAAATTACGCATACAACATGTATGCAAGTTCGATTTGCTTAAAGAAAAAAAATGGATTTCCCCTTGCCAACATTATCAACCTTATGATCTCCGTTGATAACATTAAAAAATTACATACATTGTTTTGGTTGGAAAGGTGACAAAGGTAAAAATAATATATTTGATTAAAGGCAACAATACGTATGAGTAGTAAACTTTGGCGTCAATGCGCAGAGTCTAAGTCGCGTTTTTACGAAAAAATATTTTCGATATGTGTTTTTTTCTTCAACGCACAACAATTAGGATGGTACTTTCACCACTTTCACTGTTAAAAATGTTAGAAAATAAAATAAAATTTCTTATTTGCAGAGTCCAATGTATTCTTTAAAGTAGTTTTAGAATGGAACAATGGTTTTTTATTATTTTGACGAGGCAATAATAATATATTTACCAATTTAAGCCAGCTTAGTCGCCTATTTCTCTGTGTGTGGGCCACATGTAGACTGGGCCAGGGAGCGTTATGTAATGGCCCACAGCTGGCTGTCCGCCTGGGAGCAAGCTCACAGAGGTTTCGCAACCAAGGCGACGCTGGGAAATTGCTAGCATTTTCCAACTGTCAACCGGGGGAACCTCAGCCAAGGAGAGCGAGTGGGACTCCCGAAACTGAGTTCGGAATCTGGGTGCAAAAGTGCAGCCAACCTTCAGAGCAAATGCTCAAACGCACAGCGGGGTTTTTCCGGGAGGAGCGGTCAGTAAAAGCATTATCAAGCAGGAGATGGCGCCACTTGTTTTGGCATTGCCAATTCTGGGGAAGCACACAATGAGACAGAGTGGTAGTGCACGGAAAAAAGTGTCTCCGACCACTTAAGTCACATTTATAACCATACAGAGGAATTTCGGTAATACTGTTATGTTAACTCCATCTAAACCGATTTCATTAGGTGATATTATGAAACCCGAAAGTAAAGAGAAGGATTCATTAGGCTTCGGGGTAGCCTTTCACTATCTGTTGATTATTCAGTCGGGCCAACTTGGTTTTTATTATTGAAAATTAAAATTTTGATGTGATTTTGGTTTCTATTTGAGTTAGTAGTATCAGTACCGTAGTCAGAATTTGGTTACGGGGCCGGTTTCCAAACAAATGTTTCATATCACACTTACAAACTCAATTTCTGTATGGGACTTCTCCTGAAAAGGGGGTTCGGAGAGGGGTTTTAAGTCTGCCAAGCCCCCCTGGCTATGCCCCTGATCAGTATATATAAGATACTTCTTACTTACATAACTCTTAGCTATTGTGCCTGATACAGCACAGCAATTACACCTGCAATCAATGTGGCAATAGAAACTCTCGGAACACTCCATATATCATCGTCATTCTTACATTTTTATTGTGTTTGGCTCAGTGTGAAAGTGCGGGGCGAAGTCAATTCCCGATGCAGCGGCAATCATCGATTGTCATTGTTGATGAGCCACCCCCTTTGAAACGACGCCCTTGCAGCCCGCTGTTCCATTGTGTAATGGCGTGATGTTTCAATTACCGCCCATCACAGCCATTCCACCGATAGAGCCCGCGATAAATACACAATGCCAGCTCTGCGGGCGTCGCAATCTGCGAGCTTTTTGTCTCCGACATTAATTTGTATAATTGCAATGCCAATACAGGACAAGCAGTCCGGCCAGCCAAGTGCAGCGAGGCATAGCCATCTCGATGTCCTTTTGCCAGCGGGCCACCACTTTCCCACCCACCCACTCCACCACCCACTTTACCACCCACTCCACCAGCCAGTTCACCCACCCGTCACACTCTGCTGTCCAGTCGGGCGCAACATTTCACGTCTATATGGGTCAAAAAGGCGCAGACGACGAGCCAAAACAAAGCCAAACAAAGCCACAGGGAAATTTTTGAAAAAGGCTAAGGATCGATTCCTGACGAAATGTTGATATCCTTTTGCAAATCTTGAGGCCAACGCACCAACCATAAAAATAAGTATCAGACAAATCGGAGGTATATATTAGGCATGATGATTAACTTGATGATTTTACATATGATTTTGTATCCGAGAGTAGTTGATATATATCATATTATTTTTGTAATTATTTAAATGAATGAAATGGTAGGTAAATGGTAAGGAAATGGTTGAAACCGGCTATGTTTACAAGAGGCATATACTTTTAACTCTTTCTTCATATTTTTGGATATAAATATATGTGTTTATACTGCAAATTAATAGGTTTGTTAAATTAGTTATGTCAGCTCTGTGTAAGAAGATCTTTAAATTAAAATCCCAAGAAAATATGCGTCTGGAAATAGTTTCCACTGAAACCCTTGAAATGGAATTTCTACATCAACATGTCCTAGATGAGATTTACAGGGTATCACCGCGATGGACAATGACTGACAGCCGTTGCAGTTGGCATCCCTTAACTACTGTTTTTGCTGTTGCTCTTGAAACCGCCGCCCAATGCTGTCATTGTTTCCACGTCCATTGTCCGTTGTGGAGCTGGGTTTTCAGGGGTTTGAAATGGCGACATTTGCCTAAATACTTGGCCGCACACACTCGACCATTATCACACATGCTGTTTTCTATTCCTGCCTTTGTTGGCGTTTTGCGTGGAATTTCCAAAAGGCGAAGATTAATGACCGACATACCCTGACAGCGCCGCGTCAGCGTGGCATCGATATCAATGGCGATACATGGGCAGGATGGCCTGGGATGACTGACACTGACCACCCACCAGACCCATTCCCGATGATTGGAACAGAGTGTACAACTTAACCTGAAGTCACTGCCGAACTGGGATACTGTGAAATTGGAAATATATTATCATGCTGTTTTGCTTTTCTTTCCCATTCCTTCGTTTGGGATATACAATATAATATAATATTGTTATATTGTTATAGATTTTGAGATGTACAATATAATATAATATTGTTATATTGTTATATTATATTATACTGTATATCTCAATATCTACAGCTTGAACGAAGGAATTAGAAAGAAAAGCAAAAAAGCATGGTATAGTTATATTATATTATTACAATATAATTTTCTGATGATCCTGACACCAGTTATCATGTCCAACGGTTGGGTACTTTTTTGGAGTCTCCGATAAAATGGTCTTTATAGAAGAGTTTTTGATTATTTCAAGTGTGGTTTTGTAAATTCTGGGGTTGGCACCACGTGAACTTTTTCAGGGGGTTTCAGGCCTTTTTCCATAGGAATTTCCTATGTAAAGCGGTCGCGAACGTTTCAGTACTGAAAATTTTGGACAGCCTTAATAAAAGCGAATGCACTTTGTCCATAATGGGGATGTGAACCTGCAGCCCTTTTCCATAGGAAAAATGTACTGGGTACCTAAGCAAACATGAACCTGAAATGTACCAAATCATGTAAGCATTCAACATAATTCAAAATATTGAAAAATATCATTATGATTGTTTTTGGACCAAAAACCCTATGCAACACCTAAATAATTAAACTGATGAAAATTTACTTCAAAAATATTTTCTATGTTTAATATTGTTCACCTTACATTTTAACCGCTCTTTAAATTCTTTAAAAGTAAAGTTTGCTATCGCTGACAATATATGAATGTCTTTACTTGAATACTTTACCCCATTAAAATCTTTAGAAATCGTTTCCCCCCAAGCGTTTCGGTCGCTTAACTTAGAACTGAGCTGTTTAAACGGCCATTTATCGCATTGCAGCTATTAAGAGCACCCTCTGCTGTTTTTGTGCGAATTCTAATGGCTATCTTACCAGTTCGCAGTGGTCGCCACCTTAGTGCGTCCAATGGCCCCACAGATTGCGCCATTCATCGCCATCCCATCGAGGGGCAGCAAACTTGTTCGAGGGCGTGGCCCGGCGAACCGAAACTGGAGCAATGTCCTGATATTATGATATTACGCGCTATTAACTGCAAGCACTCACACTTTTGCTTGGCCGAGAGCATTAAAATCTAACCTTCAATTACAAAATCAATAGGCAAAAGGCGGCCGCACCTCCGTGTTGCCAGATCTTTTTGGCCAGATTCGAGCCGCCTTTGTTCACTTGGTTCGTGCGCCTTTGTTGTCTTGCTGCCTTGCTGTCTTCATCTTGTGTTTTCATATTTTCTGAGAATTATTTTTTCTTTTTTGGGCCGTTTTTTTGTCGATGCCACAGCTGCGATATAGAAACGCTTGACAAGTGGGCAGTGCCCCCGACATGCCACGCCCACGCCGCCCCCTGCGTTAATTTGTTGTGCAATCTGCGTATTTATTATTTTCAGACTTTTCTTCACTGTTATTATTCCATCGCAGTAATGAGAATATTCAAAACAGATAAAATAAAAAAAAAACAAGCCAGAAAAAACAATAATGGCACATTCTTGCGTTTGACTTGATTTTCACTTTGTTTCTCATTTAATTTCATTTATTGTTGGGAAACGAGATTATTTGAGGAATGGCCAAGTAGCCGGGGGCCTCGAGGTAGAGGCAATATTTTATCTCGCAGAAATGCGCTGGAAACTCGAGTTGTCTTTGTTTATGAGCGACTCAGAGAATTTGTATTTTAATTATATGTTTACAACATGGATTTGGGAATGGGACTACCTACATTCTTTTAATTAATATTCAAGTGCCAAATAAGGATATCTTAAGGATATTATTAAAAATTGCCAACTAAGCTCACTAAGATTAGATTAATCGATTGGAATGGAATGAATTTATACTAAAACAAGGAAGAACGCTATAGTCTAGTACCTCGACTATCAGATACCCGTTACTCAGCTAAAGGGACGAAAGGGAAATGGAGATATGCAAGCAGCAAAGCGAGATTGAAATGCGCCACCTACCGGCGGTAGACAGATTTAAGCGTTATGGGCGTTAGAGTGGGCGTGGCAATTTTTTTTTGGATCAATCGATGGGTATAGACGAGACCAATACATTTCAGTTAAAATTTTTTATCTAGCATGAAAATTGTGGGCGCCACCGGTTTCGGCGGCTTGTGGGCGTTACAGTGGGCGTGGCATATTCGCGTAACAAACTTGCGCTGCGTACAAGGCAACGGAATCTAAATTTGAGATCCAAATTCTCTATCTTTGATTGTTTCCGAGATATCGACGTTCATATTTACGATATTTTGAAATTTGTGGGCGGTTTGTGGGCGTTAAAGTGGGCGTGGAAAACTTTTTTTGGGCCAATGGATAGGTATTGATAAGAACAATACATTTCAGTTAAAATTGTGGGCGTCAGAGTGGGAGTGGCACTTTTCTGAAACAAACTTGCGCTGAGTAAGAAGCTTAGGAATCTGCGTGCCAAATCCCAATAGCCTAGCTCTTACTTTTTTATTATACCCGTTACTCGTAGAGTAAAAGGGTATACTAGATTCGTCGGAAAGTATGTAACAGGCAGAAGGAAGCGTTTCCGACCCCACAAAGTATATATATTCTTGATCAGGATCACTAGCCGAGTCGATCTAGCCATGTCCGTCTGTCCGTCTGTCCGTCTGTCCGTCTGTCCGTCTGTCCGTCTGACCGTCTGTCCGTCTGTCCGTCTGTCCGTCTGTCTGTCCGTATGAACGCTGAGATCTCGGAAACTATGAGAGTTACAATACTGGGATTAGGCACGCAGATTCCTGAGATTCCTGCGCAGCGCAAGTTTGTTTCAGCACAGTGCCACGCCCACTCTAACGCCCACAAACCGCCCAAAACTGTGGCTCCTACAGTTTTGATGCTAGAATAAAAATTTTAACTGAAATGTATTGTTCTCATCAATACCTATCGATTGACCCAAAAAAAAGTTTGCCACGCCCACTTTAACGCCCACAAACCGCGAAAACCTGTGACGCCCACAATTTTCATGCTAGATAAAAAATTTTAACTGAAATGTATTGGTCTCGTCGATACCTATCGATTGATCCAAAAAAAAATTTGCCACGCCCACTCTAACGCCCATTACGCTTAAATCTGTATACCGCCGGTAGGTGGCGCATTTTAATCTCGCTTTGCTGCTTGCATATCTCCATATAGCTGAGTAACGGGTATCTGATAGTCGAGGTACTCGACTATAGCGTTCTTCCTTGTTTTTTTTACTATGGTAGACCGGGGACTTTTCATCCGGCCTGTTATAGTCTCCGAGATCTCAGCGTTCATCCGGACGGACGGACAGACGGACATGGCTAGATCGACTTGGCTAGTGATCCTGATCAAGAATGTACATATATACTTTATGGGTTCGGAAACGCTTCCTTCTGCCTGTTTCATACTTTCCGACGAATCTAGTATACCCTTTTACTCTACGAGTAACGGGTATAACAAGAAGAAACGCTTAAGTCGAGTGCCTCGACTATCAGATACGCTTTACTCTGCTTTTAATTTCAATTAATACAAATTCAGAAGCATTTCTCACAAACTCACTTTATTGTATTTTATTTTAAATTTTAGTTTAAACGGCATTATTTATATTTAACAGTTTTAACAGTGTTCAATTTCATATTGTATTAGTAGTATAATGTGGTTCAAAAAAGAGTTAAGTATGGCAAATGATGCAAATCTGTCACTTGTATATAAGCCAAGAAATCTAACTTCTAATGGGTTTCGGGCCAGGTTAAGTGTGTAGGATTCAATCTGAAAGAAAATGTATTAACTTAAAGGTTATTGGTGCTCTTTTTGACTCACCACTGCCTCCAATCTTTGATCCAAACCTGGCTTGAAGAGAGTCCGTTGACTTAGCAGTTGCACCATCTCTTCGTGAGCTTCCAGCACGTAAAATATGTTGTACATGTTCAGCAGATAATCAATGAAGTAATAGGCTGTGCATAAAGTAAAATAAACTGCTACGTTCTTCGGCAAATTTATAATCCAGCTAACGTTTGCTCTAAAGATGAATAAGACGTACAAATTTCCCACCAAGTTTAAATAACTAATGATGGTCGTGATCACGACCTCAACTTGGTAGGTTCTTAAAAGCCATTTGATAAGAGCTTGTAACTCAGATTGGGAATTAGACATTTCTTCAAAGCGATCGGCAAGGCTACAGCAAGTGGTCATAAACACTCCACTCTTGCAAGGATTAAGGGCTTGTGTTTCGGATAGAAGAGCTTTCAAATCCTTATTAAGATGGATATAGCGCCCTCGAAGGCTGGCCATAGCAATAAAAAACTGGGTAGCAACTCCATTTACTATAAGCGTTATGCTCATCATGTTCCAAATGCCTATACAAGCGTGTATAGTAAGATTGTTTGTTAGTAGATAATAAATAGCCACAACTTGTATTATCTCCGATATTTTAACACAGAGGCACTTGCTAATGATGCTTCTTTGGCAATACTGGCCTATCTCCGGATGGTTTTGAAAAAGCCGGCGGAACGAGTTGTAGAGTCGAATGTAGTTCCTACGATGAGTCCAACGACTGACCAAAGCCACGATAACACAAATCAATCGAGAGCATTCTACAAACAGAGACGCGTATTCATGAAGAGCGTTAGCATTCTTTAAGGACATGCTGAAAAACTCCGTTTTTATCAGCTGGTAAGTAACTGAGATGAGGATGAGTATTTGCAAGCAGACTGCACATGTTGTTGCTCTTTTAGTAACTTTAGGTCGACCCGTTTTCAAATCCACCTCAAAGTTTATAAGGCCTGTAGTGCGCCCGATAAAATATAAGATGTACAAACACCATTTGACTAGACGAGCCATCGCAGTATACTGAACAATTGCTCGGGTGGAAAATCTATTCTGATGTTGTGACATGTGCATATCCTTTAAAAATGATATCATTTCATCTGCAATCACATGAAATATTGGCATTATAATGACATCAAGCTCTTTGAAATATGACATATTTGACACACACATCTTGATTTTAATTTCATATGAAAGTTGTGTTGTTGTTGGTACTGCAAGCTAATACTGCAGTGCACAGTATTCGGTTTTATATAAAGATTCGGTGTTTTATACCAGAGGCTATATTGATTTCAGTCAGAAGTTTGCAACGCAGTGAACAAGACTTTTCCGACCCCTTGAAGTATCTATATTCTTGATCAACATCACTAGACAAGTCGATCTAGCTTCTGAGCAAACTTGTCTCTCAGTTTTAAAGCTATCGGATTGAAACTTTCCCAGTTGTTATTTTATTAAAGGTATTATATGAGTCGGAACTAGCAGGATCGGACAAATATAACCTATGGCTCCCATAGGAACGATCGCAATAAAAATGTTAGAAAAAATTGTAAAAATTATAGCTTTTGTGTATTGTGAAGTATAAGCTTTTACTCATAGGAACATGATCATTTTAATATGTCAGAACTTTCAGAAGCTCTGTATATACATTGCTCCAGGGTATATACACTTCGACTCGCTGAAGTTAGCTTCCTTTTTTGTTTGTCAAATTATCTTCTTCTCTTGGGATTATCAAGTATCAGAATGTCAAATTTATTATGCCCGTTACTCGTAGAGTTAATTGTATATTGTATTCGGGAAAAGAATAAAGAATATATATTCTTGATCGGGATGACTAACCGACTCGATGTCCCATGTCCGTCTGTGCACACAAAAAATTTGGTTGGTATAAGAGTAGTTTAGTAGCAACAAAAATTGTACTTTACCATTTAAAATGGTTGCATTTATTTTTTCTTTGCTTACTATTTAATAGTTAAGTCACTACTAACATAGTTACGTTCACGTGATATGTGCATTTTGTTATGACAATAGTAAATAGTTAATTAACTATCAATAATAGTTATCCAAACGTAATATCTTCCTCACAAAAGTATGCCACAATAACTTTACAAATTTTCTCTAACGTGTTGTCCCAAACTGGGTCTTGTACACCTAGACCCCAAGCCAAACTATGAAAAGTTGAGACTTTACTTAAAACATATATTCTCTAAAGTGTTCAACATTCTTCCACACTAGCAGAAAGTCACTTTTAAAATGGGCAATTTAAAAAAGACCTTTTCAATTATGCTTATAAATAACCATTATATGAATTCCATTAATTATTTTATAACATTTTTAGGTATGTATTTACTATAAAAAGTGCACTAACTATATTTTAAGGGTTAGATAACTATAATATAGTCATTTAACTATAATCCACGGATTATCCATTCTAACCCTTTTTATAGTTACATAACAATTTTTTTATAGTCACGCTTACGTTTACGTATTAAGTAAGAGTAACTATTTGATGGGTAAAATTGACAATTACTATTGTATTGGTCAATTTTAGCAAACGATTTTTTTGTATGTACAATATAAATGTAAAATTTGTATATTTTTGAAATTCATTTCGCATTTTGAAAAACAGGACTAGCTGCTATAGAACCGATCTGCAAAGGTATACGAACATTGGTGTCCTGAAATTTGCTTTCTTTTTTGTATAATGTGAGACCCAATAACATTAAAGCAAATTTCAAAGAGTGTTATATTATTTATTATTTTTATTTTTATAGCGCCATCAAAGTTCTGCTTACCACAGCTGGCACTTTTCGGACTGAAATCTGCTTTGACAACCAAAAGCCCTGTGGAACGGTGCGAACCCGTTCAGCATTTGCTGCAAGCGCATCTGGTCGTTGTCGTGATCAACGAAGTTATTTGGGTCGCCGTCTCCGCAGAAGAACTGAGCCAGGTTGAGAAAGAAGATCTGCTGCGGGGGAATGTTGGTAAAGTCTGAGTAGTTTCCGTCCTTGGTGTTCTGAAAGTAGGCTGAGTAGGCGAGTTCCAGCCCGGCAATATCCGCAATACGCTCGTCAAGGTACGGCGTCTTGCTGCGCTTCATGCACTGCAATCCTGCCTCGAACCGCGGCGAGTTCAATATTTCGGGGCCAACGTCGTGAAAGTTTCCGTGACTGTCGAACAGGAGACCGGTGGTGTCCACGGAATGGATCAGCTCATGGGCAAGAACGAACCCCAGCAGGCTGTACTTGAACACGCCGTGGCTGTCGGGCACAAAGAACGGCTCCTGCAGAGATCCGTGTGGCACGATAATGGTATTTTGGTTCACTAAGTAGTATGGGCTAGAGCTCATGGCCGTATCCGGATCCGCTAAATAGAAGTATTCATCGGCACTTGGCAATGGATGGTTAAGTTGTTCCATTTTCTTTCTGGTTCGGAACTCCAGTACTTTGAGATGCTCCCGACTGTAGTCTAAGTCTGCCGACGGAAACACCAGGTCTGCATAGTGCCGGCTAACAAAGGTACGAAGGTCAAGGCCCCTGGGCATGTTGCCAATGTTAACGACGATATCCCGAGCCTTCATGGCGATCATCCTGTTCTGCTCACCGGTCAGCCCAAGGCGGTTTTCATCGATCTGTAGCAGAAACTGCCGACGCAATTGCTCGAACACCTCCATTACCTGCTGGGTGTACTGCGGCAGAGTACCGGGGGGGTCCAAAAAACGCTTCTTGTAGACCAGGTTTGAGGCAAGACCCATGCTACGGCGCACATCCTTGATGCACTCGATGGGCTCATTGCTGTCCATGGTGTCTTCCAGGAGGTAGAGCACGAATCGGGTCATGATATAGTGAACCAACGTCTGGGCATCTGTGGAGTTCATCAGGCGCCTCAGGGCGTTCAAGTAGGGTAAGTTCTCCACTTGCACCCGGAAGTCAGGAGAGACACTGTGACCAACTACTAACTCGACGAACCCCTGCCAATCCTGGCCTGTTACGCGCCGCAACTGATCCACACTCAGAAATTGGCTATCATCGTCGTCCTGAGACTCAGTTAAGACCAGTACAGCTCTTTCCAAACTTCTTATCTTCCGCGCGATGGGTTTTACACTATTCGAAGGCACTCCCATGACCCGAAGCGTTGCAAGTGTATTCACGAAACTGGGCAAGTGATGCGCTTCTCCCTTAAAACTGGGCATACTGAGGGTCAATACGAACTCACTGCTGTTTTGGAAATTCGGGCCCACCAGCACGTCCACCAAAACATTGCTGAGGCCGTATCGGTGGAGATGGCCCAGGGTCTTCAACCACTTGAACTGATCCTCGGGCCAGGGTGTCCCGCGGTTGCTGAACTGCGGCCATGTGAGACCCTCGTCCGGAGGAGCCCGTCTGAGGTACTTTTCTGTCCCGCGTGAGCTTTGTGGGGCATCGCGGCAGTTGAGGTAGAAGCGCAGGACCTTGGCCTCCACGCTCGACTCGTTGAAGCCTGGCGCCTGGGAGCCCTGGTGGAGCTCGGCCATTAGTTGGACCAGCTTCTGGTTCACCCTGTGGTCCAGCATCTGTGTGATCTCGGTGAAGGGATCGTCGATATGACGCGCAGCGTACTTGCCACACGCGTGCTCGAAATAATTGTCGCATGCACTGGCATCCTCTTGCATATAGCTGAGGATGTTGTCCATCAGCCGGGTGTTGGGACTGGCCTCGGGACTGACTTTTCGCGCTGTGGCAGCAGCACAAATGGGAACGAACAACAGCCAGGCAATCCACATCATTGCGGTGAGCAAACTGAATCAAGAACCCAGATTACTAGTACCGACTGCCATGTGAGTATCACTCTGACAGGGGAATAGCTGATAGCTTGTACAAGAGATAACCCAAAGCATCCTCGATTAAGATGTGAAAAAATAATTTGCCCGTGACGTTGAAGTCTGCTCTGCACCTACTTTTATTTGAGTGACTCAGTGATCATTACTTTCGCGAGTTCCATAGTTTGGTGGGGTCGGATTCTTCTCGATTGGTATGCCACGGTAGGCATCCAGACCACTAGTCCGTGACTAGTACGAAATACACAAAAAAGTAATATACTTGCGGCACATTATCGCCTGCGAGCACGGTGATCTCACTGGAGGTCGGGGCATCGTCTATAGGAAGTGGGCATTGAGCTTCGATTTTCGTAAACAATGTTGTTGCCAAAAAGCGAAAAACGAACAGAGAATAGTCTAACAATTGCGAAGACTTGTAAACACCCTTTCAAGTTGAAGTTATGGGTTAGATTTTAAGGGAAAAACACTGGGATAAGTCGGTAATGAAAACCAAAAGAGCATTTAATCAATGACGCTAATGTACCAACTGCAAAAAATAATACTACTTATTTTACTAATTCAAAATTCGATGCGACAACCACTATTAACTGGTCATGAGTTTCCCTTCACTTGTCATTTACTTTGCTTAAGAGATTCGTAGCCAAAAAGCCCAGCAGATAAACATCGATGTTTCATCGACTCTACTCGAAGGTATATTTAGTTGGATGTTGGTTAGTTGAGTAAAGGGTATCTGATAGTCGAGGCACTTGACTCTGGCGATCTCTCTTGTTTTTGCATATGATTTTTTCTACTTGAGGTGAAGCACGTTACAATCTTTCTTATTTCAGTGATTGCTTATTATTTTATATTTCTCAGCAATCCTCTTCACAAAATACAATGTAAATGTTTTCCAAGAAAGGGTATTTGCTGGTCGGGAGACTCGTCCAAATAGTTTTTACTTGTTGACGGCATCCATTTAAGAGGCCGCCAGCAATTAAAAATCACCGCAAATTGCGCCTAAGTGCTGCAATTATGCACTTAAGCAACGCTGCGTATACGCAATTCAGTTGGAGCTAGATGCAAGAAAGTCTTTGCTATCTTATCGCTATTACACTCAGTTGGATTGTTTAATGCTTGCAGCATTTTTATACCCTTTTAGAGGATATTATAGTTTCGGGCAGAAGTTTGCAACGCAGTGACCCCATAGGGTATACGAATATATATTATTGGTCAGCGTTGACAGCCGAATCAATCTAGCCATGCCCATCTATCCGTACGTATGTCCCTTTCTACAAACAAGTCTCTCAGCTTTAAAGCAATTGCAGCTAGTACCGTCCAGATCGAACCTCTATATCCTATAGCTCCCATAGCAAGGGTAAAAAAATTAATGGAAATACAATTCCACTTTTTGTTTCTGATTTCAGAATTTTGAATTAAATGAGTTTTTGATCAGCAGACTATACTACTGTGGGCAAAAAGTAAGGAGTATTTTATTTGTAAAATGAAAAATCTTTATATATTCGTCTAAATCAATTTCATCCCCTCTCGATATAATACACTTATGCCAACGTTTTTTCCAATCCTCGAAACATGCCAAATAATCCCTTTCCGGTATGGCCATCAGCGCCCTCTTCTGTTTTTTTTACCTTCCCAATCAGCCGAATAAGGTGGTGGCGGAACGATATGCGTCTAATTTTAGGCCAATTCATAAACAAATCTCCTGCTGCAAGAATAAAAAAACTTGGGCTTACAGAAGGAAGGTTTCATTGTATCGAGTTCATTGAGTTAGACATTTAATGTTTATAAAAATGGTGTCCCATATGAACATGTGAAAACCAAACGCCAACGAGACAGTGTATCTCGAGTGTCAGCTTATGCGAAACGCGACGCGTATTAAGCGACAAATCACTCGGTGCATAAATAATTGCCACCTGCACTTGGGTTTGGCGACAGGCGCGGTGTTTCCCAGCCAAACTTATCCGACAACCATCGCTGGGTGGCTTGGTGACCCAATTTTGTCGGTCCAAACTAGGTCCAAATCGTGCCACGCCCTCCGCCCACGGCCTTTTAATTAAATTAGTTTACTTTATTGATATTCGCCCATACACATATGGGCATATATATATTTCGAGGACAGACGCTAAGCAGCCGCAAAAATGCGCGGTCCGAAATGTTGATGGGGTATTTATAGGCCGGAACCTAAGTAGGCTCAGGGCATACTGGTCTCTACGGCCATAAAGAGAGAAACGTATTGTTAGGAGGAAAAATGCGCAAATTGAGAGCCCAATTTGCCAATCTACCAATTGGTTTGTACATTTTGTTGGTCAGAGCACCTGGCTAACAACCAATAACATCCAAAAGAGCATTATCCAGTCGGCAGGCTCTTCGTTTGTATTATCCTAAATTTCGCGATAGCCTGAAGTTTTTTTTTTTTTTGGTTTCGGCAGCCTCCTAATTGAGTTGGTTTATTAGTTTGGCCTGGACCAGGAAGCCCTCCATATGCAGTTATCCTTGGCAACGCAGGATGCTGGAGAATGGCGCCCGAGGAGGCGTCTTCCACCCGGTTGATGGACACTGATAGACCCGAGGAAGGCCTTCTTCTTCGACTGTTGCTCCAACCTCTGGCCAATTGTGCTGAGTTATGGCTTTCGACTGGCAGATGGGATCCCCCTACATCCTAATTCGCATATTTCATGTGTACTACAGCTCCGTGTTGTATAATTTATGAATCCATTTCCATTTCGCTATAGACTTGCGCTCGAATGTCTTAGACTTTGGCGTCGGAGGGCGTGGAGAACACAATGATGGCCTGTTTGTGTATTCAATGAGTGCCCTAGTACATTTAACCCAGTGTTTTATAGAACCCAAAAAAATTTACATTTTTAGGAATATAAAGTTTTCTTGGGAGAAAATTGTTACATTTCAATTTGTTAAAAATACGCTATAGTCAAGTGCCTCGACTATATGTTATCCGTTACACAGATAACTAACTAAGTAATTGTTGACCAATTTTAAATTGAAATTCCAAGGCAGCTTCGGCCTTTCAGATGATAGCGGAAAAAGTTTTTTTTTCACCTAACATAATAATTCATCACTTTTTAATAGTATTGCGATTGGAATTTAAATAGGTATTGATAATTAAAGTCAATATTAATTTACACTGAATAAAAATCTTCAAAAATGTGGTCGCTAGGTAGACCTTATCGTTACCAAAAGCATCAAGAATCTTTAAGCTTCATCCCAACTGTCTAGCCTTTATGGTTTTCGAAATCGCAGCATTCATACATTCTACAAACAAGGTACATCCTTCTACTTGTTACATACTTTCCGACGAATACAATATACCCTTTTACTCTACAATTAAGGGGTATAATTAAGTTTTAAAACTAACTATCCAAACAAATACATAACGAAAGTTATCTTCGGCAAGCCGAAATGTATACACCATTGCAGCCAAATCCATATCATCCTTTTAATTGCAGAAACCGTGTAACTGCGGCAGATTTGCTATGCATATTTTCCTACTATTTACATTTTAACTTTCCGTTTGTTCATATAGCAGATATCGGCAAATTAAATGGTAGAAAGTTGGTTCCAGCCACAAAGCATTCCATTGCAAGTATATAAGTTTGTATATATGTTCGTCCTTGGAACTTAATTCCGAACCACCTAGAGCAGATAGAAAACGCATTTTCGAAAGATCCTTTTTGAGCACTTGCAACAGCCCTTTATCATCATTTACAAGCAACCAATAAATTATTTGAAAAAGGAAAGAAAAAAATTAACAATAATAAAATGTGTACCCTACTATATACTATTAATAATGTTGTTGCTGTACCATAAAGTCACCCGATGGCAAGAATTTTACCATGATTCACACATACATAGCTTTGGAAAAAATTGTTTGTTATAGCCATTACACTAAGCAAATTTTATTCAAATACAGCGAAACTTTTATAATGTGAAATGATTGTTTCTACAACATCCGATCAATTTGTATCTTAGTGCAAAATTTGTAAGAATACAAACTTCTCATCAAAACTATGATACTCTTTGCAAGATTACAACAAAAAGGAATTTATAAGATCACGATTTTGATCGATGAGACTCCGCAAAAAATGTTGTCTTTTAAATGTACCTTTATCAACATGTCATTGATTCTTATTTATATAAACCTAAAATATGAATCACATGAGCTGATAAGAAAAATGTATGCTTTGTTTTTATTGCAGTTCGGAATAGCAGGAATGCAATCTTTAAGGTCAGAAATTTTCAGAAGCGAAAAAAACAAGAATATCAAAAAATTACAATAATGAGTCTATAAATGACAAAGATTTTTCTTAAATATATATAGGGTGATGTTTCTGCTTTAAAATGAATTTGTCCTTTGAACAAGAAATAAGTAATAATAAGTAATGGATAAATGCATAGTCTTTGTTTCAAAGGTAAATTGCGCTTAAAATAAAATAGTTGTTATAAATTTATTGTGATTATTCTTCAACTTAATTTATAAAAATATTTTTATTTCAGTAGACAAAAAAGACTAAAAAAATAATCGGACTGGGATGCATTTTAAAAAGCATTTCTTTTAAGCGAGTGATTATATACACTTGTTCATGGTGGTTTTTTATATACCACAAAATATGATATTTGACCTCAAAATCGATTAAATATTATTGGCATATACTCTGAAAAATTTGTATTATTCAAAAAAAGTTTTACATTTAAGAACAAAAACCCTACAAAATGTAAAGAAAATATTTTTAGGAGAATTCTTTTTTTAGTAAGAATATTTAAACGAATTTCAGGAACATTTCACTTTCTAGTATGTAGAGAAAAATTGTACGAGTGTAGCATCCGTTGCATGTGTGTCTTTCAATTATCAATTAAATCGAAAAATTCCCGGAAAACCCCTCACCAGCCAGGGGTTAAGGAGCGGTATATCACTGGTACACATACTCGCCCGCTTGTTGCTTTGCCGGCACACACATGTGGGTATTTGTGTATCTGGGGTATACGAGTATGTGGTGTGGGTGGTGTACCCCCCGATATATCCCTCGAGGCCACCATGCCATGCTCGCAACTCGCCGGTTGTTATTCCCGAATACTTTTTTGTATTCCCACCTGCACAGCGCGCTGTCGAGTCAAAGCCGAGTTTGATTTCTGTGTTAATTACGCATACGCACTGCGGTCCACAGACCCAAAGTCGTAGCCGCCGTCTCATTAAAGCCAAAACTCCAGTGCAGCAGGGCGGGACAAAAAGCAATTAAGCTGCTGCGACGACGACGACAACGACGACCGTTGGCAATTTTGGCCAAATTCGACTGGCCACATTCGTGGGGGGGGGGGGGGGGGGGTTTCGCTGCACGTTGCACATTGCACACTGCACATTGCACATGGGCATGGGCATGGTCAACTGGTTCGGGCCTTGTTTCAGGCAATTAAGCACTTCTGGCCCACAAATCCGTAAACAAGCGTTGGCAGGCGACCTGACCTCCAGTCGGACCCCTTCTTTTTCAAAGGCCCGCCCAGAGACCACACGGCTACAAATGGATACTTGGGGCAGGGGCAATCCGAATTAGAGTACAATTTATGATGTAATGAAATTTAATAGCAACAATAATGGCTGTAAAAAGTTCATTTTATATAGTCAACCATCGATTTGTTTGCGGATATTCAATTAGAAGGGCCTAAAAGCTAACTTTAATGTTTAATCCTTCTACGCAGTCTGCATGTCTAATCGTTTTTAATGAGAGTTTACGGTTTGTACGCCAAAATGTGCCACAATAACTGCTTTAAATTTAAGTGGACACCACATACTTAAATCAATATGCTTTTATTTATACACTATTTATGCCTTTTAGGATCTAAAATAAAATTATTTTAAGCCAATCCTTAAGAGATTAGCTGTACAATTCAAGGTTTTCTTTAAGATCTGCTTCCCAACTCAAGGTGTAAAAAGCAGGTGCTGAAAATCCCATTTCATGTTAAAACCCTAAAAAAGTTCATTGCAAGTGCCTTGAAACTAATTGTTAGTTGAACGAGTTCAAAAGTAAAGTGTTGTTTTCCCAGACTTAAACAATAATACTTTAATCCTCTTTTTTAGAGGAATTTCCGATTCACTTAATGTACCCGCTTTCCACCGGCTGCAAGAGGCCTAAAAAAGAAAAGCCAACTGGACGGCAGCAAACTTGGCAACTTGGACTTGGCAACAGGGCCAGTGTTTGGCTCAGCAATAAAGTGGATGCCGTTGGTGTTGCTGCTGTTGTTGCCGTTGGTGTTGTTGCTGTTGCTGCTGTTGTTGCTACTGCTGCTGCAGTGCGTCGCTTCCAGGCCACTTCACTTTATTTACCGTCACGCTCAGCACGCTGCGGCGGCGGCATTAAGTGCGAAAACAAAGCCAAAGGCATCGAACCGCTCCCGGCAGCTCCTTATTTTTATGGCCGGTTTATTGAAAGGCCGCCAGGCCGCCGGGCAACGTGCAACGTGCAACGTTCCATGTGCAACCAGCAACTAGCAACTAGCAATGTGCAATCCACACAACGAGAAAATGGTTTTAGTACCTTTGGATTTAAGGTTTCAAGGCTTAAGTTTTAGTTGACTTAAGTTTTATTTAATTAAAACATTTTCCTCAATGGCCTTCTCCCAAGATATTATATTTCGTTTGTAGAAGCTCTCTAGAAATATTAGAAAATTCAAAAGTTGCAGTTGTTTGATAACTATTTTGATTTGATAGTACCTTTGGATTTAAGGTTTCAAGGCTTTTGTTTTAGTTGATTTTAGTTGTATTTAATTAAAACATTTTCCTCAATGGCCTTCCTCCAAGATATTATATTTCATTTGTAAAAGCTCTCTAGAAATATTAGAAAATTAAAAAGTTGCAGAACGGAGATTAGTTATTTGTTTGATAACTATTTTAATTTGATAGTACCTTTGGATTTAAGGTTTCAAGGCTTATGTTTGAGTTATATTTAATTAAAACATTTTGCTCAATGGCCTTTACTAAGATATTATATTTCATTTGTACAAGCTCTCTATAAATATTAGAAAATTAAAAAGTTGCAGAACGGAGATTAGTTACTTGTTTGATAACTATTTTGATTTGATAGTACCTTTGAATTTAAGGTTTCGAGGCTTATGTTTTAGTTGATTTTAGTTGTATTTAATTAAAACATTTTGCTCAATGGCCTTCCTCCAAGATATTATATTTCGTTTGTAAAGGCTCTCTAAAAATATTAGAAAATTGAAAAGTTGCAGAACGGGGATTAGTTAGTTGCTTGATAACTATTTTGATTTGATAGTTGATTTTAGTTGTATTTAATTAAAACATTTTGCTCAATGGCCTTCTCCCAAGATATTATATTTCTCTAGAAATATTAGAAAATTAAAAAGTTGCAGAACAGGGATTAGTTAGTTGTTTGATAACTCAAAGAAGCCATTCAAATATATATATAAACTTCGCTGAGTATACGTTCCATAAATTATTACTTATAGTGTGCAGTGCGTTACTAAAATAATACAAGTAGATATATATAAATATACAAAATAAAAAACCTAATGTCTTGTGTATACATAGTGCACAGTATTTTCTCCGCGTGCACTCGCTGATAAAGAGCGTTGCGTAAGTCGCTGATGACGGTAATGATGATGATGGTCAATGGCCATTGGCCAAGTGGGGAATAGCACTTCCCATTTGACCAACGCCGGAGCAGAGGAAGTGCACGGCTTCAAAGACGCGGAAATGGAGCGAGGAGGTGGCTGCAGGTGTGGTAATCCGTAGAGCACTAAAAGCATTGAGAGCACAAATTTATTGGCGCAACTTAAGCGGAAAGGTGAGAGTCAGACGAAAAAATAAAGTGAAAAGGATGAAATTTTAGAAAACAGAATAGATTGTTGCAGCTAAGATGGCGAACGAAGAGGGATCTAGAAGTCCTAAATAACAAAGCCGCTGTTCGCGAAATGGTTGCATATCGTTGATTAACATATAGTAGTTTATTTCAAAAAAGTAATTGAATAAATGCAATGTTGCCAAGTTCATTTTTTGCATATGCCCTAAACAAAAACCAAAACCTGCTCATCATAGAATTCTAAAACGAAAGATACATTTTTCTTAAATAAAATTTACTCGTATCTCAAATAAAGGTTTCACAACTACTATTAAAATGGTTACCGAATGGTTAACTTTGTTAAAGATACCATTTAATAAAAATAAGATATTCAAACCAAATTTAATCCGAAACCCAGGATAATAATAATCCCAGTATTACAAGGAAATAATATTAATGCTGATATTAATAAATGCAATTTTAATTTTTTTAAATATATATTTATTTTAATAAAATATGTTTTCGGTAGGCTGCAGTTTACATTTATACAATAAAACCAGCAATTATGATCGCTACTCTGAAGACTGCCCTTGGCTGCTCCTCCTCCAAGCTCGAGGTTGACGCACAGGAATCCGGAGAGACGTAGAATTGGCGGTACTGTCCCTCAATAGGTTGCCCATTAATATCCACTTGGTTGTAAAACCATAGGTAAGTCACAAGATTTGTCATGCAATACGGACAGACACGCACCTGTTCTCGAATCTTGAACCACGCGCAAAACACCGAAAACTAATTCTTTGTCCGGTATATTCTCGTTAGATTTTTGGAATGGTTCCGCGACCTGAGCCGATCGTCCCGCGAGACAGCACCATATCGCTAAGGAATGAATGGATTTCACCAAATTAAAAATTACGTTTAGGATACCCCTCATTAAAGGTCCAATTTTATCGCAATATCTAGTTCCCCAATGTATTTCACTTGCTCACCTTTTGCGGAGACACGTAGAATTGGTGGTACAGTAGCTTAATCGGTTGCCCGTTTTTCTGGAGTTTCCGCGAAATGCAGAGTTCATCACCCATTGAAAAGAGTAGCACTAAGAGCATTTTGGCTTGTGAAATATTACCACTTCGTTAAATTTCGGGTTGTTGGTGTGAAGTAGCACTTAAAAATTTTTTATAGCTTACAAAGCAGGTTCAGAAAAAATTGATGTAAACTGTTTAGAAAGTCGTACGAAAATGAACATTAGGCAGGAGCACACACAATTTTGAACAAATCGAAAGTCGGGGCGTTCTACATCACCGGATTGGCCTTATTTTGATCAAAACTTCTGAATTAAGCTGCATTCTGATGATCGACAACGAGTGGCGCGAGGGCTGAAGAGCCCTTTCGAGCGAAACATGATATCCAACTGGAACCATCAGGAATATATCTGACTAGATTAATGACATTGATTTGACTACGCATTGATGCTCTACAGCTGGGGTACCATCAGCAAAAGCAGGCGAAGCATGGGAGTTTCCAAGCTAGGCGTTCTACATCACCGGATTGGAGTGTTTTTTGGATCAAATCTTCTGAATTAAGCTGCATTCTGTATATTGATAACGAGCGCCTTGAAAAACCTAGAGCTGCGTTTCCGCAAGGATGACAAGGCGGCGGCTGAGGAAGTACAGGCCGAAGTCCAGGTGGGCAACGATATCCCCAACATCGGGGCAGTGCGTGCCACCTGAAGAGCCCTTTCGAGCGGAACATGATATCCAACTGGAACCATCTGGAGTAGATCTTTGGCTACATTGACGACATCGATTTGACTACATTACAGCTGGGAGCACCATCAGGAAAAGCAGGAGAGGCAAGGGGTTTTTTAAGCTAAGCAGTTACAATTACACTTCTTTGGAGCAAATTCGCTGATCTGATCTCGCAATAGGTCGGCTCCTCCTCTTCAAAGCTAGAGTTCGGCTCAGAATCCGCGACTTGAGCCGATCGTCCTGTGAGAAGAGCACCATTGCGCTAAGGAATGAATGGTTTTCGCCAAATTAAAAATTACGTTAAGGATACCAATATTATCGCATTATTTCGCCCGCCTTTATATTTACCTTGATCATCTGTTGCGGAAGCCCGTAGTATTCGTGGCTGAGCGGTTCTCCGTTTTTATGTGCTTGTTTGTAGAATTTTATCTTCGCCACAAATGAGCTGCCGTGTAGGACAGAGAGTTCAGCGTCCGTTCCCAAATCTTCAGAAGTCCCCACATCCAAAACATCAGAAATCAATTCGTTATTGTCTATTCCCTTGCCTAATTTTTCGATTTTAATCTCGTACAGGGGTATCGCCATTATAGGCTCCAGCTTTTGGCACAGATGCAGAATGTTTGCGTTATCCTCGATCTCAAACAAGATTGGCTGGTGCAAAGGCTTAGATAGAAAAGAGAAACTTTTAAAATTATCCGAAATTAGAACACTAACAAAATTATTAAGCCGGCTATTTTGAAAGCTCTTTGCTTATTTTTACCATTGCCGCGATACTAGAGGAATTTGGGACCTAAAAACACTTTAGCTTGTGTAAAAATAACACTACGGAAATTTGTATTTTATGTTAGTGTAAAAGAACTAGAAAAATATACGATTTTACAAAACTAGTATTTGAAATGATATGAACTATTCGGAAATTAGTATGATTTGTTATGTTATTTGGAAAAATTCAGTCGAAGTAAACGAACTGACAACTGTCATTAAGAACTTGAATATTCTAGCAAAACAGCTAATATAAAATCTTAAACCCACCATATTTTGATTATATTTGATATATGACTTTTGATATTGGGTTGTGTAAAAATTACCACTATGTTAAATTTCGATTATTGTGATGTAAAAAACCACTAAAATATTTGTAATATTTGAAAAAGTATTGGAAAATTGGATGTGACTCACCACATCTCGACTATTTTCAAAACTTGAAACCACTTGTACTAACAGCATCTTGGCGCTTGTGACAAATTACCACTTAAATTAAATGAAATTAAATTTGGGGTTTTGTTTTGGTGATAAGTAGCACTACACAATTTTAATATTTACAAAGCAAGTTCAGGAAAAAATTGATGTGAACTGTTCAGAAAGCCGTACGAAAATGAACCTTATAGACAGGGGCACACCCAAGTTCAAACAAATTGAAAGTCATGGCATTCTACAACACTGGATTTGCCGCATTTTGTTTACGAATCGATGGGAAGCGAAAATGAGTGATTGCTGGATCAAAACTACTAATTAAACTTGTGAGAGACATTCTTGTGATCGAAATTCAGTGAATTTAATAGGAATCAAGAAAAAACGCTAAGGATGACGGCGTCGACTAGAAGGTACCCGTTACTCAGCTAAAGGGGGTCCGATGTCGGATGTTTTCGGTATTGCCCACTTTATTATAAATGGTTCGATTTAAACCATTTTTGGCATTTGGATGGATATTGTAAATCACAATAAAATCTCATTTACAAAACATTAAAAATTGTGGGCGTTAGAGAGAGCACCCTGCTGAAATTAACTTGCGCTGTGCAAGAACCTCAAGAATCCGCATGGCAAGTTTCTTTATTTTATTTTAAAGGTAATTATTATTATTATTACTTAAACAAAAAATTATAAAATGGTCCATTAGGCCAATATACAAATACATATTGCTGGAAAGTTGCATTGTGTTGGAAAAGCCCTCTATTAAATGTAAACCATTTCATCGCAGAGCCAACCACCCAGCACATTTTGAATCCATCGAGGTGCGCGCCAAACTCAACGGCAGAGCATTGCCAGCTGCGAGGAAAGTGGCCCATTGTTTACAAACAAGCTGGAGCTTTCGCCGGCAACTGCACATCTTTCGCTCTCCAAAAACCCCATTCTTCACGCCTTATCGGCGTTTTATCGGCGAGAGAGGCCCAAAGAAAGCGCCTGCGCTCCAACTGTCAGAATTGCAGACCAAAATGTAAACGAAAATCGAAGGGAAGGCAAAATTGTTGATATGCTAAACATCGCATCATCTGGCAGAAAAACAAGCGGAAAAGCAGGCGGAAAAGCGGTCGCATCGTCACGAAAATAGCAAAAATAGAAAAACCCAAAGAGTCCAACCGAGGAAAGCAGGGAAAGAAAAGCTTGCCACACATTCTTCGGCGCCGCTCATCTACCCATCGGTTTGATGGAAATTTTGGAAAACTTTTGAAAACGCCAAAGAAAAGTCGTCGCGCAGTGTGTGTTATGAAATCGTTGCCGCGTGCGTGAGTGCGAGTGTGAAAATAGCTGGAGGTTCTAGAAAAAGAAAACCAAAAATCACACCGAAAACTCTCGAAGTTCGCAGCCCAAAACCCTCTAATCTCTAATAATCGTTGTATCCCGGCAGCCAAAAGGTAACTCCCTCTCGAAACCTGGTAATTTGCTTTTATCGCTTGCTTTTTGTGGCCTAAAAGATGAGTCATGTTGTTGCTGCTGCTGTCCCATGGATATGGGCATATATTTTTAGAGCCACCGCCCCCGGCGTTACTTTTGCCCTTTGCCCTTTTGCCGGGCCGTGATAGATCGATATGTGGCGCTCGGTGGGGCGTCATGTGAGTTTGTTTGTTTGCCGGCACCTTGCAGCAGCAACAACAAAGGCGCACAAACTTGTTTTCTGCAATTACGCAGCAAAAACAACGGCGTCAAAATCACGATAAATTAGCCTAATCAGCAGTTGTTGATGAAAATACACGCACCCACGAAAAAAAAAAACGATGTCTACTTTTGGGCCCCAACTGTAATTGCTTGCTAGCTTTGAAAACTCCCAGGTACTCAGTGAAAAACTCACCAAAACACTATTTAAAGTTGTCGAAAATATACCAAATTCTATATCCCAAATATTAAGGAAAGTCTTTTTATTCCATCTTATAAATCTTACCTCATAGTTCGTCTTTATATGCTCTTAAAACTTTGAAAACTCCTAGGTACTCAGTTGAAAACTCACTAAAACACTATTTAAAGTTCTCGAAAATATATCAAATTCTATATCCCAAATATTAAGGAAAGTCTTTTTATGGCTAGATTATAAATCTTACCTCATTGTTCGTCTTTAAATATCTTACAATTTCATATTTATAATATTCTTGTTCTAGAAACACACGCTTAATACTTGGATAATGGGCAATAAACTTGTTCCCTTATTGTATTTAATAGATAAGACCCAAGTTTTCCTTCCAATTAAGATATACCATTTTTACTCTGAATATATAACTCTCACATTTACCCACACAGCCTCATCAAGTGATTATTACAAACAAGTACATCATCTATAAACCCTGCTTAATGAATCTTGCAAAACCATCCCTATATCAAAAGCTCAGTCCCTAAGTCCATAGTCTCTACATACCAAATTTCATATCTATCGGATAGTTATTAACAATCTTAGTTGGTTAAAGATAATATCACTGTTCTGAGCACTTTGCTAAGTTCCAGGTACGTATCTACATTTGTAAATTTAGTTTGCAAATCGCTTGATTACTTTCTCACGCTCACAAAAACACACACACATGCCATTTTTAGTTTGTTCCCACACACACGCACACACATTCGCTGGTTAAGTTGGCAATGAGAAACTTACGCCGTTTAACAAACACTTTGCAGTACCGTCAATTAACAAGCAGATCCGAAACAACAGGCACCTTAAGATACCCAACTCACTTAGCCCAAGTCGCAGTTTTTGACTCGAGGCGACTGTCACAGATCCCAGGCGAAATCGTCATCGGGCGGAACAGCAATACCCTCCATCCAAGGATCCGCCCCATCCCCATTGGAGTCCCAAATTGCCAGCGGAGCAGCAAGAGACTCAACGACCTTAAGCTAAGTTCCTCCTATGCCAGTTTAGGCAAAATGCAGGCCACGCCCAGCGAAGATGCTCAGCCGCAGGATCCGCTCAAGTCCTTCGAGAGGGACTATTGCGACCTGCCGCCCTACCAAGTAAGTACACTGAGAGAAAGTCACGGAAAAAGCTAGCTTATAAGCTAGGGGATTATTGTTTTAGGAACCTTGGCAGAGTGAAAAGGGAATTTTCATGCCTCAAATAGACCTTCTTCGGCTGGTAAAAATATGTTTTTATATTATAAAAGCGAGCATATCTTAGAAATAGTATGAAATAAATTTGCTTGCTTTAAATAAGCTGAATGATTAATATTAAATTTTTGGAGAGAGAAAAAAGGTATTTTAAGGAAAGGTACCTATTTATATAAAGACCCTAGTTTGTAGTATGTAATTTTCTGTCTTAAATAAGCCTTGTTTAGGAAAAAGGTCTTTCAATCTAATGATAAAACTAAAGATCAGACATTAAAAAAAAGATTCTGCATTAAGCATATAACAGCCTAGATATATTTAAATATATTTATGTACACATATTTATACTTAAATATTTCGAATTTTCAAATATTTAGATCTCTGTGTAAAATATCTAGAAGGTGGGAGGTAGCTGAGACAGCAGCATATCAATCAGTTGCAGCAAAACTCATTAAACTTGTGCCAATTGTGTCAGTCAAAGGAGGTTGGCCAGGGTTGCCACCCCACGCCAGCATTCTGCACTCTGCACACCCCCCCTCCTTGACTTCTATATATTATTGTTTCTGTCCCAAGCACTTTGATTGCTTTGCCTGCACTGCCTGCCTTCTCAATTTCATCTTTGTCCCCGTGCCCATGCCCATTTTCAATTTTCCGACTTTAAAATTCGCAGCGTGTGTGTCGGTTTGTGCGGGAGGCTGATAAGGCTGCTCTCATTAATGTTCCAATTTTCGACTCTTTTCAGTGCGACATGAGTGATTCGGCACCGAATACCCCAGGACCCTCTTCGGCCTCGGCCCTGCCCAAAAAGTATTACCGCCATGCGGCCCACAGGTGAGTCCAAAAGGAGCGATCAAAAGTCCTCGAATAGGTCAGTTTCCATGGAGAAATTTCTAGAAGGCGTGGACTGTAGGGATTATAATGATATATCAAGCACGTTAAAGAAGCAATTAAAAGTAGTTTTGCTTTTACTACACGGAAAACATCAGTATAACAAAAATCTTTAGTTTTGTCTCTATACATAAGGAAATGAAGTTCATAACAATCCAATGTTGATCCAAGCCACATTGTTTTAAACTTAAAAATTTCTAGAAGAAATTAATATCCGATAATAATATGCGGACCATATTGTTTTAAAGATGTAAAAATTTTTAGATTCATTTATAAATATTTCTAAAACTATTTAGGATCTTTAAATATTTTTTCAAATATATTGTCTTAAGGGCCAATGATTTTATATTTCTGATGACCAAGTTTGTAGTAAAGTCATTTCATTCTGATCTATTCGAATGGTTCAGTTTAAATTGGGAAATTTCTAGAAGGCGTGGGCTATAGGGATTATAATGATATATTAAGCCCGTTAAAGAAGAAATTAGAAGTAGTTTTGCTTTTACTACACGGAAAACATCAGTATAACAAATATCTTTAGTTTTGTCTCTATACATAAGGAAATTAAGTTCATAACAATCCAATGTTGATCCAAGCCACATTGTTTTAAAGATGTGGTACATTTTTAAATGTTTCCAAAATTATTTAGGCTTATTTAATATTTTTTCAACTACATTGTCTTAGGCGCCAATGCGTTTGTGTTTCTGATGATCAAGTTTGTAGTAAAGTCATATCATTCTGATCTATTCGATTGGGTCAGTTTGAATGGGAAAATTTCTAGAAGGCGTGGGCTATAGGAATTATAATGACATATCAAGCACGTTAAAGAAGCAATTAGAAGTAGTTTTACTTTTACGGAGAGCACCAGTGAATCAAAAATCTTTAGTTTTGTCTCTATACATAAGGAAACTAATTTGAAAATGTCGATTCGAATCATATTGTTTTAAAGATGTGAACATTTTTAGGTTCATATATTAATGTTTCTAAAATTGTTAAGGTTTATTTTAATTTTTTCAACTATATTGTCATCAGTGCAAATACGCTTGTATTTCTAATGATCAAGTTTGAAGCAAAGTCATATCATTCTGATTATTTGGGCTACCAACCTTCCAAAACTTTGGTTCAGTGTGAGCGCTATTTGCCCAAAGAGAGATTTTCACACAAAGAGAGTCCACACACCACGGTCAATGCCAAGTGCGAGCAGTTTTCTACAACCTTATCGTCTTATCTCGCAGCCAAAACAACAACAAGCGTAAAAACAACGACTAGCTAGTTAATCCACACGAAGCGGGGACATTCGCTTGACAACCTGACGTTGATAGAGCCGCCTCATTACTCTAAATTTAGGAATTTGGGGTGTATAGGGCCTGGCACCATGTGGTTCCACAAAAAAGTTCGACTGTTGTAAATGATTTTGCTTATAGCTTATAAAGCCTGGGCAACATTACGTATGAGTGATAAGGTTCAGAATCATCTCGCTCATATAAATATTTATATTCACTTTACCTCATATAGTGGGTTTCTTGAAAAATGTTTTATAGAGATAGATCGCACTTAAAGTACATGAGTTTGCATTCTTAACTCAAATGTAAACTTTTCAAAAGATCCTATGAAATATCATACGACATTTCTTTATTGTTTACTGTAAGTTCGATAGGAATTTGAAATCCCAGGGTATGCAAGGTTTCTTGTTTCGACTTTTCGTCGCCCCACGTTTCTTTTGCCATTTTTGTTTTTGCTGATTACAATATTTTGTGACGCTGCCCATTATCGCCCGGTTTTAGTGGCTCAAGGGGTGGGGTTGGGTTGGGAAAGTGGTGGGGGGTGAGGGGGTTCGGGGTTCGGGACGGTGGGCCGTCTGAATTGCTTGTTAGGCGTAGATGCAAGTAGATGCAAGTGAGTGGGCACTTGTGTGTTGACATTGACACGACGCAAAGTGCAAGCTACAGTTTTCAAGAATATTCAACTCTGTATTCGGCCACGACGCTTCGAAAAGGTGTTAAGTGAGTGGGCAGTGCGAGAAAGGTCTGCCTTTTATATAGGGCCCATTATATAGGGCCCGGTTGATCGACAGCGATCCCCAACCAAAGCCGCCTGAATTGGGAGATGAAATATGGTGTTATGGTGCTATGGAACATGGAATTTGGTACATGGCAATGAATATGCAAATGACTGATGAAATATTCATGAACGCCGCCGCACCCATCAACATTATAATTGGTCCCATAATTAATGCGCACCCATATGTATACAAATATCTAGGGGCCTATGTATGTGCCTCGATGCCTGGCTGTTTATGCTGCTGCCATTCAGAGGTGTCACAGGGATTTGCATATAAAAAATCGAATGGATTTATGGGCTGTCAATGCCGCTGGCGAATCGAGAGCGTTCGATCGCCTATCTGTATCTGTATCACCCAGTGGAATCATTTTGAAAAGTCAAATAGACGCACAAAATATTCCACTTAGCTGAGTCGCGAACCCCCACGCATTCGCAGGTACACTAAGGGAAACGTTTTTTAATAGGCTTAAGAAAAATTATTTATTTGGTGTCAATATGATGACAATATATTTGTTATACATTAGGAAGAAAACCATAATATTATTAATTCCTAATTAAGCCACATGTGCTAGGCTTTTCTTTCTGTGCTTGGAACTCAATGGAACTTGTTGCCTGCTGGGGGCGTGGGCGCATTCCCATAAATAGTAAGAGTGTGGCACGTACTACATATTTGGGTACAGTTGGGGGCGCAGTTATACTTTCAAATATCAAACAGCCCTTTTTAAGACGATATGTTCAAATACAGAACTCAAGTAAAATTCGTTTTGAACGCTGATATCCTGGTTCTAACCCCATTTCTGGGTACAGTGTAACCGGTCTTATAAAATATTTTTAGGTTTTTTTCGAAAAACCTTTTAATCTACGTTTTAATTTTAGTATTTTAAAATTCGAATCTATTGTTAGACCACTTAAACATTTTTTCAAAGGAGTAAGAAATGTAAATTTATTAGTAATTAAGTAGTTCAACTCTGGAAAGTAGATGTAACATTTCAGTAGTTCGCCCATAGTTAAAAACTTAGACTTTGTACATTATTTTTGCCTGTGTAAGCCACTTGTTTTCACCTAGAAGATAAGGAAATATTTGGCCTAATCCACTGCTATTTTCTCCACCTCCGCTGTATGCGTGTTTGGTTCACTTTTGTGTGCATAATTTCATTTCTTCGCCGCTTTCCAAGCATTTCCAAGACTGACACACTAAAATTTCCATGCGCACAAGTGGGTGTAGTCATTGTAGTTGTTAGCTTATTTGTGGTTGTTTGGTTTGGCCATTGGAGCTATTTTCGAGTGAGCAAGCAGGGCGTGAAGATAAACCGGGAGTGGGAGTGACGAACCGTCGACACCCAGTGCATTAAATAAGTTTATGTTCAAAACAACACTTAATAAACTTTAAAATATAAAAGTTTCAGTGTCTCTAAATACACAGGACAAAATAATATGGTACTTTGCCTTTAAAGATCGTAAAATATATATTTCAAAAAGTGACTTGATTGACTATGAGAAAGGGCAACAAATATAGGTTTAAGCTGCCGTATTTCGAACATGATACCAAATAATATGGTATTTTGCCTTTAAAGATCGTAAAATATATATTTCATAAAGTATTTCATATGGAACCTATCTATTTAACTATGAGAAAGGGCCAAATTTATTGGTTTAAACTGCCGTATTTCGATCATGATACCCTCGGATTACAGTTTGTTATATTGTCGAACAGAATAAACTGATAAGCCCCGTGTCAATACAAGATTAAAATGGAATTCCAACAAAAATCCACTTGCTTACAACTTTCAATCCAACCATATTTTATTACGGACCACTGGATACAATTTCGAAAGGCAGGAGATATGCAATAATGACGTGATCAAATGTGTAATTTAACTAGATCAGGCATTATTTACACATCAATATGGTGTGCAAATAAAGAAATATGAAATCTATCTGCCGTTTTTTGCCGTGTACCTGATCGCCTGACCGATCATCCCCCCACCGAGTGATGGGTAGCAAAACAAAGTAGAAAACATTTTGTATTTATTGCATAAAAGGCATCAAAACAACAACTGAATGGTCTACGTTGACACCGTCCAAAGCAGCAACAACAACAACACCAACAGTGGGGGGCTAGGCGGGCAGAGAGAAAGGCAGAAAGAGAGAGGGCAAGAGAGAGAGAGAGAGAGCAGAGCTTTCGACGCCGACGCTCTGCCGCCAGTACTGAAAACGGAGAGAGTGGAGCCCTCTCTTCGGCGCTCCGGCGCTCTCTTTCGCCAACTGCTCTGCCGCCGCTTCCTTCCTCCATTTCCACATTGCACTTTCAGTTGAAATTCGAACGTTGACCGAAATCGTTCGAAATTCGTTTCGCCAGCTAATTGAATCGAGGAAAATCCGAGTCCAAATCCGAAATCGCAAATCGCAAATCGTAATCGGGGAATCTATATCCCGAGTCGCAGACTTCTTTCTTTTTTTTCAAGTTGCCCCAAAACGATCGAACGAAGAGTGTGCCGCGCTGCCACGCCACCCACGATCGCTCAGATCCATTCCAGCTCCAGATCTCGGTGACGTCGTCGTCTGCCAAAAACAGCTGATAAGATACTTATCGCGCTCCCCACCACTTTCCACTCCCACTGGGCGAAAGAGCTTTATCAGCAGCAGCGACGCGGCGCAGCATTTGTGGCCTTGTAATCCGCGGCAGCGCCAAGATGCCGCAGCCAAAGCAAAAGCAACAACAGAAACATTCCAGCTCCAGCTCCAGCTCCGCCACGAGCCCGAGTGCCACTTCCAGTCCCGGCAGCAACTCAGCCGCGATCATCGCCAAGCGGGATCGGGAACGGGAGCGCAAACAGACGATCGGCGAAACGGACATGGATCAGTCGGTGCTCAATGGACTGCCGGTGGGCGGGGACCCTACCGTGGGCTACCACGGACACAAGCGCGAACTGGGTCACAGGTGAGCGGTACTACTAAGGGAAACAGGGTCAATTAAAGCAAAAGCCCTAGTGCGAGAAAGGGACGGAGGACGTACCTAGATCGGTACAGTGAAAAAGGTTAAGATCGCACTCACTAGATCAAATGGCCTTATATAGACACTTCCTAGAGTGGTACTAAGGAAAATAAAAGATCGTGTGATCCATGGTTTTATGAATTTTGATATTCCATATTCCATTTTGATACATACATACTTCCTCATCTGCTTCGTGTTCCACTATTAAAGTTTTAAAATGATCGATCTATGTAATTCTTCATAATAGAATGTTTTATTGGAGAAACTCCCTAGTGAACTTGGTTATGTTCGTCGCTTTTTCACGATGATATTTTTAAATAACATATACAGATTAACCAAGTCAAAAATTGATCTTATTAATTTATATGTAACGCTTTCTACATGCAGAAAGACTGTGACCATAATCTTGTTCCTAAATATTGTCTCCAAAACGAAAACTATCTACACTTCTAAAAAAAATAATCATACAAGCGTTATGATCATCGCGAAAGACAAGTAGGCGTAAAATAATACATGTAACACTAGAAATTGTTTGTTTGGAATTTGTTTGTTTTTTTATAACCCACTTGCTCTAAAGAATTTACGAATATTGAATGAAACTTTACTTCCTCATCTTCTAAAAACTCGCCGTCTTATTTTGTTTATTAATCTATGGCTTTATATACATAAAGCTATAGAAATGTGAGTGTAGTGAAGATTGGTTCCTCTTGTTCTGAAGATTTCGGGGTTTTATTATGTTGAAGAAAGCTACATGGTGAAAACTAACAAATATGTACGTTGTTGTTATCCGTATTAGTACCTTTTGTACAGAAATATTTTCAAAGGGTTTTGTTTAAGAAAAACCATTCGAGTAGGTCGTCTAGATATTTTAAATTCATTAAAATCAAGCAAATAGGAAATATTAAATAACAGAAATATGATACGGAAATGTTCGTTCCAGAATTAACCATATATTTCCGATTGGTCTTATGTTCCCGATTCTGTAATGCGTAATAAAAGATGCAAACACAAATTGCATTTGTGGTATTAGAAATGCAACTAATAAGCGTTATTAATCGGTATATATTCATTTAAAATGGGTAGAAAAAAGTCACAATTTGGGTAACACTTCTTTCAAGGCTTTGTAGGTGTAAGAACTGAGGAAATTTTCTAAAAAGATACTAACTATTTTCTATGCCAGTACACTACAGATTAATCCCTGGGATTATGTGTACATATGTATTTTTATGTGTTCAAATTATAAGAGGTACCAATTTGTGCTACTAAGCCCATGGTTTGCGATATCTCCTATGTAATCTCGAATTAATCATCCGCCCTTATCTTCCTCTCGTTCTGACTCACACGGACTTGGAATTAGTAGTGATAAATAAGTATGCACATGTGTATGGCTAGGCAAATTTATTAGCATGCCCATAGAGTTCAAAATGTGAGGCGAACCTTTGATTATTTCGTTTGGTTTTCCGAGCTTTTAAATCAGATACAATGGGTTCTTATCTCTGTAGTTTCGGGGGGGCTACCTTTTGGGGTCAAGAGGGCTGTAGGAGGGGGGTGGTGGAGAGGGGAGGGGCTATCTGACAAGCCCAACTGCTGTTTACAGTTATGAGCATGCCCTTGACCATGCCACACAAGCACACTTCTACGTTTCCCCCATTCAGTTGGCAGGCTGCCTAATTGCTGGCAGTGCCCCCAGCCCGCCTTTTCGCCACCCATCGTTCGATCATTTAATTTCGGTTTATTTGATTTCCTCGCTTGTGTGTCAATTAATGCAAATTTCTGGCTGTCAACGCGGCAGTTGGCTTAATGAGTCGCCGCCGGGCTAATCTCCGCCAGCAATCAGTGCAGATTACCGGGATAGCTGCTGGGCCAGCCGGTGATTCCTCAATCATCGTTGGCTCTAAATTGGCATATTTATGTTTCACGTTGGTCGCTGGCAAATGTTTCTCAAGGCGGCACCACTGCCCCAGCTTAACCCCTGCTTAGCCCCTGACTGCTGCTGGCTGGGGCTTAATTCAGATGCAGCTACGTGACCTGCCCCATCCCCCATGCCCCATGCCCCTTAACCCTTGTCCCTTTGGCGCTTTCGAATGCAAACAATGTGCCCCGCCTCCCCTTTGTCCCGCGGCGCCCCTTTCTTTGTACCTGTCTCGACCAACTTCACCTTTGCCATCCTCCCATGATTGTCTTAAATCAGACATGACCTCCTCCGCCCGCTCCCTTGGCTCCTTTTACCTCGGCGGGGGTCACGTAGCTGGCAACTTTTATTGCGTAGCCGGAAACGGAAACGCCGCGAACATTCACGACAGGCGGACGAGAAAAGACAGAGCCGGAGAAAAAGGGGCGGGGCTTTCGGGATGGGGGGCGGTGGCCATGGAAATGGAAGTGGATGTGGATGTGGGGCAGGAGCCACTGCAGCAGCCACAGCAGGAAAAACTTTAATGCAATTTGCATTTCATTGCAATTCACATGCTAAATTTATTTTAAAACGAGCTGGTTTTTTCCATGCACACAGATGCCACTGGCTTTTCGAATTTAATTGTTGCAACTTTTTGGCCAAACTTATCATTATTATTATTTTTTTGTGGCCAGGCATTTTTAACGGCTAATTTATGCACATTTTCCAGGCCTCTGCATCTGCAGGAAAGGAGTGTGCTAATATGCAATTTATTTACATTATATTTGTAATGCGCGAAAATCTTTTTATTTATTTACAACATTTCGCAAACAAATGGGCTTTAATACTCATCCCAAAGCTGTGGATATTATCAGGGATATACAAGGATCTAACAGCAGTTAAAATGGATTGAATTGATTTCTGATTGAAACACGGAAAATATAAAGTATTTTGATTTAAAAAGAAAATCAAGGCCAGCAAATGTTAAACATTTAAAATTCATTAAAACGCTGTGGTTTTTTGGCAAAATAAAAATGAATGATCAAAAATAAATAACACAATAACACAGTTTTAGCACAAAGAATAAAGGAAACTGGAGGAATCCAGCAACAAAGTGAAGATAAACAAACAGGAAAATTCAATCTATGCGTACAAAGAACTAGAACAACGTAGAATCTCGATTTAATAGAGAATTTCCGCAGCTCCTATTGGCCAATAAAGATGTGTCAAAAAATATAAATGCCTTTAAATTCAAATACTAGTAATTGTATTTATTTATTGCAATATTTGGTTAGAAATAACACTTGCAGACCTCCCACTTGCCTCCGCCCACCCAAAATCCAAATCAAAATCAAAGTCAAGGTCGGGCCGGACCACGCCCCTCCGCCCACCGTGGCTGATTACGTTTTGATTGGACGCAGGCTAAATTATTTGATTAATGGCAAATGCCAGAAAATAAACAAAATTTGCGGCAAATGTCACATTTACAAATTGGAAAATCTCCCCATATTTGCACTCGCGCGTTTTACATATATAGTACATATATCTGCGTATTTGTTCGGTCGGGAATTGCAGATACATTGGCATAATATATATGTATAAACAGCGAAGAGGGCCGCATTTTGTGGTCAATGTAGAATTTAATTTGGCGTTTCGTATTCGATTATGTCGCGACTTTTGTTTATGACTTGCATGCAAGCCGACATCAGATGATTAGTGGGCGTGGCCCTCTGCTCGGCGTCCTTGAGTCAATGAGTCGATGCGGTGCGATTCGCCTTGGCATTGCATCATTAAAATGCAAATAACATTTTGCTCCTTTGGCTAAGCGGTGGCAACGCGTGCGGCACGTGTGGCGTAGCCGTGGGGGTGCAGCTTAAGGATCTGCCGGAGGTACTGGAGCCGGCGCTCCATCTTCATCTTGAGGTGCAAATAGTTTTCGAGCACTTGACAGCAACTTGGCATTCAACAATGTTATAACGCAAGTCTGGACGGGGATTGCGGTTTCTTGTTCAAGGGCTTCAAAATGTAAGCTTTCAGCTTCAGTTTCTGAGCGACGGTCACATTGTTGTTGTGCTCCCTTGCTTTACTTTGTACGCTGGTCACTCCTGTATCAACCTGTAAGAACTGAAAGTCTTGCGAAGAGGATCTTAAAATATAATTGGTTTTTCATTTATTTGCTTCTATTTATAAATATGTTTTCAACATTTAATTTTGCTAGTTAAAGTCTTCAAATTGTCAGCTTTCAGCTTCAGTTTCTGAGCGACGGTCACATTGTTGTTGTGCTCCCTTGCTTTACTTTGTACGCTGGTCACTCCTGTATCAACCTGTAAGAACTGAAAGTCTTGCGAAGAGGATCTTAAAATATAATTGGTTTTTCATTTATTTGCTTCTATTTATTAATATGTTTTCAACATTTAATTTTGCTAGTTAAAAGTCTTCAAATTGTCAGCTTTCAGCTTCAGTTTCTGAGCGACGGTCACATTGTTGTTGTGCTCCCTTGCTTTACTTTGTACGCTGGTCACTCCTGTATCAACCTGTAAGAACTGAAAGTCTTGCGAAGAGGATCTTAAAATATAATTGGTTTTTCATTTATTTGCTTCTATTTATTAATATGTTTTCAACATTTAATTTTGCTAGTTAAAAGTCTTCAAATTGTCAGCTTTCAGCTTCAGTTTCTGAGCGACGGTCACATTGTTGTTGGGCTCCTTTGCTTTACTTTGTATGCTGGTCACTCCTGTATCAACCTGTAACAACTGAAAGTCTTGCGAAGAGGATCTTAAATTATAATTGGTTTTTCATTTATTTGCTTTTATTTATTAAAGTGTTTTCAACTCTTAATGTACTCGTTCAACGGCTTCAAAATCTCAGCTTTCAGCTTCAGTTTCTGAACGACGGTCACATTGTTGTTGGGCTCCTTTGCTTTACTTTGTACGCTGGTCACTCCTGTATCAACCTGTAACAACTGAAAGTCTTGCGAAGAGGATCTTAAATTATAATTGGTTTTTCATTTATTTGCTTTTATTTATTAAAGTGTTTTCAACTCTTAATGTACTCGTTCAAAGGCTTCAAAATGTCAGCTTTCAGCTTCAGTTTCTGCTTCTTTGCTGTACTTTGTACGCTGGTCACTCCTGTATCGCTCATAACAACCGAAAGTCATCCGCAGAGGATCTTCTTATTATTAAAATGCTTTTAGCTGTTAATTTTCTGGTTGAAAGGCTTCCAAGTGTCGGCTTCAATTTCTAAGCGACTGGTCAGTATCACCTATTACAACTGAAAATCTTCCGAAGCCGATCTTTATCAAATTTACTGCCTTCTTTTGTAGTGGACTTATATTTTTATGTTACGTTGTTGAACATTTACTAAATTGTTTGCAAACTTTTATTTCAATTATAAACTAGAGAAATAGTCGATGGCCTTGGCTTTTAGATACCCGTTACTCAGCTTAAGGGAGTGCGAAAGGGATTGAGTTATGCTTAAAGCAACTCTGCTCTCTAGCCTATAGCGCCACCTTGCCCTATAGCGCCAATTAGCCTTTAGCGCCCCTAGCGGATTGGTGGCGAATTAGTGAAAACAGCTTATTTGCTGTGTGTGAAATCTCGAGTGAATTTTTTTGCATATTGGTTATTATGTGGCTATAACTTTTTAATGACTAGTTTGATTTCAATCTTTTTTAGCATGTAGATAGGTATTGATAATAAAGTTTTATAAAATATTAAAAAATTAAGGAGCTAGATGTGTTTTAATGTTATAGTCGTTAGTGGGCATTATAATGGGCTTAGCACCCTGCTGAAACAAACTTGCGCTGCGCAGGAAGCCCAAGAACCTGCATGCCAGGACCCAACACTCTAGATCTTATAGTTTCCAAGATCTCAGCGTTCATAGATGGACTCTGCTAGTGATCATGATCAAGAATATATATACTTTATGGGGTCAGAAACGCACTTAAAGGTATCTTTAACATTAAAGCACAATCTAAATTTCGTTTCTAAGATCTGCTTAACTCATGCCTATAGGAATCCTTTTAAGTCGGATTCGAAAGTTAGCTATTTGGCTAGCAAGAAAAAAAGTGTTCGTAAGCCCGGCAACATACTTTCCATGGTTTACTCCACAATGAACCCTAGTAGCTCCCTGGCAACCCTTATATAATCCAAAAGTTGATCCAACTGCTAGGGACACACTTGGTCACATTGCCCTTCCGTTTTCGACACTTGTCAAAGGAAATCTGAACTGACCGGTAATGATGTTTGTGCTCGAATGGAAGAAACGCCCCGCATGGCAGCTCTGGCTGAGCGAGCTGCCTCGCCAAGGATCTCGCCAAGGACCCGTCCTAACCCTGCGCTACTACAAGCGCAAGCCCGCCTTCCGCCCCCGGGCTTCGGTGGCCACTTCTCCGCCGGACAAGTCGGCGAGCTCCAAGTTCCAGGCCACTCGCAACAAGCTGCTGGGTCTGCTGCAGCGCTGCGAGAAGGTGGACACCATCGTCGAGGAGTCCCGCCGCCGACCCAATCCCTTCCAGCCCGCGGCCGCCTTGGCGATTGACATGGCCTACGAGGAGATCGAGGACCAGATGCTCCAGGGCATCCTGGGATGGTCCGACCACGAGGACGCCGATGCCGATGCTGCTGCCCTGAAAATGTAGCAGACCACATGGACGACTACGACGACGTCGAAGGCGGCGACCACCGGAACTCGCCAGCTGGATGAGAAGATACTTGGAAACAAATAAATACCGGGAACCCAAATCTGTCAGCTGGTCTTTTTTCTCACCGCCTGTTGGAGGGGGTCTCTGAAATTGGATTAACCTCGGCACAATGCAATTTGATTAAGTTCGTTTAGATCAAATTGGACGCCTCAGCATCTCGGGCGTGGATTTAGAGGGGTGTTCAGCCCTTGCTGCCTAATTAAGTCCCCAGTATTCACATGCTAAGCCACCCTCAATCAATTTGGGGGGCAGTCATCACTCCATCCATCCAACCACCCCTCAGAACCCTTCAGCGGTCTGTCAAGGTCGCACGCGATAAAGCCCCCTGACAATGAAATTGAAAGTGTTTACCATAGAGCCGCCTCCATCGCAAAAAAGAAAAAACTGAAATGGGGACAAAAGTGGAAAACGCTGAAAGAGAAGCGCCGCCGCCGACAGGAGAGCACATAAAAATGGTGTGCCACGCATGACTATGATGGGTCTGGTCTGTTCGGAAGGCCGGTTCCCAGTTCCAAATGGATGGTGTAGAACTCGAGTACGGCGGCTTGTTTGGATTACGCTTTTTTTTCGGGGCTCAGTTCGTGTTCGCATCGAGCGCGGTCCGGGCGATTTCCTCCGCTTTCAGTTTCCCGGATTCGATTAGAGTGCGTGTATCCGTAGTTTGTGTGTGCCTCGATTTCCCAGTTCCTAACTCTAAGCTCCCAAATCCCACACCCCTGGCCATCTCCCAAGCGTCTTCTTTTTTTTTGGGTTTTACTGCGGGTGTGTGTGGGGCTGGCAATTAAGGTCTTAATTAGACGTAAACTCGTGTCGGAAGTGAACTGCGAATTGCTTTGTCACATTGCTCCCGACAGCCAACACTAGTCGTCAAAACTGTGGACCGAAGGTGCCCTTATATTGTATCATATCCAGGCAATTCTAAGACGCTCATTGAAATGTTCGTTAGCATTGTTTGATATACAACATGGGCCAGCACTAAAAACATTTTTGAAACTACAAATATATTGGGTATACAGGGAATGACAAAAGAATGTCTTATCTAAGTACCAAAAAATGTTCTTATTGATGGATACTCTGGGTTGATTAAGCTTTATGATATCACATAATCAGTTTTACACATGTATGTTCAGTTCTGAAGTACTATTTCGGATGGGAAGTACAATTACTTCCTTCTCTCACAGAAAAAACAACATATAAGGATTATTCGCATGGTAAATTCAAAAAGTATCATTGAATATGATCTCAATTCGAAAGAGAGAGAGAGCGCCTTAAATTACTCTAGGCAAGAGCGAGACAGCAATATTTGAAACTCTCTAAAAGCAAAAATCAAGTTGGAGACAGAATCTAGACAGAATTGATACTGAATTGCATCACAATGCTCATTATATCCAATTAATTGTGCATCCCAAGAGGTGTTCTTGCTGGCCCTCCAGCCACAAAGTCTTCCGATTCCCACTTCCGGCTGTCCAGTGTAAAAACAACACATGGGCAGCTCTTGTGTCCACAAATGTACATATATGTGCGTGCTGGGCACTGCTATTTGGTTTTGTGGTTATGCTTATTAAGTCAATTATCGCCCAATTGCGCCGCCCTGGACCGCATAGGTGACCGCTGTTCGTTGGTCGGGAGCTCTGATGATGGGAAACTGGGATACTTGGATACTGGTGTACTGCGAGGTCCATGCCATCCCATCCCATCCCCAGCATCTCCTAAACCCCGGCCACACCTCAGCTGTTTTTGTTTGCCATTTTGATTTTAATTGGAGCCGAAACACCAAAGGACTCTTATAAGATTCTGACACGACCTTGTGGCCGAGTTGAGTTTGTTCTGGGCTTATCAAGAGAGACAGGGAAGTAGGGGGATTATCTTTGGCCTTGTGGTACACCCAAAAAAAAAAACCAGGAGGTTAAGATTTAATATTGAAATTAAAGTATAGATTCAAGGTTCAAGATTAAAAAATATAAGGTCTAATTTACAATTTCATTTATATTTATATTTTAAACCAATTATTTGCAATCTAATACTTTGGAAAGTCGTTATTTTATACCCATCTTATCGACGCCTAACCGATACTCTATAGTGTAGATATATTCTACAAACTTTGGCTTTTCTATGACTATTTTTCTCGGTGCAGGAATTGTCGATACGGTTATAATTGAATTTAAAGAGCTCTCACACATCAATTGAGAGCCCAGGGATAGAAACAGCTTAACCACAACAATCAAGGCTTGTTGATTATGGCTTTTGATATTGATAAATAGCCTGGGGTTTCCAGGCAACAGACAATTAAAGATTTTCTGCCACAAACAGAATGTTAACTTAGAAATCTAGGCCTCTAATGCCAAAACTATTCCATTCTTGTATATTTACTTAAAATAAGTATATTAGTAATTAGTACATTTCAAAAGTGCTTGCTTGATAAAAACTACTCGATTTTTAATTGTCAGAAGTCGTTGAGTGTCTAATCAGTGCCTTTGCGAAAGTTGTAATGATAAGTTTATCATTATTGATTGCCTGTTTGGCCGATTGCTAACCCAACCCACCTTCTGATTGGCAGCCAATTGTTGTCGTTTGTCACCTAAACCCCCCCTCTCCCTGCTTATTATCCCCCTGGCTCAACTATTGTGGATCCAAAGGGCAGTGGCACGTGGCAGCTGCAGTACGTCAGCAGCTCCAGATGAAACGGCTCAGTTGCAAGCTTCAGTTAGGAGAACCATAATGATGATAATGGGAATGGGGATGGAGATGGGGATGCGGATGGTGGGCGGGTGTTTGCTGATGGTGTTCTAAAATAGAACTGCAGCAGCTTTACCCTGGGAATTACGTACCATGACGCATACGCAACGTTGCCCACCGGCCAGCACGTGTCCAAAAGTAAGGGGATTGTGACCGAGTGGTCATTCGATGCGGGGGAGAACAGCCAAATTGATAAACTCTAGCATTGGCATGATATGAATTTTGATTTTGATTTTGATTTTACAAGCGAGTGCAATTCGGCGCTGTTCCAATTGAGGGAGCGTTGAGTTATGGCCATTATGTGCTCCCTGGGATGCAGCAGCTGAATCTAATCAACAGTAGCAGCAGCAGCACAATAAACCTTCTTGGTATCGCAAGGACATGGACAACTCCACTTGACAATCCTTGACGGGCAGCAGACCAGTGGGCAGGGCCAATCCGTTCGAGGGGAAAACACATAAGTGAGGGAACTACTGCCAGCGATAAGCATTCGCCCATAAATTCCCATTTTCGACAGTCAACGAAGGGAGCAAAATAAAAAGGAAATTCGCACTTGAGCAAAGCAATTTCCACCGACAAGCGCTCTTAGCACTTCACCCATTTTCATTTCACTGTCCGGAAACGTAAACAAGTTAACAATGCATAATAATAACAACTTGAGCCACAACAACAACTGCCAGCCCAACGGCGACTGTTCAAGAACTTTGAATGCCACTTGCGGCTCCCGAACGGGGGATTCCCCGGCTGTTGGTGGCAGTGGCAGTGGCACTTGCATGTCCCGGACAGCTGTCACGGACACCGAGATCCCGCCAGGAGACGGAGCAACTGCAGCCACAACGGAGGCGGCCTTCTGGTGGCCACTGCAGCAGCCGCAACAAGCGTAAGTCGTACTGGAAGTTACATCGCAGTGGACAATCGAATCAACCAATGGTGGAGACACTAAGCCCTTATGACACTTGCTTAATTTCTTGGCTAAATGAATGGATTTTTTTTAAAGTCATGGCAAGCTAGAAAACATAATGTTACGAATTTATTTCTAAGCTGTTATTCTTGTCAGCTGTTCAAAAGCTTCAGAAATTTCAGCCTTTCAACATTTTCGAGGCTGTTGAATCATTGAAAAGCAAAGTTTTCATCTTGTTATATTAAAATTCCACGGCAACTCTTTAACATTTTTATAATATCATCAGCGACGTATCACATTATTACCTTAAAATCAAATTCAAATATATATTTTAAATTTCTTAGAACTATAGGACAGTAACTAACAATGATATCTAAAACTTTACATGTTTTTGTTTCCGAAAATGCCGATAACTAATCACAACTATTTGACAATTCGTTCCCTCTTTTGCTGATACTTTGTCTTGAATTTCCAAAAATTCAGCAATTCAACAGCTTACGAAAAATTCAGTATACATTAAATCACGTTTAGGTTGCCATGACTTTAAAAAAGAAATCCAGTCAGTTGGTCAAAAATCTAACAATAGTCAAAGGTAGCTTTTTGAACTAGATATATTTTGAAGGTCAATATATAAATGAAAAATAATCGTGACCTATGAATATTTTTTCGAAATTAAAGCCAGTGTCATAAGGCCATAGGCTATGCAAACTTTTTGTTTCTATTAAAAAAATAATATTCTTCTTCCAAAAGTTATACATTTGATAAGTCAAAACAAAACAGACAGTATGAGAGAAGAAAACTATACAGAAGTTCACAAAAACGAATTTTTCCACTGCAAGAAATAAGTATTTTTTTGTTTTATTTTAATTTTTACAAAAAAGTAAAAGGTTTTTTGATACAATTTAAACCAAACGCAATTTTGCTAAATCAAATTTATAACGTCAGCTTTGGATAGGTTTGAACATCATATATTCTCTAAGTCTGCAGCTATCAAGTACTGTAAAACTTTTGACATGTACGAGTATGTTTATGTTTGACACGTACTTAGTTTAATAAAATAAATTAGAGATGTACAATAAACACAATACCCCTTAGGGTCTTTGGATTTCCAAGCTTTCTGGATGAAGTTATTGACAGAATAACCCCTTAACTATTATATCTTAGTGCGGAAAAGGTATATTTCAGTCTTTTGAAACCCACACAATCTTAGCCAATACTCATTGCAAAATTTCCCATTTAAAAAGGGAGGATAATATTATAAACCACTTTTATCGTAAGTCATTCATTCTTATGTAATTATTCAATTTAATTAATAATACAATTGAAATAGCCCGAGGAGATAAACAAATGCTTCAACAAGATTGCGTATTGTACAAACAGTTTTTTACAAATTGGCAGCATAAGTCTATTTACAAATGGACAAATAAAGTGCTCTGATTCAGTGTCAATGGACCGATTATGAAAAATATAATCAGCTAAAAACAGAATAACACGTATTTAATGTGCAATGTGGTGTGTACATATATGTACTATATACATGAAAGATGCTAATGTGTACCGATGACCTTTTGTCGTTGGAAAATGTTGATCGCGTCGCTTGTAAACAAAACACTGCCAATCGGTTCGTTGACGCACTTGAGCATTCAGCCAATGGAATTGAGAGCTATGAATTCCCAAAAGCAGAGTTCCGCGGCTTGTTATCAATGCAAATGAAAGGCAAACACCCTCCACCCTGAGAAAACACGGGTAACTTGCGAGTTTTCTCACAAACATTGCTCATACGCAGCGTATAACCAAAGGCAAACACGGGCTAATGGCAGCCGCGCCATATCTCTGTCATCGCAATCAATAATCTGGGCACCCAATCTATGAAACTGTTCAGTTCCCAGGGACTTAGAGCGTATTTTTAGATCCGCGGAATCGGCCGCATCAATTGACGCGCAATCCGCTGGCAGTGACAATTAACCCACACAAGCGGATTAACCCATATTAATGAATTCACATTTATGCATTTATTAGGCTATTTTTAAACCCGACGATCTCTAATTAATCCGATTAGTCACATCTCTGATTTTTGGCAAAATTATGTGGTGCATCTCTTGTCGAATCTGTACCTTTTGACCTCGAATTAAATGCTTAAAATACTTAAAGCGAATTTAATTTTGAATAATACCAATTATGGGTAGTGTGTACCAATACGTATAGTTTCGTTACCATTGGTTACCATTTAATAGAAAAACTACCATAAATGGTAGTTCTTTGTATTTTCTTGTTGGGAGATTAACTATTTCGATGTTTAGATTGACAATTCGATCGATTGAGACCATTAAACTATTATATTGGGCAATTTTTCCTCGAAGTTTTTTGTGTATGGACAAGAAACAACGTTATTTCCTTTGAACTGTCAAACTAAAACAGTGACACCTATTAAAAGTATGTATACACTCCGATTATGGGCTTTCATCCTTAAGCCCCAATCGATTAAAAGTCAGCAACATTCTTGTGTTTGGAAAATTGGCAAAGCTGCTTCAGCTGGAAAGTGGAAAACGTAAAAATTAATTATTGCAGCAAGATTCTGTGCCCTTTTGTGGCGTGTGTTTTGTCTCAGATTTATGCATTCCATTCGAATTTGGGTTGACAAAAGCAACAAAAGGGTCGTGGCAACAACCACGAATAAGATCGGCCAACAAAGTTGGCCAACAGGGAAGATTGGTCGGGAGAGGCAGCTGGAGGGCAAGGAGCCCCAAAGAGGATGCAACTTTTTCGCTTATTTGGCAAATGTTCAAGTGGACCAGAATTGCCAAAAGGGACAGCAGAATAAATAAACGCACAGCATGGACACCCAGCGTACATAAAAAACCGTCCCCGAAATCCAAAAAATACGAGTCTGGGTCTGTTAGACAATAAAAACCCGAAACTGAAATGCTCTTTTTCGGGGGTGTTGGCATAATCTCCCTGGCCATGATTAATCGAGTTATTGATTCGGCAAACATTATAAAGTATTCAAAATATGAAAAACAGGAAGGGGGCGAGCTCTTTAAGCACATGAAAGCATAAAGGGCATAATTTCCCAACCATGATAAATCGAAATCATCAACTAACCCTTCCCCTACAAAAAAAGTGAAACGCCAAAGTCTAGGGTATCTCAAAACATTTTGTCCACGCTCATCCCGCTAATGAGTTTTCCCACAAAGAGGCGTGGCCCACACATACCATACAAAGTCCGTGGAAAGCCGAAAGGGGCGTGTCCGCCGGACCGCCCACAACAACTTTTCTACACTAATTGCTGACCGCAGCCGCCGTTGCAGTCGAAGCCGCGGCGAATTGAGTCCGAGTACCGCCTCCGGCTCTCGGAAAATGGAAATGGCCGGGGGCCCACCATCAAAGAGCAACGACAAAGTTGAAAATTGAATGTCAGGCGCTTTTCACGCCATTTCCATGCCGCATTTTCCCACTCAGGGCTCGTTTCTCACGCCATTTCACTCGTGATTCCATGCCAAATTGATAACCCATTGACATCCCTTACCGATCGAACGATCAGCAAAATCGATAGACGTCAAATCAACATTCTAGATTATTGTAATACATTAAATAGTGCATGTCGTATCGATGGAGAATGTGTAATAGAATTGCTGAGTGAACTTTACTAACGAAAGCCTTCTAAATATTAATACAATGCTTTATCCTTGCCTCTTAAAACTGAACTGACAGTTTAATTTTAGTGTTATATCGGGTTGATTGCCACAATTAACTTGTGTATAAAGAAATCTATGTTTGAATGCACACATAGTGTAGTAAAGAATTTTATTTTAAAGCCCAAGGGTATGCAATACAACACTATAATGCATTTTAACACAATAATTGTTTTCCCTTCTTTGCAGAGTGTTTGTGAACAGATCGTTGCATTTGGAGAACATCAAGTACTATGGCTTCGATATGGACTACACCTTGGCAGGTTGGTAGCTTCTAATTTCCCTCACAGCTAACTAGATATCACTAATAAATATATTTTTAAAACAGAGTACAAGTCGCCGCAGTACGAGCAACTGGGCTTCAACCTGGTCAAGGAGCGGCTGGTTTCCATGGGCTATCCCAAGGAGATCCTGCAGTTCGAGTACGATCCCACGTTCCCCGTTCGCGGCCTGTGGTTCGACACGCTCTACGGAAATCTACTGAAAGTGGATGCCTACGGCAATATCCTGGTCTGCGTTCACGGCTTTGAGTTCATCAAGCAGTAAGTGGAGATGTCTTTAACGTAAAATGGGAGAACCTCATTGAATTCCTTTTGCTGCAGTCACCAGGTGTACGAGTTGTATCCCAACAAGTTCTTGAAGCTGGATGAGTCACGTGTTTATGTCCTCAACACACTCTTCAACCTACCGGAAACCTATCTTCTGGCCTGTCTCGTTGACTTCTTCACCAACAGCAGCGAATTTGTGCGGTAAGTTTGGCTCACATATTGGACTGTCTCTTTGGCTCTTTGGATCTCTTATAAAAGTTTGGGGTCCGTCTGAAACCGAAACTGTTGTACTTTTAGGGGAATACCTCCTTATATTATGTTATAATTTTAGCTGAATATCAAGAAGATTTAGAAATTCATAGTTGTTTCAAGTTATACAATTAATTGTTACTTGCTTTTGAACAAAGATACCTATTGACGAGGTAAAAAATCTAGTGACGATCGCAGATTCAACATACACATGCTCTGATATCAACTTTTAAAACGAAAACTGATTAAACGATTGACTTAATAATTACACTTTCTCAATAATGAATGATGATGATAAGAACAAATTTAGTCCGATCAACGCTTATTTTTTTATAAGGAAAATTTCAAAAAAGTGTACTTGTCTCCACCGGTTTTCTAAGCTCTAATTTCCCAAATTTTATACTTTAAACTTTCACCTTAATATATCGTGAATAGAGGTGGAGAAAACTTCGCTTTTCCGATGTTTTAACAGGCAAACATTGATGTAAGATCAAAAAACATCGATGTATCAACACAGTATCAACCGTCCACAGTGATAATATGGTTACAATCTTTCGTTTTATCTGTTTAGGCCATACAAAACATACTAAAATTGTTTTAGTTTATGTGCATTGTATAGAACAGTTAACATAACATTTACAAACTGGTAACCCCTCACAGGACGTAGTATTTCCCATATAGAAAGACACTCGGCCGATTGGCTCCTTTATCTGAGTCTTCTGTTCTCCAACCACCGCCTCTGTGTTTCCCCTTCTCTACTTTCTCCTCTACTTTCTTTTTCTTTCCCCCGACAGCGTTGAGCGCGGCATCAAAGCTGGCGATTTCCTTTTCACCTACAAGTCGATTTTCCAGGACGTGCGACGTGCCGTCGACTGGGTGCATTCCGATGGCGACCTCAAGCGTCGCACCACGCAGGTGAGTGCTCCTTACAGATTACCTCCTCCAATAGATGAACCTGGACCTCTCATATTCCATCCACTAGAACATGGCCCACTATGTGAAGAAGGACGAGCGTTTGCCCACGGTTCTATCGCGCCTCCGCGAATCGGGCGCCAAACTCTTCATGCTGACCAACAGCGACTACACGTACACCAACGAGATCATGACCTACCTGTTCGACTTTCCCCATGGCGCCACTCCCGAGGAGCCGCACCGCGATTGGAAGAGCTACTTCGATGTGATCGTAGTGGATGCCCGCAAGCCGCTCTTCTTCGACGAAGGCACCGTTCTGCGGCAGGTGGACACGAAGACCGGGGGCCTGAAGATCGGCACCCACATTGGACCCCTGCAGCCGGGTCAGGTGTACTCGGGCGGCTCCTGCGAGCTCTTCACCAAGTTCATCAACGCCAAGGGCAAGGATGTGCTGTACGTGGGCGACCACATCTTTGGTGACATTCTCAAGTCGAAGAAGATCCGCGGGTGGCGCACCTTCCTCATCGTGCCCGAGTTGGTCAGGGAGCTGCATGTGTGGACGGATGAGTGCCAGCTGTTTGCGGAGCTCCAGAACCTGGACATCAAGCTGGGCGACCTCTATCGGGATCTCGACTCGAGTGCCAAGGTCAAGCCGGACATTTCGCAGTTGCGCACCTGCATCAGGGACGTGACCCACAAGATGGACATGTCCTACGGCATGATGGGCTCACTCTTCCGCTCCGGATCGCGGCAGACCTTCTTCTCCAGCCAGGTGGTGCGATATGCCGACGTCTACGCGGCCACCCTGCTCAACCTCATCTACTACCCCTTCTCGTACATGTTCCGGGCTCCGGCCATGCTCCTGCCGCACGAGTCCACCGTGGCCCACGATCAGGCCCACCAGCCGCCTCCGCCGCTGGCCCCAGTTGTCCCCATCGCGGGAGCCTCCTCGGTGGCAGCATCGCCGGATGAGCCGGCTCGCATTGTGGCTGGCACCGAGCAGGCCAAGGACACCAAGGACTTGCATCGGGCCGTAAGCATTTACTCATTAACATCCATTATACATAACCGATGCTAAAACGGGGCCTTCTTTCTTCCAGAGCTCCATTGTACACACTCGTCCCTCGACGCCCACCGTGGTGACCCACACCCATGACGAGGACTACTCCGAGGAGGAGGAGACACCCAGTGGTGCCGAGTCTTCCACAGAGCAGCCGCTGCGCGACGCCTCCGAAGACTAGGAAGCAAGCCACCCCCCCCAGCCGGAATGTTTGGGTCAACGAATTTTCTTCTCAAACTTACCCGATGTTCCAAGAGGCGTTTCAACCTTTAAACCCATGCCCAAACCCAAAACCATCCCGAAATCCACACCGTGGTCGAAGCAATTGTGAAACATACGATTTTTCCTGGCGATTTTACCCGAGCACAGATATGTGAAACTATATACCATATATGATATATACATTATACATTATACATTAGCTGGTTCCGTACATATAATGTGTCTTTTTTTTTTAATTAAAACAATAAACTTGCTGTAATTGAAAGAAACCAACAGTTGTGAATAATTCATTAGGGGTGCTCAAAGTAAATGTACTTGGAAGAATATTACTATGTATTTAAAGGTAGTGGCTGATAATGACACCGGTATTTTTTAGGTGTGGGTAAATAAATTATAAAATTTTTATGATAGTTCTTGGTGACCCCGATCCATTAGCTTCATATGATAATTTTAATCCGAACGAATTAAGAATCGGAATATGTATCAAGAGAATATTTGGATGATACCGATACTTTTTAGCTACGGAAACTTAATTTTCAAAATATTATTTAGCCAAGCGCTGATATAGTGCTGATAGTTCTTGGTGACCCCGATCCTTTAGCTTTATATGGTCACTTCATAATCCGAGCAGCTAAACCCCAATTTCGCTATGGTAACATAAACAATTTGACTTTTCTAGTAATATTCGGGTTAAAATTTATTGATGCAGAATGAGATGGTGGAGAGGGTATTCGTGCTCCCTGCTCACTGCTTGGCGATCTTGTTGGCATTGCACTGGAGATCTGCGTAGATCTGCTCGTCCTGGATTTCGTTCTTGATCTCCGTGACTAGCTGAACGGCTTTGTCCTGCGAAATTAGATACATGTTCAGATTGCGAAGCATATGGATAGAAAGGGAAGCACTCACATGGAAGTAGACGTTCTTCTTGCCCGCCTGGAACTCTCCGAACAGGGCAAAGACATCCACCAACTTGCCGTGGGCGCCGAACTTGTCCGAGATCAAGGAGAACAGGTGCTTCACCGTCTCCTGCTCCACGCTGGTGGTGTCCTTTCTGATGAAGATGGCCCGTGGCAGCTGTACGTCTACATTGCAGGCCAGGAAATCGGTGACCGGTCGTCGCTCCAAGCTGGGGCACACCAGCTGCGAGTCCTTGTGCTTCTCCAGCTCGGAGGCGGGCACGATCTGTACCTCTCCATCGGCACTGGAGGACACACGGCAGGCGTCCAGACCACGTCGCTTGTTCAGCAGAGCAGCGGCTGCCCGGGAGCGTCCACAGTTCTCATTGAATTTCCTATAAGAAATGAAGTGTTTATTAAGTTAGTTGAAGCTATCAAAGGCGGCTCAAAAATAATGATTAATGATTGATCATTAGAAATGTAGCTAAACAGTTCGGAATGACATCCTAGGTATTTAGGGATTAATACTTTATTGATCAACATTTGGATCGATTATGGAAGATATGGCTTCCAAATGGGACAACTAGTAACACAGTATTGGCCACATAAAGTGGTTTATTAAAAGTTAAGGGATAAAGACTTGACTGATCACACTTTTCAATGAATAATATAAGATAGGAGGTGGGTTTCAGGTGGGTTATTGAGATTGTTTGAAGTCTAAATATTGATCGATCATATTCTTCGATCAATTATAAAAGTGTCTTGAAACCTACGATCATTAAAGTAAGATAGGTAGACATAGATTGGTTCGAAGTGTGAGGTGTAGATCATCAAGACAATCATTAAAGTATGATAGACTTCTAATGAACCTTTTAACTTAAAAACAATAATTTGATTGATCTTCAGGAGGTAGATCGATAGATTGGTTCCAAGAATCTTGAGTTGTACGATCATTGAAGTAAGATAAAGTTATAGATTAAAGCTTTCAACAAAAACAATTAGGCCTTTTAACAAAGAACAATAAATTAATTGATCATCAAAGGGTGACTTCTTCGAAAGGTTCTACACCTTGTTTATAATTAAGTACATAAATATACTCTTTGGTTAATATAAGAAGGAACTTCCGCTTTACGATCGTTAATGGATCAATAAAGAATTCTTATGAGGTCGAAGTCATAGTAACACACCCAATGATCTATCTACTGATGAATTTGAAAAAGGGAAGATCTACTTACAGGCTGGCCTTTTGGAGGGCCTCCCGAGTAACGCTGGGTGCTGCCACAGCCACTAGGACATCGTCCTGGGCCCTCTGCTCGTAGACCACAGGCTGCAGCTCGTTGCGACGGGCATCCGCATAGCCCGTGGGCGGCACAATGGCCAGATCGGCCTCCTTCTTGGTCAGAGCCACCACGCAATCGGTGGACTGGACGCACTCGAGCTCAGGACGAGCATCGCGGGCGTAGGCCGCCTGGTGGAGGGCCTGGCACTTGGCGAGCTCATCGTCGTTCTGGGCGCACAATCGGATCTTCCGGATGGCACTGCCGTCGCGCTCGATCACATCCTTGTAACCGGCACGCTCCAAATAGACCTTGGGATCGATGGCCGCGTCCTTGCTGTGGTACACGGCATTCGGCTGGATGAGCAGGTGGGCGGCGGCGTCCTTGTTCTGCGCCTGCAGACCGTTGTTGAAGAACCGCTCCAGCCGCGACTGCAGCTGGTGCAGCTGGTCGGCGCTATGGACGGCCTTCTCGTTGGAGATGTAGCCGCTCCAGGGGCGCTGGGCCCAGGAACAGGCGGGTCCGGTGATCGGTCGTCGGGTGCCGTCCTCGCACAGGTACTCGAAGTTCTCCGGATTGCCCTCCGCTGGCGGAGCATCTGGTCCGGCGCCGGGCAGGCCGAAGTATTTCTTAATGTACTGCACCTTCGAGAAGGCTACCTCGCCCTGGCCCTTGTCCAGGCAGCGGATGGCGCCGTCGTAGCCGCTGAACTTGTCCGGATAGTTGCACTGCTCCGGCTTCTCGCACAGGGCACACAGGTTCGAGTACTTCTTCTTCAGCAGGCGGTCCGTGTCCGGGTGCGTGGAGTAAGTGCCCACCAGGCACGACTGCGTGAAGAACTCGGACAGGGACTTGAGCTCGCGCTCCGTGGCGGAGATCTGTGGATCGGCGGACACCTTCAAGACATGCGTGTTCTTCAGCTTGGTGATGGGGATCTTGTAGCCCACGTTGCGACCGAAGCCAGTGTGGCAGGACTTGGCCCCACGCAGCTGCTGCAGGGTGCGGATGGGGGAGTCCTTCTTCACCAGGATGATGCCCTCGTAACGGAAAGCGGCTGCGTGGGGAAAGGGAGATGGGATATGGAGTGAGTACTTGAACAATGTAAATATATTTCTGGGTTTTCGGTTCTTTTGGTATATACCGCATTTTTAAGTATCTTATATATAATGAGCTTTGGCCACTCTATTTTTTTGCCCTTCGAGCCTTATGGTTCGAGTACCTGCTATCCATCAAGGGATTCACTTTCTTCGCGGTTATATCACTCATTTCCATGAAGGATTCGTTTCCATAGTCCTGGTTAGAGTACCCATAACCATCAACACTCACCTTCCTTGTCCTGCTGCGTGCGGATCTCGGAGACCACGCGGTAGTCCTCGTTCTTGCGGTGGTACGCGATGTACATGTCCTCCGGCTCCGTGGCCAGCACATCAGCCTTGCGCTGCTCGATCAGCTCCAGGCAGTCGACACGATCCCGTCCAGCCACGCACTCCATGCGGATGCCCGCCTCCGAGGGATCGGCCAACAGCTGCTGGCACTCGGCCAAGTAGATCTGCGGCACACACAGGCGATCTGCGGGATGAGTGATTTGGGAGCTGTTAGATGGACTTAACCGGGTGCGCGGGAGATAACCTACAAATGGGCTCCTCCGCTCCGGAGGATGGTGGACCTAGGATCAGCAGGAGGGCGGCCACCGCCAACGGCAGCCAGGTGCGGGTCTCTCTCGGCGACATCATCTCAAAACAGTTGAAGCTCGACTGTGAAGAATCCGGAGCCGGCTGGTGGCTTTTATAGCCACCCAGAGGTGCTGCTTCTTCTCCCGGCTTCGTGCTCTTTTTTGCATTTGTTTGTTCTCTTTTGCTTCTGTTTGCCCGGCGACAAGGAGGAATAATAATAATAATAATGAAGAAAGACAGTCCCGGGGACCGGTTTTTTTTTCGCAGGGGAAGGCGTGAGTGGGCGGCCATCCAGGCCTATACTCCGGCAAACGAGTTTTGCGACACTGATATATGACTAGACCTGGAAAACTATGGGAGATTTGCCACTCGTTTAATAGATTTATCGATCCATGATCTACCTTAAGGTGGACCACCCCATCTGTGCTTTGGAAAGAACAATGTATGATCGATCTAAATCAGAATTCAGCCCGAGGCGATTGTGTGTTGGTTACTCTGTTACGATCTATCGATCATATCGCGTCTATGCCGTTCTTTCACCGCTTTCTCTTGGCAGAATTCATTTGAGCATGCATACTAATTTTTTAAATAAATCGTTAACGATAGCTTAAGCGAAAACAATAAAATTAATAGTTTCATACTCGGGGATCGGCAAAACCGCAACACCTTTTGACAATTTAGAGAACAGCGCCCACTTCAATTAATTGTCTTGGCACTTGATCCCCTAATCGATCGTTGCACATATATGCACTCCATATATAAGCACTCTATCTGTATATGTACGAGAAGACTGATCCCAAGCCACCGACTGGTACTCAATGTGTGTACCCATTGAGTTATATAAGTAAGCTTTCTGCTGCACTGGGCCTTTGGGTTTCCAGGAATACAGTGGTGCTGTGCTCCCCCTACCAAATAAACTAGTCCAATAATCATGCGATTTGAGCCCTTATCCAGAGGTATACCTATTTTTGGCGAGCATTCTGGTTCCCATTGTGCTGGGGCCCAGCTTTTGCAATTCTATTTTTCACTTTCTCAGCTTTTGCGCGGTTTTGATTTGCATTCATCTAATGATTTGGCTGCTTTAAATTCGCTTTTCTTGGAAGTAAACAAATTAAGAGTAATTGCCTTTTAGATATACTCTTCAAGGGGATCTTATTATGCTGATCAAGGCTTGAAGGTGACTGAGTTAGATTAAAAATTTAACAATATATTAATATATATTATTAATATTAATTATGAATATATATTATATTAATATTAATTATTAAAGTTAATTAGATTAGACTATAAAAATAAGAATAAAGTATTTTAATACTTGCTTTGCCTTTTTAAACCTTAATAATTTTCAAGCTAAGACTCGACAAAATCATCACTTTCTTGGTAGAAAGCTTCCACAATCTCTATAAACTTGCAGAAATGGGTACCTAATAGAGTACCTAATAATAAATAATGAATATTTTTAATATATTTCCTCTATAATAGCATGGAAGTAAGGGTATCCCATATTCAAACAACCCACGAATTAGCTTTCGTCTCTAGTTTTGTTTATTTATTTTCGCTTCGCTATCAGGGGATTTGTTTATTCAGGCCGGGCACAGAACCTGTTCCACGGGCTGGATGCGATGGGATCACCTAGCTAGTCACCCGCATCGACCAAGTGCAGTACAGGGAGGCCAATTCCACATTCTACAGTATCCCACCGCGACAATTGGCGACCTGCTTTAAATGCAAGCCGTGCCTTTTTGGGGGCGTGGTTGGGTAACGAGTGGCGAGTGGGGAGTGGGGGCGGCAATTGAGTGATGAAGCGCTGAACGAGATCACAAAGGCCCTCTGGCGTGGGCGGGGATCTTTCTAGTAGAATCGAACGGAGACCGAATTAGACTGTTTGTTATGCCGTATGTATGTTCGCGCACTTGGCACTGGGCAAGGTCAAAAGCCTCGCATCGGACGGGAATCTCCCCGGATCGCAATGGGTTGGGGATTTTTTCCATGTCGCCCGGGGTGGACCCTTATCAGCCGTCCTCTAGCGCGGAGGCTATCTGCAGCCAGGTAACAGGGCCACACCCAACGCAAAATTACACTTTCTGTTGGCAGGGAAATAGGCGGCTGGAGAATAGCTTTGCCTGCAGCCATGAAATTCATTTGTTTTCCACACGAACATCTCATTTATTGAAAACCCGTATGCGATTAAAATTAAACATTGATAGTTAGACACTTATTATAGAAAAAACAACAAAGTGAAGCTCATGTTAAATGTAGGGAGACCCCAAAGTGTTTTTAGAAATATAAACCAAAACAAGAAAGAACGCTATAGTCGAGTACCTCGACTATCAGATACCCCTAACTCAGCTATAGGGACAAAAAGGAAATGGAGATACAAGCAGCAAAGCGAGATTGAAATGCGCCACCTACCGGCAGTAGACAGATTTAAGCGTTATGGGCGTTAGAGTGGGCGTGGCATATTTGCGTAACAAACCTGCGCTGCGTATAAGGCTACAGAATCTAAACCTGAAATCCCAATTCTCTATCTTTGATAGTATCCGAGTTATCCGCTGTTATATTTACGATTTTTTTTTAAAATTGTGGGCGTTTTGTGGGCTTTAAAGTGGCGTGGCAAACTTTTTTTGGGTGAATCGATAGGTATTGATGAGAACAATACATTTCAGTTAAAATTTTTATTCTAGCATAACGACTGTAGGAGCCACAGTTTTGGGCGGTTTGTGGGCGTTAGAGTGGGCGTGGCACACTGCTGAATGTATCTAACAGGTATAAAAAGCGTTTCTGACCCTATAAAGAAAATATATTCTTGATCAGGATCACTAGCCAAGTCGATGTCCGTCGTAAACTATAAAAGATAAAAAGTTGGAATTTGGCATGTAGATTCTTGAGCTTCTTGCGTAGGGCAAGTTTGTTTCAACAGGGTGACACGCACAATGGCCGATAACGAAAAGACCCGTCTACAACCAAAATATTTTAATATTTTAAAATTAAGGATTTGATGAGTACTATCAGATGTTGAAATGGAAACGGTGGTAATCCTAAAAATGTTGTAGTCTTGACTTGCCGTAAGACTAAAATAAATCGAAATGAGTTTTTTGACAAGTCATCATCATAGACACCGTAGACATTTCTGTTCAATCTGTTTGAGCCTTTGGATCTTATTGCACATCATATTTCCAAGGAATTTTAAGAAAGCTTGCAATTTTTGTTTAATTTTAGACTACGAATTGGAATAACAACAGAACCATGGCCAAGGACTTCTACAAGGTGCTGGGCCTCCGTCGCGGAGCCCCTGACTACGAGATCCGTATGGCGTTCCGCAAGCAGGCACTGCGCTACCACTGGCACTGCGACAAGAACAAGTGCGTTTCAAGCAGGTGGCCGAAGCCTACGAGGTCCTGTCGGACAGGAGAAACGCGATCTGTTCGACGACCTGGGCGAGGAGGGTCTCCGGCGGGTCAGCTACCAGTTCCACGGTGATCCGTACGCCACCTTCGGCAAGTTCTTCGGCTACAGTTACGCGTCGTCCGACGACGACGACGACTTTCCGGTTGCATCAGGATCAGGGAGGCGCCTGCTCCCAAAGAATCCGCCGGTAGAACACGGGATCCTCGTGACTCTCGAGGAAATAGCCAAGGGGTGCACCAAGCGCCTTACGATCTCGCAACGGAGGATCTCGTTTAGAGGGCGGGCGACTCGACGTAGCCAAATGCTCATCGTCGAGATTCGTCCGGGCTGGAAGGCGGGTACCAGGATTACCTTTACCGGCGTAGGCGACCAGTTGCCCAACCGGCGGCCCGGTGACGTGATCTTCGTCCTTCGCGAGAAGCCGCACCCCTTTTTTCGCCGGGAGGGGTGCGACCTGCGCTTCACGGCCCGCATCTCGCTGGGGGAGGCGCTTGGCGGTGCCCACCTGGAGGTGCCGACGCTCCAGGGCGAGTCGCTGCACCTCTGCACCAAGGGAGAGGTCATCAGCCAGAATTCCACGCGCCGCTTCCCGGGCCAAGGACTGCCCCATCAAGTGATCGACTGGTGCCGCGGCGACCTCGTCGTCGACTTTTCAATCAAGTTCCCCGAAACAATTTCGGATATCCTCGCTGTAATTCCCCTTGCCCTGTTGCCCAGGAGTCGCAGCCATGTCGCAATTGACGGCTTTATAATACCATTGTATTCCCCACGATTTATGTACCTCCTGAAGAATATGCGGTTGCTCCCAATAAAAAACCAAACACACTGCTTAATTCAGATAAGTTCTTTGGGCAGTTCTACAATATATTATATACAGAGTATATTCTGACGTTCTTATCTTAGTTGAAAATGTTCTTAAAAAGAGAACGACATTTTTAAGTTGAAAATGTTTTTATTTTGCTCGAATCAAGTTGAATTGGCGGTATTTAAGTACATTGTATGTTCAAATAAACTATTAGTTCAGTCCTTAGTGTATACTTATCAAAAAGTTGTTAAATAAACTCATTTTAACTTTTCTCTTCTCACCATTTCGTTCTTAAAATTATACCAAAATGTAGGTTTTTAAGAACGAATGTTCTCAATTCAAGAACAATGTTCTCAACTCAAGAACAATGTGCTCAATTCAAAAACAATGTTCTTAGATAGTTTTCTCTGTGTAGTACTGAATAAATTACTGGGTAAAAGCGTTTTCAATTAAAAGCGATTTGTACCCCCTGTAAAATTAGCAATTAAAAACCAAAGATATAAGAAAACAAGAAAGGAAGCTAACTTCGGCAAGCCAAAGTTGTTATACCTTTGCAACTAATTACAGAAATATTAAGATAATGTTCCATTTCAATTTACTTCCTTGTATTATTTTGACATTAATTTTTAAAATTTTATTCGATATTTTGAAATATTAAAAAAATGATACTCCCAAGAGTAGAAGTTAATATGCCAAAAAACACCGAAGTTAGATTTTGTTACATTTAAAACGAAAATTTGTATCATTCCTATGGGAGCTATACTATATAGTTGTCCGATCCGGCTCGTTCCGACCTATATACTACCTGCAATAGAAATAAGACTTTTGGGAAGCTTTCATCCCAATAGTTTTAAAACGGACAGACGGATATAGCTAGATCAATTCGTCTAGTGATGCTCAGGGAAAAACACCGTGCTACAATCAAGGACAAACATTCTTGACTTAAGAACGATTTCATGCTTACCACTTAAGAACTTTCGTGCTGAAAAAGTTGTCACATTGAGCTCACTTTTGGATTTAAATATCTAATAATTCCCAACTTTTTATTCTGAGAACGCTCGGTTTATAAGGCGCATAAAACGCACGGTGTTAATGCCCGTGAGCAGCAAATCGTAAGTAAACTTATAATATTAATGTAATTTAGATATAACTCGTTTATTTCATTTGCAGTTTCCAATACCTATTTCTTTTACTAGCATATAATTAAAACACAATTTAAATTTACAATATATGTATGTATATTTATTTAAGAATTATTCATCCTTAAATCATGCCTGCAACTTTCTTATTTTATTAATTAATCGTACTTGTTTTTAGTACAAATAAGACTACATTTAAGAAATATTTATACTTGATTGTAGACCAAAAGGTTCTGAAAACGAACTGAAATCGAGTATTTTCTGTTTTAAGAATACGTACTTGTAAGCTGTTCTTTGTTCTCGAGATTGGGATTTTCCATGCTTGGCAAAGTTTTGACACTGAAAATACTTGATTCAAGCACGAAATAGTTGATTTTTTTCTCTGAGTGTCCTTTGTGGGGTCGGAAACGTAAACTTCACTGCGTTTCAAACTTCTGACTGAAACCCTTGAGATGTTAGGAAGGGTAGCGTTATGGGCGATTGTAGGCGTTAGAGTGGGTGTGGCACCTGGCTGAAATTAAGAAGCTCAATAATCATGCCAGATTCGAACTTTCTTGCTTTTATAGTTTCCGAGATCTCAGCGTTCATACGGACAGACAGACGAACAGACGGACACGGCTTGATCAACTCGGCTAGTGATTCTGATCAAGAATGTATACACTTTATTGGCTGTTACATACTTTCCGTCGAATCTAGTATACCCTTTTACTCTACGAATAACGGGTATAAAAATGGTGTAAACGTAACAAGAATTTTTCGAGTATATTGGTTACTCTTAATGTAATCAGTTTATCAATAAACTTTTACACTAGTTTACAGTCAAAATGCTCCAAAAAGGATGATGGTAGTTCCTGGTAAAATTGGACCCCTAGGATAAGTTTTTTTAAGATTTTGTTAAGTAGATTTCTTCCTATTTTTAATTATATTTTGAGTTCCGCTTAACCAATTTAGGTGATATATATTTTAGTTTACATTACAATGTCACATTTTATTTGTGCCGTCACTTCTGTGATCCGAATGCGATATTGCCGAAGTCACTTCTGAAAATCATTTTATTTTTATTATACAACTCGGAAGTAACAGTTACGTTTGACTTATATTTAGTGAAAGTCTTTCATAATTGTTATCAAATTTTGAATTTCAACACCTAAGAGTACTTATTAAAACGGTCTATCCCCATTTGAAGATCCGCCCACTTAGCTCTCCCGCGTCCGGATATTATAGCGAATTAAGGATTTGGTGTAAACCTTTATTTATAATAATATATCAGCCAATATCTCTTAATCCCATTCAACGCCAAATACTTTAATATAGTGAAATCTAAACTGTGGTAACACTCTTAAGTCCTAAAAACGTTGTTATCTTGACTTGCGTTAAGTGTAAAATAAATCGAGAGGGGTGTTTTTGACAAGTCATCGTCATAGGCACCGTAGACATTTCTGTTCAATCAACTTAAGCCTTTGGATCTCATTGTCCAGCATAATTTCAAGGAATTTTAAAAAGTTTGCAATTTTTCTGTAAGTTTTAAGCCACAAATTAGGGAACCAGCAGGACCATTGCCATGGCAATAGCAATGGTTCTGCTGGATCTCTAACTTGTTTTTTGAAAATTACAAAAAAGTTGCAAACTTTTATAAAAGCCTTCTACAAGGCGCTGGTAACCCGTCGCGGAGTGTCACTGACTATAAGATCCCTAGGGCGATCCGCAAGCTGGAGCTGCACGACCATCCTGACAAGAACGAGAAATCCCATGCCGCTGAGATCTTCGAGCAGTTGGACAAGAAGAAAGGGTCTCCGGCGGAGACGTTCCCAGTTACCAGTTCCATAGTGATCAACAAGCCATCTCGACGAGTTCTTCGGTTCCAGCGATCCGGTGTCCGAGTTCTCCGAAGACGACTTCGCGGTGAGGGACTGGCCGGCTCCCAAAGAATCCGCCGGTAGAACACGTGCTTTTTATGACACTGGAGGACAAGTACTTCAAGTTCTCGCATCCATCCGGCTGGACAGGGGGCACCAGAATGAGCTTCCCCAAGGAGGACGACCAGGATGAGCTGATAAACCGCTTCCCGGGCCAGGGATTACTCCATCAACGGAACAGTTTACACTGCACTCATCGTCGACTTCTCCATCCAGTTACCGATAGCAATGCCACAGAAGGACACATCCTTATTATCCTTTGCCTTGGTCAACTTCTAATAAGTCCCAGCCACATCGCAACTATCTTATGGGGAACTGACGTTGTTTTTAAGTAAATAATCTTGATATTATGATTAGTATATAATATTGATATTATGATTAGTATCAAGATTATGTACTTGAAGACGACGTCAATTTTCCATATGATATTTGCGATATGGCTGGGACCCATTACAAGTTGGTCAAGGCGAAGGAAATCAAGAATGTGACCTCCTGTGTGATTGCTGTCGGCAACTGATGGTTGGTCAAGGCAAAGAAAATCGAGTGTCCCTACCATTGTAAAACCATTGTATTCCCCACAACAATATATTCAGAATCCGAGTTTGGCCTTGTCATTTATAAATCCACGAAAAAACAGTAGAGTATAGTTAATTAGTAGATGTATAATGATCAGGATTAAACGTCGGTGGAGCCTGGCTTGATTTGGGGATTGTCCGCGTGGCGCTGCTTGATGTGGACGCACATGTTCAAATATGCTTTATATGAAATGACAAAATCTTAAAAATAACTAAAATGTATATTTGAATTTTAGCGCCATGTACATTTGAACTGGTTCAGCTCCGTAAAATGGAACCAGTTCCAACAACACGCTTGCAGCCCTGGACTGTAAACTTATCGATAGCCCATGGGAACCGAGGCGATATAAGCTCACGTAAACCATTTAATTTTATTCTTTCCAATCCTCCCAGGTCTTTTATTCTAATTAGGCCTTGATAATAACATCTTAACGCTTTTGGCTTGCGCAATAATGCATCGATTAAGGGGCCCGCTCAAAAAGCGCCCCCTGTCGGCCGTGGGGAGTGCCGGCGAATGGTGCGCGTCCCCGCTAGCCGACAGCCCATCCCTGGACTCGGCTCGTTTGTTCCATCCCAAAATCAATCCACACAAGTGACACGTCGGAAGAGAAAAAAATTGTTAATCGGGAAACTAGGAAATTGGGAAACTTGGGTAACTCAGGCTAGAAGAAAAGGCAGCCACGATGACGTCGCAAGTGCCGTGCTACACGATAATCAACTCGCCGGACCTCGAGGTGCCCAACGAGATGCAGCTGAAGCAGGATCTCGAGAAGGGCGACACGAACGTGAAGATCGAGACGCTGAAGCGGGTGATCAAGCTGCTCCTGAACGGGGAGCGCTACCCGGGCCTGATCATGACCATCATACGGTTCGTGCTGCCGGTGCAGAACCACACCATCAAGAAGCTGCTGCTCATCTTCTGGGAGATTGTGCCGAAGACGTCGGCGGACGGGAAGCTGCTGCAGGAGATGATCCTGGTGTGCGATGCGTACAGGAAGGACCTGCAGCACCCCAACGAGTTCCTGCGCGGCTCCACCCTGCGCTTCCTCTGCAAGCTGAAGGAGCCGGAGCTCCTCGAGCCCCTCATGCCGGCCATACGCGCCTGCCTGGATCACCGGCACTCGTATGTGCGTCGCAACGCCGTCCTGGCCATCTTCACCATCTACAAGAACTTCGATTGGCTGGTGCCCGACGGGCCCGAGCTGATTGCCAGCTTCCTGGACACCCAGCAGGACATGAGCTGCAAGCGGAACGCCTTCCTGATGCTCCTCCATGCCGACCAGGAGCGCGCCCTCAACTATCTGGCCAGTTGCATCGACCAGGTGCACACCTTTGGCGACATCCTGCAGCTGGTCATCGTGGAGCTGATCTACAAGGTGTGCCATGCCAATCCCGCCGAGCGTTCGCGGTTCATACGCTGCATCTACAACCTGCTGAACTCCAGCTCGAATGCTGTCAGATACGAGTCCGCCGGCACTCTGATTACCCTTTCGTTGGCTCCCACGGCCATCAAGGCGGCAGCCAGCTGCTATATCGAACTGGTGGTCAAGGAGAGTGACAACAATGTGAAGCTAATCGTCCTCGATCGCCTGGTGGCCATGAAGGAGCACGAGGGCATGGAGAAGGTGATGCAGGATCTGGTGATGGACGTCCTGCGCGTTTTGGCCGCTCCAGACATCGAGGTGCGCCGGAAAACACTCGCCCTGGCCCTGGACCTGGTCTATTCGCGTAATATTGGCGAAATGGTGCTGGTCTTAAAGAAGGAGGTGGCCAAGACGCACAACGTGGAGCACGAGGACACTGGAAAGTACAGGCAACTGCTCGTACGCACCTTGCACACCTGCTCGATTAAGTTCCCCGACGTGGCCGCCAATGTTATACCCGTGCTGGTGGAATTCCTTTCGGACACCAACGAACTGGCCGCCGCCGACGTGCTGGTCTTCATCCGCGAGGCCATCCAAAAGTTCCCCGCCCTGCGCGCCCTCATCATCGAGCATTTGATCGAGGCCTTCCCGCAGATCAAGTCCTCCAAAATCCATCGCGCCGCCGTCTGGATTCTGGGAGAGTACGTTGAGGGACCGCAGATCCTCGAAGTGATTGCCGTCATCCAGCAGACGCTGGGCGAAGTGCCCATGGTGGAGGCGGAGCAGCGCCGGTTGGCTGGAGATCAGACGGAGGAGCAGAAGCAGCAGCAGGGATCCGCAGGCGGCAGTGCCGCTGGATCTGCCACAGAGGGATCCGGATCGGGATCCGGAAACGCCAGCAACAAGGTCACTTCCGATGGAACCTACGCCACCCAGAGCGCCTACAGTCTGGCCCCGTAAGTAATGACTACGTGGTACTTTTCTAACTCATCTGTTACAAGATGTCAAGCATAGCCAACACTGATAAAAAGGTTCTAGTTTGTCGCTTTAACATGACCATCATCCATTGTTTGGCGATGAGTCATCACAATATGAAGCACTTTACAGATATTTACTAGAAGCTTTCAGGCTAGCCAATACAGTATTTACTTTAAACAGCTTTCTAACACCGATTTATCCTTTCCACAGGGTGGCCAAGGCCGAGAAACGTCCTCCTTTGCGCCAGTACTTGATGGACGGCGACTTCTTCATCGGCGCCGCTCTATCCGCCACGTTGACCAAGCTGGCTTTGCGATACGCGGAGCTGCAGCCGGAGGCACGCGCCCAGAATCGGCTGACCACGCAGGTGATGCTGATCATGAGCTCCATCCTGCACCTGGGCAAATCCGGTTTCCCCACCAAGCCGATAACCAACGACGACACCGACCGCATCTTTGTCTGCCTACGCACGCTGAGCGAACGCACGCCGGAGGCTGTGGCCGTCTTCACACTGTTCTGCCGCGAGGCTCTGGGCAAGATGCTGGATGCCCAGCACGACGAGGACCAGCGCATGCTGAAGGAGAAGCAGAAGGCCACCGCCAAGGTGCAGCCAGACGATCCCGTGCTCTTTGCCCAGCTATCGAACGGACGCGACAACCAGCTGGGCGAGAACGTATTCGAGTCGAGCTTGAACCAGGCGCTGGCGGGCAGCAAGAACGCACAGATGAGCGACGTGGCCTCACCCAACAGCAAGCTCAACAAGGTCACCCAGCTGACTGGCTTCTCGGATCCCGTCTACGCCGAGGCCTACGTCAATGTCAACCAGTACGACATTGTGCTGGACGTTCTGATCGTCAACCAGACCAGTGAGTAGTCCTTTTCGCCCCAAAAGGAAGCATTTAAATCAATGAACTCCATTTCAGACGACACGCTGCAGAACTGCACACTGGAATTGGCCACGTTGGGCGATCTGAAGCTGGTGGAGCGCCCGCATCCGGTGGTCTTGGCCCCGCACGACTTCTGCAACATCAAGGCTAACGTCAAGGTCTCCTCCACAGAGAACGGCATCATCTTCGGCAATATTGGTGAGTGGCTAACGAAAAATCTGTGGTTGAAATCGCATCCTAAACCATTCTCACATCCAACAGTTTACGACACCGCTCTGAACACGAACGTGGTGGTGCTCAACACCATCCACATCGACATCATGGACTACATCATTCCGGCCAGCTGCACGGACACAGAGTTCCGCCAAATGTGGCAGGACTTCGAGTGGGAGAACAAGGTGACCGTCAACACCAGCTTCACCGACCTGCACGAATATCTCAAGCACCTGCTGAAGAGCACCAACATGAAGTGCCTCACGCCGGAGAAGGCGCTGTCCGGCCAATGCGGCTTCATGGCCGCCAACATGTACGCCAAGTAAGTATCCAGCTGTCCAGTAAAAATGACCTGTTCTAAATGCACTGTCATCCCATATTATAGGTCCATTTTCGGAGAAAATGCTTTGGCCAATCTGAGCATCGAGAAGCCCGTAGATGATCCCGATTCCAAGGTGACGGGACACATACGCATTCGCGCCAAAAGTCAGGTGAGATATGGGGAAATCCCAGGAAATCCCATCCTTCAACGATCTTTCGATCCTTCTAATCTGGAATTTCCCTTCCGAACAGGGCATGGCCTTGAGTCTGGGCGACAAGATCAGCTCCTCGCAGAAGCAGTCGGTGCAGGCGGCCTAGTGGACGTGGAACTGGACGTGGACGACCAGCCACCACCAAGAGCGACGTATCTGAACGACGTATTCGGCCTCCCGCCCGCATTCCGCCAGCTGCAACTTCTTCAATTTACATTACACGTTACACTTATGCATAAAGAATATATTATACCTTAACCCCAGAATGGGAGTACTTTCATTTGAGAGGGCTATTAGAAATACTTGCCATATCTGAAATACAAGTTTAGGGTTCAGAAAATAAATACCACATTTTATTAACATATGTGTTGGGAACGAATATCATAAGAAAACTTGTTCAAAGTATGGATATCTTAAATGACGTAGCTAGCCAAAAAAATTACTATTTCCCTTGCTTGTTCAATTTTCGACAAGGTTTTAATACAATGTTTATAAGATCCACTCATGTATACCCCCGGCAGCCTTAACTTGTTTCAAAAATGGAATTAAGTATAAACTGTTGGTGACTTATGTTGTACGTGTATCAGGAGGCGTTTTTATTTGACATTACGCAAGGGAAACATAGATAACCATGTTGTGATTTCAAGAGTAATGGGGTTTACAAAGGTTCCAAAACATAAACTATATCAAAGAACATCATAATTTCTCATAACTGTCTGATTGTGATTTAAATTACTTGATGAATCTATTGCTCCTTTAGATTTCTCTACTAGCTAAGGCTAAAAATGCGTATATTTCTATTGGAGAGGGCTTAAATAACTGCAGAAATGGGAAATTCGTCTTAGACCTGGAGCATGGGTCGCTTCTCCTTGGCCTGTAGGTTGTCGTTGGTGGTTGCATAACCAGTTCCGCCCTGAAAAACAAAAGGAAGATCCCTAAGTGCCGGAAGGAAATGCCATCCATGTCACACTTACTCGCTGCAGCGGAATGATGTCCTTATCCTTGAGCTTGCGATCGGTAAGGGGATGAATCATGTCCTTTCTGATTAGCCGCTCCACACACTCCATGGTCACCACATCGCCACTTTAGGGAAAAGGAAATTATTAAAGCCTGTCAAAGAGAAATCCCAGCGAGAACTCACGTGGGACGCAGAACGGCGCAGGGCACCGCATTGCTGAGGACGTCGTGGGTAATGGGACACATGTAGCGCGCCTCCTTGGCAATCAGCGAGCGCTTGGAATCACCATCCTTGAGCAGCGTGAACTTGACATCAATCAGATCCTTGACCCTCAGCGGTTGCTGCGACACAGGGCAGTAGATGGTGGCATCGGGCTTCTGGGCCTTGGCCAGCCCAGCATTGGGGCACTCGGAGGGCAACCAGAAGCTGGGCAGTTTCTTCTCGTGCCCGTTGGTCATGTTGGAAATCGAGGAGGCAGAGGACGAAGCTGCAGCGGCGGATGAAGTGGATGGCTTCTCTTTGGCGGCGGCGGCGGCGGCGGAGGAGTGGGCGGGCGTCATCGCTGGCTTCTCGGCATTGACGAAGCGCTCCATGCGTGCCTGCTGCTTGCTGTTGGCCTCCTGGCTCAGCTGGTCCTCCTCCGCGCGCCTCAGCCGCTCGTACTCCTTCAGCCGGCGGCTGTACTCGTTCTTCTTGGTCACGATGTACTGCAGTATGGCCTCCTTGTCGAACAGAAAGCCGTCCTTGGTGATCACGGGCCTGCGGCACGGCTGCAGCGTCAGCGAGCAGCAGTCGAAGGACTTCACCGAGTCCTTGCCCAGCCGCTGGGCATTGGTGCCGTAGCCGGACTCCGCCGCGTCCCGCTTCTTCTCGTTGTAGGTGTACACGGCTCCGGCCGTGCAGTTGCGCGCGTGGCGTGTCATTTTACGGGTCCTAACTGGTCAGTAAACTCAATAAATTCCACCAAATGCTTTATTTACTATCTGCAGTGTGACCGTTGGCTAAACAGTGTGCCCGCGCCGAAATACCACGGTATTCGTGCAAAATGTTGCTTGTTTATGTACACTATTCGGAAAAAATATGTTTTGTAAACGTAAAAAACTGGACTTTTTTAGATTAAGTGACAAACAACCTAAACAATTTTATATTATAATTTTATTAAAATGCTTAGGTTGAAACAAAATTTTTTTCCTGTAATTGGTCGTTAACCAACCAAACTAAATTTGCAGTATGCTGTTAGAAAGCTCTACCTTTTAGCTTTAAATAGACTTTTTAAGGCTTGAACACTTTTAAAAACATTCATTTTTTATTATTTTTTGTTTGTTTCTCGTAGCAGAACTAAATGAAAACTGACTACAAATAAAATTATATATACACTAACATCACACCAATTTTTCTTGGTATGTATGTATATATGTACATACATATACACGTATGACCGCAAGGAAATTAAGGTCAACAGTTTAAGGTCCTTTGCTAAGACTATTTTAAGTTTTTACAGTACCGAAAACAAAAAATAAACACATATTTAATACCAATGCCAAAAAATTTAGATTATGTAAATAAATTTATTGCATAGTAAGCTGTGCAAAGTTTTTTCTGTCAACAAATATTGACAGAACACACATCACCCGAGTTTGCTGCTTCAGGCTCTTTAGGGAAGATAGCCCCTCCCAGGATTCCGGGCAGTGGTCCCCTGGGATAGGGTTTTCTTATCCAGCCTGGTCTTCCCGACGGCGGCAGTGGTCGCCACCAAGATGTGGTACCCAGAAGACGATGTTGTACCCAGATGCGGCAGGCTTCTTTGACGAACGACAACGGCACAAAGAAGACAATCTTTCCCAACATGTCAGACACAAGACCACAGTAAATGGACGGGAAAGGCGCTCCCCGCCAGAGGCAATCAAGAAGGCAGCTCTATTAATGGGCAGTCCAGCAAAGGCAGCTCCTGCCAGCAAGGCTAGCAACAAAGACACCTAAGAAGAAGAGCCAAGGAAGCCAACCGACTCGCTCTCCGGCCTCCAGTTAAAATCCCATTTTGGCGACTTCTTCGGAGGATCGCGACACCAGCTCTTTAGAGGAACTGCCTGCCACGACTGCTACTCCCAGACCTTGGAAGTAGCAGCCTTGGCCGGTCCGAAGAGGGTCTTTTTGAAAGGAAGATCCTAAAACAGGTAAAGAAAACTAATGTGTTGAGTCGATAAAATATGTACATATTATTAGTCAGTATATTAAACATATCATTCTACTTTAATTTATTTTAAGGAACACTACTCGCCTTTTCTCTGCTAAACCACTCCGCTTCGCACCAAAAATGAAATGACCGAATGGCTTAAGGGTTGAAATAAAGGCGAGCAGGGCGAGTGCGAGAGGGAAAGCATGTTGGTAATACCGAAATTCGAACTTCGAATATGTCTATCTCGCTCTTAGCCAGAGTCATCTGGCTTCTGTCAAAAAATATTGACAGCAAGCACTGGCACATCACTTCAGTTTGCTTCTTCAAGCTCATTAGGGAAGATAGCACTCCTCCCAGGATTCCGGGCAGTGGTCTCCTGGGAAAGGGTGTTTTTTATCCAGGCTAATCTTCCCGACCACGCGGAAGTGCCCGTCACCAAAATGTGGTTCTCAGAAAAAGATGTTCTACCCAGAAACGACTCGGCGTCACTGGCGAACGACAACGTCGCGAAGGAGACAATCTCATCCAGCAAGTTGGCCACAAGCCCGTAGTAAATGGTCAGGCAAGGCGGTTCCTGTCAGAGGCATTCTAGGAGGAGGCAGGTCTATGCATAAATGGCCACTCCAGCTAGGGCGGCTCTTGCCAATAACGCTAGCTTCGTAAGACACGAGGACGAAGAACCGAAGAAAGCAAGCGATCGGGCCTCCAGTGAAAATTGGGATAATAGCGACAACAGCCCTTAGAGAAGCAGACTGGAAGAAGCAGCCTTGGCAGGCCCAATCAGCGTCTTGGCGAAAGAAAGTTCCTAAAACAAGAAAATAAAAATAAATGTTGTCAGTCAATAAAACACATATCATTAGAAAGTATATTTAATAATATTTTCTATCACTTGGGTTTTTATTTTAAAGCAGTGCGAGAGGGAAAGCATGTTCGTGAGACGGCAGTTCGAGCTTCGAATATGTCTATCTCGCTCTTAGCCAGAGCAATCTTAGTCGCCATATTGCTTTTTTCTCTCATTTTACGAATTGAGAGAATTTTCGAAGACAGAAAATGTGATTTTCCATTGGCTGTTTTACATTGTTCACTGGAAAAAATGTTTGTGTATGTATGAATTTTATTTTTAAGTCAGTTTATTGATCAATGAAAAATCCGGCAATCGGAGGACTTGTTTCATACGAATTATAACCATAAATATACCGCGAAATATGCAGAGACTTAGAGTTTTCAGCAGTTTTGGTGATTTTCAACACCACTGATTCACTTGATTCTCGCTAAGGCCATTCAAGGTTAGGCGGATCCTGCCAATAACTCTATTTTTTAAAGACACGAGACGAGGAACCGAGGAAGGCAAGCGATTAGGCCTCCAGTGAACACCCCGTTTAGGGGACTTTTTGTTGATAGGGATAACAGCTCCTTAGAGAAACAGCCTTGGCGGGCCCGATCAGCGTCTTGCTGAAAGAAAGACCCTAAAACAGTAAAATGAGAATAAATGCTGTCAGACAATAAAATACATATTACAAGGTAGTATGTTTATTGATATTTTCTTTCACTTTTGATTATTTATTTTGAAGCAGTGCGAGAGAGAAAGCATCTTCGTAATACGGCAGTTCGAGCTTCGAATATGTCTATCTCGCTTTTACTGGTAATCTTAGTCGCCATATTGATTTTTTCTCTCATTTTCGAACTAAGATAATTTTCGAAGAGAGAAAAAAAAATTATTTCAATAGCTATTTTACATTGTTCACTGGAAAAAATTATACGTGATGTTAGTGTATATATAATTTTATTTGTAGTCAGTTTTCATTTAATTCTGCTACGAGAAACAAACAAAAAATAATAAAAAATGAATGTTTTTAAAAGTGTTCAAGGCTTGTTCTGGCTAAGAGCGAGATAGGCATATTCGAAGCTCGAACTGCCGTATTACGAAGATGCTTTCCCTCTCGCGCTGCTTTAAAATAAATAACCAAAAGTGATAGATAATTTTAACACACATACTAACTTATAATATATATTTTAGTGTCTAACAGCACTTATTTTCATTTTCCTGTTTTAGGGTTTTTCTTTCGGCAAGAATCTGATTGGGCCTGCCAAGGCTTCTACTTTCAGGCTGTTCTTTTAAGGAGTTGTTGTCCCTATCTTCCCAAAAAGTCCCTTTCTTTTGGGTTTTCACTTGAGGGCTAATCACTTACCTTCATCGGTTCCTTGTCTCGTGTCTTTCAAAGTTAGCGTTATTAGCCTTAGCGAGAATCAAGCTGGAGTGACAGTGGTGTTGAAAATCACCAAAACTGCTGAATACTCTAAGTCTCAGCACATTTCGCGGTATAATTCTTATGGAACAAGTCCCTCGATTACCGGATTTTTGATAGATCAATTTATAAAATATAAACGGACTTAAAAATAAAATTCATACATACACAAACATTTTTTCCAGTGAACAATGTAAAACAGCCAATGGAAAATCACATTTTCTGTCTTCGAAAATTCTCTCAATTCGTAAAATGAGAGAAAAAAGCAATATGGCGACTAAGATTGCTCTGGCTAAGAGCGAGATAGACATATTCGAAGCTCGAACTGCCGTCTCACGAACATGCTTTCCCTCTCGCACTGCTTTAAAATAAAAACCCAAGTGATAGAAAATATTATTAAATATACTTTCTAATGATATGTGTTTTATTGACTGACAACATTTATTTTTATTTTCTTGTTTTAGGAACTTTCTTTCGCCAAGACGCTGATTGGGCCTGCCAAGGCTGCTTCTTCCAGTCTGCTTCTCTAAGGGCTGTTGTCGCTATTATCCCAATTTTCACTGGAGGCCCGATCGCTTGCTTTCTTCGGTTCTTCGTCCTCGTGTCTTACGAAGCTAGCGTTATTGGCAAGAGCCGCCCTAGCTGGAGTGGCCATTTATGCATAGACCTGCCTCCTCCTAGAATGCCTCTGACAGGAACCGCCTTGCCTGACCATTTACTACGGGCTTGTGGCCAACTTGCTGGATGAGATTGTCTCCTTCGCGACGTTGTCGTTCGCCAGTGACGCCGAGTCGTTTCTGGGTAGAACATCTTTTTCTGAGAACCACATTTTGGTGACGGGCACTTCCGCGTGGTCGGGAAGATTAGCCTGGATAAAAAACACCCTTTCCCAGGAGACCACTGCCCGGAATCCTGGGAGGAGTGCTATCTTCCCTAATGAGCTTGAAGAAGCAAACTGAAGTGATGTGCCAGTGCTTGCTGTCAATATTTTTTGACAGAAGCCAGATGACTCTGGCTAAGAGCGAGATAGACATATTCGAAGTTCGAATTTCGGTATTACCAACATGCTTTCCCTCTCGCACTCGCCCTGCTCGCCTTTATTTCAACCCTTAAGCCATTCGGTCATTTCATTTTTGGTGCGAAGCGGAGTGGTTTAGCAGAGAAAAGGCGAGTAGTGTTCCTTAAAATAAATTAAAGTAGAATGATATGTTTAATATACTGACTAATAATATGTACATATTTTATCGACTCAACACATTAGTTTTCTTTACCTGTTTTAGGATCTTCCTTTCAAAAAGACCCTCTTCGGACCGGCCAAGGCTGCTACTTCCAAGGTCTGGGAGTAGCAGTCGTGGCAGGCAGTTCCTCTAAAGAGCTGGTGTCGCGATCCTCCGAAGAAGTCGCCAAAATGGGATTTTAACTGGAGGCCGGAGAGCGAGTCGGTTGGCTTCCTTGGCTCTTCTTCTTAGGTGTCTTTGTTGCTAGCCTTGCTGGCAGGAGCTGCCTTTGCTGGACTGCCCATTAATAGAGCTGCCTTCTTGATTGCCTCTGGCGGGGAGCGCCTTTCCCGTCCATTTACTGTGGTCTTGTGTCTGACATGTTGGGAAAGATTGTCTTCTTTGTGCCGTTGTCGTTCGTCAAAGAAGCCTGCCGCATCTGGGTACAACATCGTCTTCTGGGTACCACATCTTGGTGGCGACCACTGCCGCCGTCGGGAAGACCAGGCTGGATAAGAAAACCCTATCCCAGGGGACCACTGCCCGGAATCCTGGGAGGGGCTATCTTCCCTAAAGAGCCTGAAGCAGCAAACTCGGGTGATGTGCCAGTGCCTGCTCTGTCAATATTTGTTGACAGAAGAAACTTTGCACAGCGTATTATGCAGAAAATAAAACTTCTTATTGAACAATAAAATAAATTTATTTACATAATCTACATTTTTTGGCATTGGTATTAAATATGTATTTATTTTTTGTTTTCGGTACTGTAAAAACTTAAAATAGTCTAAGCAAAGGCCCTTAAATTGTTGACCTTAATTTACTTGTGGTCATACGCATATGTATATGTATGTATATACATACCAAGAAAAATTTGTGTCGTAGTACTTTTTTAAAAGAAAAATTAAGTTTACCGGCTAGCTGAGATAAAAACTCACAAAAAAATCAAAATTTTTTACGATACAAACTCAAAACTCCTTAAATATTTCTTTGTTATTTTTATTATAAATCTCTCTTATCTCAAAATATAAAATATTCATGATTGATTTCCAGAATTAGAGTTTATATTCAATACAATCATTGAAAGCCAGATATTTTCAGAACAATCCTATTTGTTTTCAACTAAATGGATATAGCCACCAGAGTGGTTTAGCTTGAAACAAGCTGAAGTGGCAGTGCTGTTTGAAAAATACCAAAACTGATGAAAACTCGAAGCCGTTCCTTTGGTACTCAGTATATTTTGCGGTATATTCATGGTGTAGTTCTTGTGGACCGGACCAAGTCCTCCGATTTCCGGGCTTTTCCTTAATTCCCCGGATTCTCTTGTCGTTTGGCGGTCGGCGATGGATTACCAGTACTACGAGGAGGAATCCGACTACATCGATCTCGACGAGGAGGAGGAGGAGGAGGAGACGGTCGGCGGCTTGGACTACAGGTTTGGGAAACCGGAGGATGAGGAGGACTACTACGTCGGTGGTGACGAGGAGGAGGAGGAGGTGCACGGATACGGAATCCTAGGCCTGTCCGAGCAACTTCTTGAGAGTCTGCAGAGCTGCCTGGAGCCCTCACTCGTGCAGGTCCTGCAATATGTGGCACCCATGCTGCTCCTCTGCCTGGTGTGTCGTCTTCTGTGCCTCCTGTACTCGCAGCGCAAACGTCTCACCAGCCTGGCACCGCTGCACTTGTTCCACTTCGGCTGCGGCCTAATCCTGCTGCAATTCTCCCTGGGCCACCGACTGCTCCTCCTGCTCCTGCTGGCCGCCATGGGCTACCTACTGCTCCAACTTCTGCGACTGGGTCGAAAAGGAGCTCAAATCCTTGCTGTCCTGACCGTGGGCAGCCAGTTCCTGTACGAGTTACTCTTTTGGCGGCGGCGCAGCGACTGGCCGCAACTGCGCGGCATCCAGATGGTGGTCAACATGAAGCTTATCTCACTGGGATTCGACCTGACCGCCAGTGGTCAGCTGCAGGCGCGGATTCCGGGTCCGCTGGCCTATCTGGGCTACATCTACAGCCCGGCCACCTGCGCCCTGGGTCCCTGGGTGAGCTTCGGCTGCTACATCGATTGCCTGGTCCCCAGAAACGGCTGGCTGGTCAGTCTGCGCCGTCTGGTGCCCAACGCCCTGCTCTGTGTGCTCACGGTCACCGTGTCCAACTGCGTGGCGCCCGCGCTTAGCGACTTCTTTGGGGATAGCTCCCACTTCCTGGTCATGTACTGGGATGCGCTGAGTGTGCGCACCAGCCACTACTTTGTGGGCATTATGGCGCAGGCGCTGCTGGTGGCCTCCGATCAGCGACTGGACGGCGCTGTCAAGGAATCGGAACTGCTGGGTCCACTGGTCTCGCAGCCCTGGCTCATCGAGTGGCCGCGTTCGATCAGCTCGCTGGTCAGGAGCTGGAACATTCCCATGCACGAATGGCTCAAGCGGTACATCTACACGCCCTGCAAGGTGGAAGGCTCGAGGGGACGCACCCTGCTGGCCGTGCTCTCCACTTATTTGGTCTCCAGCCTGCTGCACGGCATGGATCTACGCATCTACGTGGTGCTTCTCTCACTGGCCGTCTTCGCCGAGGGGGAATCTCTGCTGCGGCGGCAGCTCGCGGGAGTCCTGGATGCCTGCATCTCCGCGAATCTCTGTCCGGGCAAGGAGCGATGTCGGTATGGCCACTGCCCCAGCAAGCGAAGGTGGAGCTCTGTTTCCTTCTGGCTGGTGAGGGCCACCAATCTGGCCTTCACGGCGCTGGCCATTTTCCACCTGGCCTATCTGGGAGTCGTGCTGCTGGGCGATGCTCTTGAAATTGGCGACGAAAACGAGTCCTTCCTCTGGCACTGGCAACAGGAGGGCTATCTCAGTCACTACATCGGCGCGGCCACCTTTGTCCTTTACCTGTTCATCTCGTAGACTCCCGAGGAAGATACCCAATACTCGCTATGACTGATCTACACGTATTTATAGTTGTACTATTAACCGCATCCATTTGTAATTTTTGTATCTTTTCGTATCTTGTAGTTTGTATGTGTGCTGTGTGAGTACTTAAAATTAAATCATTCTGTGAAACGGAAACTGTATACAAATACTTAGATGGGACATCAGTTCGATTCTGCTGACTCTTTGGTTAACCTTTGGGTATCCAATATACAGGTTCAAACCACCTCTAAAAAGATAAAGGAGTATTTAACTTTTCCAGTTCATAATGGTGTAAGTAAGGCTTTTCCCATTGAGAATATTTAAACAATTCTGAAAACAAGAGATCGCACTTGGACGGTTTATTTAGCAAAGATTTCTACGGTTCTCCCTCTATATAGTGTGTTTATAAAATCATTTTATATTCAGGGGTTAAAGTGATCCTTACTTTTTCATAGAAAACACAACTTTCTTTTTTCAAATATTTTTTATTAATTTTTTAATGTATATTTTCTTTGTTGTTGGTTTGTTTCGCTTTTGTTTGTTGGTTGTTTTTGTTTGTTTTCTCATTGAGACAAATATTTATAACAATATTGTAATTTCTACAGTTTTTTGTTTTGCGTTCATTTTGCTTTCGCTATCCGTTTATTTTTGCATTTATTTCAGTTTTAGTCCTCGATTATTGAATCCTCTCATTCGGGCTGTGTTTTATCCATTTGTTTTCATTTAGTTTCCGCGCTTACGATTTAGATATTAAAATTACTAGCTTAAGAATTATGCAATGACAATAAAAATATTTATTTACTTTGTTGAATGCAACTTTTGTTTGTTTTATTTGCTTCTTTTAGCGGTCCCCCTTCTCTGACTCGGCCAAAAAAAGCTGCTCTTTGAATTCGCGTTTCGTTTTATCTAGATTTCTGTTCTGTTTTTTATGTTTTCCTCTTTGCAGAAGTTTTGATTTGGACATCAAAAATAGAGAGATATACATACACGTTTTCTTATGGTTTTATTTCCGTTTCCGGTTTTCATTTTGACATTGTTTCCGTTGCGCTACGCTAGATATAAAAGTTCGATCTCTGTCTCCCGAATTCATCATTAATTAATCGTATTTGTCCGTCCCTTCGTCCGTTTCTACCATTCATAACAACAACTGAGTTGATCACAAGAGATAACGAGAGTGTTTGCTTTATATATATAATGCATATGCATATACATATGCCTACGTGTGTTCCGGCCAAAATACCTATTTTTTCGATGATTCGCCAGGGGCAGGACTTCCCTATTAAATGTTCCCCCCTTCGGTTCCAAAGAAATTCACAAAATACAAAAAGTGTTCGCTAACTACGCATAAAGTTCCATACAAAACCATTTTCCTGGGGGACAAGAATGGAGTTTTCGATTCGTTTAAAATTATGTAACAAAGTGTTTGAATTACCAAATTCCATGCTCAAATCCCAAATAGATTTTCCGATTAAAACCTAATTTTACAGTTACAATCGGCCGGCACACACGTACATACACACAAATCAACTGAAACTTGCGATTTTTGAACAATTTTAATTGGGGGGAGGCTCGGAACCCCCTTCCCAGGCCCGCCGCCTTCTTTTCTACCTATCTTTCCTATCTGCATATCCGTGGGGGGTTGGTTGACTATATCCTGACATATTGGCTTACAACAATTCGCTAATAAAAAACACTTTCGCTAGACACGCACGTCCTGCAACGATTACGAATTAGGTAAAACAAAAAATTTAATTACAAAAGGGATGCGGATGCGGGTTGAATCCGTAGGGTAGGTAGGTTGGTAATGGGCTCTTAGGATACAGAAACACATGTTCGTGGGTAAACTTCAGTGTCGTTAAATTAGCAAATAAACTAAGGCATAAACTAAATCATAAACATAATATTACATCATTAAATTATAAACATAATTACATTGTGTGTTCTGCTCGTCCGTCCGGCAGGTGTATATCTGCCCGCCCGTTCGTCCGTTGCGTCCTAACAACAACAACACGATCCCCCCCATCTTACAGTTCATCATACAGTAAATGTACACGCTACCACATATAGCATCCTATACGTATATAAATCATGATATGCGGCCGGCCCACGGGGAGGATCGATCGTCCGTCGCTGCTGTCGGGCGTTGTCCAGAACGGAACCGCAGCGCAGCCGTCGCCGTAACCGTAACCGTAACTGGAGGCGGGGGCGCAGGCGGCGCCAGAGCCCCGCCCACATTCAATCGTTCTTGGTCTGACAGTAGAGCTCCTTTAGCGACTTGAGCTCCTCGATGAGCGCTTTGTTTTGGTTCTCTAGCACCGCCACTCGATTCTCCAGGCACTTGATGTACTCCTTCTTCTTGCGCCGACACTCCCGCGCCGCCTCCCTGTTCTTCTGCAGCCGGATCTCTCGCTTCCGGGTCTGGTCCTCCGCTATCCCGCTATTGTCTGCAAGAAATGTGGTAAAGTGGGTGATTAGCACAAGATGGTATTCATAAGCAAGGTTTTTTAAAGAGGAACTGTCTGCAACTCGAACTGAATTGAATTTTCTACTCTGATGATCTATAGATGATGGTATCATACGATTTTCATTAGAACAAAACAATTTAAGACATTTTTAAGACAGTAATTAAGAAAGTTATGCTTTAAAATGTATTTAAAACAATGTTTTTTGTTGTCTAAAAGGCAATAAATAATTAAAACAAACTCAATACAGCAAATATTTAAAATCTTAGGATGGATTGAGAAAAAAATTCAATATTCTTTGATCACAGTTCGAATTACAAGTATTCCGCCAAATCCTATAGAATTCAACGTGTTGTTGGACCGAGGCTATTACTGGTGTTGTAGGACATCCGATTGGACAGGTAGTACGAGGTGTCCAACTGCATCAGGGAGCTGTTCGCCGGATTGCCCCCCGCTCCGCTCCCCGCCAGCTGGGAACCGAGCACGCCGTCGGACATGGGAAGCGATGCGCCTGGGATCGGGTTCGTTTCAAATTCGATTTCGATTTCGATTCGAATTCGGATTGGGGATTTAGTTGTCGATTGTTGTTGAGTTGTTGTTGTTGATGTTGTTGTTGTTGTTGTTGCGGTTGTTGTTCAGGACATAATTGAATTTTATTGGTTGTTTTTTGTTTTTGGGTTGGGTGGAGGAAGGCGTTCGAAAAGAAAACAATGAAAAAACAACAATAAAAATTATAAGAAAACATATTTTCCATTTTTCAGTTTTTTTTTTTTGAATCCGAAGTTTTGAATTTTCGAACTGATTTTGTTTATGAACTTGAGTGAGTGAGTGCGAGCGAGAACGGCGAGCGAGCGAGCGAGATAGGTAGATTTTTTGGTTAGTCAAAGAGAGTGAAGAGAAGCTTTTGATTACGGGTTTAAATACTGTTAGGTGAGAGACAGGTTGGTTGTACTTCTGACTTATTATTTAATATTTTGCATGATGGGTTGTGTGTGTAACAACAACGGCAACAACAACAACAGCGATTACAGCAACAACGACAGAGAGCGAAAGAAAGGGGAAATATAGCAAGAGAGAGAGAGATAGAGTGGGGCGAGTGGGATAGAAAGAGAGGGAAAGAATGCAGCAGCAATAGTTGTAATGGTTAAGTAACGGTAATTCGATTGTTTATTGTTGCTGCTCTCTCCCCGTGTGTGTGTGAGTTGGTGAAAGGGTGCGAGTGTGTGGGTGTGAGTGAAAGGTTTATTTACAAGGAATAGGAAATTCTGGGAATCTCTACAACGCGACTTTTCGTTTGCCCATTTTCAGCTCCAGTTTTTCCACCCTTTTGTTTCCTTTTTTCATTATTTTCACTTCGATTAAGCAACATCAACAACAACATCAACTAAATGATTATGAGGGCGGTGAAAGAGGGGCGGGGTTCACTTTTGTACGGCTGCCCCTAATGGCATAATGGTGCATGAAGGATATCAATGGCAGTCCTTTACAGTCTATGTATGAGTGGTATGTACACTTCAATTGAGATCCAAACAGAAGCACTAGTTATATTACATATTTACAAACTGGGGTTCATCGTCTTCAAGCTCTGTCCTACATATAAGACTCTTTATTTGTATGGTCAAATAAAGGAAATCTTGAAATTGTACCATTAGCAGGCTAGCAAAATATCTTTTGCTCATTCAAATGGTACATAAGAAAGTGGTTATTAAAAATTCGTTAGTTTTTAAACCCTTGCACAATATTAAACTTATTAATCGTTCTCAGTCAGTCGTTCGCAACGCTGTGAATAAGACATTTCCGACCCCAAAAGTATTTGTATTATAATATATATTATTGATCAGCATTAAAGCGGAGGATCTAGCCATATCCGTCTGTCTGTTACTATGCAAACAAGTATCTAAGTTTTTAAGGTAGCTTTCTTAAAAGTGTTATTTTTTAGATCGGATCGAACAGCTATTTTATATAGCTCCAAAAGAAGGAATCGGAAAACTAATGAAACTCTGAGAGTATTGTTTTCTTTAAGATTTTAGAAATACGACAAGGAAACAATAAATAACTCCGCATATTATACGGTTTCTGTAACAAATAATAAGGTCTTATCAGCAAGGGTATATAAGTTTTGGTTTTCTGAAGATAACTTTCTTTCTAGTTTTATCACATTGACGGTTAGCAAACTCCTAAATGAATTTGAACATTAGGATAGTATCGTTCAAAGGTTGCCTAATTTGAGATATAATTTGAAACATGAAGATAGTATCAGTTAACGAATTGCGATATCTTTTCAAACATCTTTAAGAAGTCCTCTTCAGTAAATATATGCTTTATAAGCCCTTTCTGTGATCTGATATGATGAGAGACTGCCATGATAAAACTGCGATGGATCTGCCTTTGTATATAGTTGTGGATTGATAATCTATTTCTTTCGACTAGTGATTTTGATATGGATCTTTTGCTACAGCGCACTACGAGTGTTTACAGTGTTTCTTAGCCAACCGCAACTGTACAAAATGAAGGGGTAGTATGAGTATGGGGTTACAAACACTGGAGGAATGAATGAATTCGGATGAACTGACCGATCACCCAGCCATTGGGAGTGGTCGAACGATCGCCAGGCGCATGTGCATCTTGGAATGAACGATGAGTGGCGATCAGCTCGGCGATGCGTTGGGTTGTTAGGCGATAGTGTTTTAAAGAGCAACAGATATATGTCTGAATGTGGGTGACAGGTGGAGAGGTCGTCCCCCGGATTTACCGCTCATATCGGGTCCGCTGATCTCGGTGAAGATCTTATTGTACGACGGCCGTCGCGTCAGCTCGCTGCGGTGGTGCTGGGAATCGTCGTCCGACAGACTCTCGTCGCTGTCCTCCGGGTGCTGCGTGTTCGGTTCGGGTTTGATCTTGCACGGAAATGCTGGAGGGATCTGTGTGCGAGGTAATCGAGGGCATTAGTAGAGTTCTGCTCGATGGGTGCTCCCTGAGCTACGCACTTTGTTACGCACTTGCACTGCATTGCCGGGGGTCGTGTGGATAACCGTGGAGTTGGGCGGCTTGGCCACATAGACCACCTTCTGCATCGTGGCGGCGGCCAGCGCCTGTTGCTGCTGGGTTCCAGCTGCTGTCTGTATGACTCCCGAGGGATTGGCCTGTATCACGGATTGCACCTGTGGGAACAAAAGTTGAAGCCATTAGATTCGTTTCGAGGCGTAAAGGTGAACTAGCTGAACTCATTCTAGGCGAAAAACTGGCTTGCACAGTAAAAAACACGAAGGGTAGAATCTATTACATGACTTTATCGTATCCCCTCTATCCCATAACATTTTGGATTATTAAGTTTATTCTTCCATTTCAATGATGATAATTTTAACTTTAAAAGCATTTCTACAATTTCTTTGAGTTTCATGTTTGTAAGTGTGTTTCTAAATATTTTACCATGTATAAGTGTTATGAAATTTAATTGACTTAAATGGAAGTACTCATGTACTGTAACAACTAACTAACTAACATAACAAAAAATATATACGCTTAAATCGTATTCTTAGCAACCGCACTCCCCTATTTATATTATTTAAATAAACCAAATTCCTAATACTTACCTAATTCATCATTAAACATATTATTAAAATTCAAATTTGAAGTTTAAGGTATTTATAATATGTAAATACTTCATTTTAATAAATGTATGTGTTTAATTTAAGAGTTTAAGAAGGAACCAATTTAAAATATGATAATTTCTGTTCTTTAAAACGACTTTACCTATCCTAGTGCAAAAAAAAGATTTTATAAAGAATTCCTGGAAGAACTAATTTTGGTATAGAGTTTTGACCATCCAAAAGTAAACCCAATTGGAAATATTCTGAATTGTTGGGAATTCGACTATGATATATTTTATAGATGGTTAGAGGGTTTCTTCGTATTGAAATTAGTTTAGACATTCTATTTAGTTTTCTAGAATTCATATGAAGTTCAATAGTATAATAAAATGCTTAGAACGCAATTGACAAGAAATCCAACAGAGTTCAAATAAACAAAAATAGTTTATTCTGGGAAAGTAAAGAATTCCAATTGAGTTGAGTTGAGTCAAGAGTGTGGCAGTCGGGTTTTCTATCTTTAACCCCCATAGAGTTAGTCTAACCTTAATTGATTCCACTGAAATCCTTTACAGACCTTAATACCATGGTCTATTTAAATGGAGTTTTCATACACAAATGCCAAAGATCTAAAATCGCTAAAAACTAAGCCTTCTATATTTTCTATCCCTATCCCCCATAGAGTTTGACTAACCTAGGGTTTTTCCACTGAAATCATTTAAAAAGCGCTTAATTCCATGGTCAGCCTAACCCAAATTGAATCCAAAATGAACTACAACTCAAGATCTCTATTCAAATGGAGTCTTCGTATACAAATGTCAAAGACCTAGAATCACGCAAAAAAGTAAGCTTACTACAGAGTCTGTCTATCCTAAAGTGACCAGTTCCTGGGATCCCCATATTAAAGTGTCCTTCGAAATGGGGATCCCAAGAATAAAAGTTATGTATGGGAATATCTATTCAAATGAAGTTTTAGTATACAAATACCAAAGATCTAGAACCGCTAGAAAGTAAGCCTTCTTCAGATTATACCTATCCCTAAGTGACCCATTCCTGGGACCCCTATATCACTAGTGCTCTTCGATGGGGATCCCGAACGTTGCCCCAAGCTCACCTGCAGTCCGTGCTGCGCCAGCGCCTGGATGGGGTATTGTATGTTACAGTTGGCGGTGGTGGTCAGCACGGTGGCTCCTCCTCCGCCTCCTCCCTGGGCGTTGTTTGTCGCCCCCGTTGGTCCGCCGGCCGTTGTACTTTGTTGGTTTTGTTGCTGCTGGGGGTTACCTCCTCCTCCTCCTCCGCCGCCGCCGCCACCCCCCGCTGCCGCCGCCGCCTGCTGGGCAACCACGTCGACCACGTCATTGGAGCCCGATGCCGCCGACGAGTTGCCGTTCTCCTCGACGATGCTGTTGTCCATGTTGGCGATCCTGGCGATCTTCAGCAGCACCGAGACGCTCTCCGACAAGTGCTTCAGTTTGGCTACCGTTTCCGCTTCAATTTGGCCAGCTTGAAGACGTTTCTACAAAGGGATTGATTGGATTGTGAAGGAGGTTTGAGTACTAAGTTCTCAATTTTGCAGTTCTCAGCGTTCGGTTTATCGGTTACTGTTTCGGTTTCTGGGCGGGATTGGATTGGATTGGGCTCGTTTGTTTTGGGCCGATGACGAGTGTGCGATGTGATGACGATGATTATATTGTGCTGCCGATTGCTGACTGATGGAACTCAGTTGCCCAAAAACAACAACAACAGCAGCGACAACAACAACCACAATAACAACACCGAGTCGTGAGTATTTCGGTGGAATGACGTCATGACAAAGTTGTGTGTATGAGTGTGCAAAGAGGCAACAAGAAAGAAAAAAAAAAAGGAAAACAGCGAAAAATCAACTTACTTTCTGATGACATCACTAAAAACGTTGCTGCTGAGAGCTTTTGTTGTTGTTGCTCGCTCTCGCTCTCTCTTGCGCGTGTGTTTGCCCGTGAGTGAGTGTGTGTGTGCGCGCGTTGCACGCTGCGCTGGCAACTTGTTGAAAAGTCGCTCTCGCCAGGAAAATCTATATAGCCAGCAAATCGGCGCGGAAGCCAGACATAGCCCTAAAACTTCAGATGGGATTCGTATAGCATCGCGAAAGGGTTTCCTTTTTATTTGGGAGAACCACACAGAACACACACGCACACAGCGGCCAGCAGCGAATCGGTGCGACAAGTTGGCAGCACGCACACACACAACACCCGCACTGCTCCCTCTCTCGCTCTATCTCACTCGCTCTCGCTGCCTGTTGTTATCGTTGCTTACGTTCTTTTTTCTTTTCGCAGCACTGAATCGCGATTTTGGGGCGAATAGACCCGGGATTTGCGGATTCTGCACGGGAACGAACGCGTTTTCAACGGTCAATGCAATCGCAGGCAGCGATTTATTGATAAACTCCGTTTTTTTTGCGCAAAAATCGTTCGCTGATTACAGTGTGACCGTGCCGGCAGGGTGACAAATTACCAGAGCTGCATGGTCTTGAAAATACCACAAGGGTTGGGAACTTGGCTGGCAACAAGGTGCCGAGATTGGCTAAAATCAGCGGGAACTTTTTAAAATATTCAAAATTTTAGCAGTTATTTTACATTTTTAACAGTTCTACACTGGTTTTTTAAAGAGATTCACCTAAAACCCATTTACTTACACAAAGATTTCTTCGTACGACTTAAATAAAACACTTTGTTTTGAGTTTATCACAACAAATGTTTAAGGTTTTAGTGAAAAAGCCGATTTTGAAAATGTAAACCCAAAATATCCTGCTTATAAGAGCTTAAAAAGTTTTAAACATTAGTAAAAATTAGTTAAAAATCATTAATAAATAAAACCAAACGTATCCAAGTTGAATAAATACTTTAAAAAATCACTCAGCCCCTTTTTGTTGGCCATTTGCTATTTTACCCTTTAACAACAGCCCATTCATAGAAGTGCAAAAAACAATTAGCCCAAATGATATTCTCGGCTAATTACTTTACAGCCCAAAAGCTATTGGGCATGACGTCATCGCTACAAAAGCGGAAAATTTAAAACGTAAACGGCCTAAAAAACAGACTGCAACAGCTTTGAATTAATAGTTAATTAGTGCAATGGGGAGGGGTTGTGATTGTTCCCTCGTTCCTTTTCCTGAAATATTATTTCCATTTGCATTATGTAGGCTGCTTTTTCAATCGACTTCCTTTTGAGTGACATAATAATTGCCATTAATTACAAACCCGCACGAACCCTGTACCGCCCAATCTTCCGCTAGAGGACCTCAAAACGCCGGTCTGTCTACGCGACCCCATGGACTGACTGACTCACCTGATGTACGTTTTACGTACATACGTAGCTCGAACTACCTGTGCACCAGCTGACATCACTCCCTAATGAAGTTTGGCCATTGTAAATACTATATTACATAGTATACTATATATAGCTCAGACTTTATACACCTGCGGTCACCACAATAGCCGTAGAAACCCTGACCATAACACCGCTAAAATATGCGGTACACGATTTGGGAGCACACCCCAATCATCTGTGTTTTATGATCCATAATTATTTAACTAGCCTCTAAACTCGATAGCTTTAAAAATAATACATAAATAGTTTACGAATATTATATTTGTGGTTTAGTTAGTTTCTGTTTAGTACGATATAATACAAAAAGTTGACATTTCTAACTCAAAAAACGATTTTCAATTAAAAGGGTCAGGTCAGGTTGTGGAGAATTTCAACCTAGAGAGGAAGTTAGGGATCTACATTGGTACTATAAACTTAATCACATTGATTATTTAAAGTGTACACTAGTAAAAATAATATTAAATATTACTCATACGACTTGTTGGTCGCTTATAAGAGCTTAATTATAATAATCTGTTGCAAAAATAAAACATTAAAAAACAAGATTGAAAGAAAAAAAATAAGTTCACAAAAAGGAACGGAGGCTTTCCCTCCAACCTATATATTAAGCTCCTTCCAACGAACAAACCCATTGAGAATTCATTAATTTATAATTGTGATTTTTATCGAAACTGTACTTCTTTTCTAATTGTAGTGATTTAGCTGCGGTAGTTTTTCCCTTCCAACAGCTGTTGGTTTTAGACATTAGCAGTAAGCTCAAAGTTGTTGCTGTTGCATTTCAATCAATTCCAATCAGTTTGCATTTTGCTTTTGGCTCTCGATTTCCACTAGCCGCACCCCCTTTCGCCCACTTCACCACCCTTTTTTTGCACTGTGTATTGGCGTACGCAAAATTGACGTCAGCATTATTTATTTTTACTCGTTTCCACTGCGTCGGTGTTTGTGTTTGTGTTTGTGCTGGTTTGCCTTATGCGAACGTGTTGGTGAATCTCTGCCGCCTGAATCCCCCGCCCCCCGCCCACCATCACCCATACCCCACCCCCCTCTCGGCACCTCTTTCTTTCTAACGCTGTTTGCTTGGCTGAATTAATTAAAACTAAATGAATGTGCAATAACAAAAAAAGAGAGCCACAACAGTTATTACTTGTCATGGACAAGCTAAGAACAAGAAGAAGAACTAGCGAAAGAGCAGGAGTGCAAGCGAGACAGAGCCATTGGCGACAGGTGCTACCCGCTTGAGTGACAGGGACAGACAAAGAGCGAGAGAAAGAGAGAGAGAGAGAGGGGGGAGAGGGGAGCAAGTGCACATGGCTCTACGCCGGGATTACCGTACAATTTTGATAAAGCTCCACCCACCCATCTCCCTCTTTAAAACCTGCACCGTAAGCAACTGGAGTCCTGAAAGGAGTTTCAGATATAACCCTTATCATAGATAAACTTAACTAACATAGTATTCTAGGGTTTAATATCTTCGATCTCTCTTTGGGAACCAACCTTTTAGAAGTGAGATATTTGACAAGATATGTGCATATGTACTTCTTTAGCATTTATGGTAATGTTCGAAATAACGTTGTGTTGAGTTTGCCACCAAACTAGAAAATACTTAAAAGTGTCATCTTGAAAAGCATTTAAAAACAGTGACATTTTTGCTTGCCCTATACAGCCATAAACCTGTTATTGTTTAAATCTTTTGGGGCCCGACAGAAAACTTTTTTGATTAGAAATCAAGATAATTTTTTAAAAGTAAAATATGAATACTAAAGCGAAATATGTTCATAAACAGGAACTGGTAAGTATTTCTCACAGTGTTTGCTATCAGTTGGAATGGTAGCTTGTGTTATCATGACGGCGTAGTTGCCGGATAATTATGCACGACAGCCCCAACCAGTTGAGCTCTTTAAGTGTGCAAGATTAGCGGGTATTCGTGGAAAGGGCTGTTCACACTGCGATCCCAATTTTTCGCTATGCACTTTCTGAGTGATTCCCCCATATTAGTCAGCGGTAATTTACGATAGCGTCGATATCTAAGCGATGTTTTATAGCAGTGTCAAGGCAATAAGGTTGCACAGAAAAAAAGTTCGTTATGAAACCAAAGATCGAATCTCAAAAGGATTTTGCAGATAGGAACATTTTTCGTTCCTTTTCGAATAGTTAACATAAGGTCAAGGTTCAAATGCAACCAGAATACATTTTTATATTTTGCATTGAATAAAAATTGTATTTTAATATTGTAATTAAAATATGTATATCAAAATATGGCTTTGAAATTATTTTAAAATACATATATCCCCAACTTGTTTAGCGATTATTTGTTTTTTTTATGTGTACGACGTTGCTTTATCAGCCCTTTTGCGCTCCACTTTTCGTCAATAATTCATTGATAAGCATAATCCATGCCTCCCTTCTCCCTTCTTTATCTGCTTGCCCCTTTTGCTTCACTTTTCGGTGTTATCCGCATCCACTTCACACATGCTCTCGCCCTCCCCCATTGTTTTCCTCTCTTTCCCCCTTGAGGATCGGCACTAGAAAAGTTTGTTTTTGTTGCAGTTACGCATACTCACACTCCCACTTCCACCCCCTTTCTCGCGCCCTCTCTCTCTCTCACGCTCTTTCGCATTCCCTTAGCACACAGTGGAACGTTTATAAGATGAACCATCATCGCGCCAAAGAAAATTCTAATTATAGGGGGTTCTTCAGAGAAATTACATTTGTAAACATATATATTTTCATGTTTTCATTACGCTTTTCTTGATCATTTTCAAGCGACTCTATATAAATGTAAGAATATTTTATCTTCTCTTTAAAATATTAAACCTTTTTTAATGGTATGGTAATATTATGTGTAGTGAAATGTTATGAGCATGTTTACCCAATCAGTGTTTCTAAAAATTCGCGTTAGGCAGGTTCGACTGTAGCTGTGTTTATCGCTTACCCGTTTTGGTTGTTGCTGTTGTTGTTGCTGCCTGTTGACGTTTGCTGACTAATAACAATGAAATCTTTGCATAACGGCAAACACGGGCACTACACGACAAAAAAAAAGAATAACTACAAATACTACAACACAACACGCGAGTCTGTTTGCGCTCCGTCTCTTTTTGTCCGCCCGTAAGCTGCAAATTAAAAACCGAAAAACCGACACAAAAAGAATTCAATTCGCTTTTGTTATTGTTGCTCGTTTTCGTGTCGTTTGCTTTGCATTTTAGCGATTACGTCAAGATTTTTGTTATTTTACTGATTTGTATTTGATTACGCGCTCATAAACATACACACATACGTACGTACGTATGTATACAGCAGAGCTATAATTATAAGCACACTTGCACTGAAAAAAAAAGCGGCGATGCTCTTTGTGATGTTGCCTTCTTTTGTTTTTGGCGCTCAAAATTCGCTGCTTTTGAATCGTCACCTTTGCTGTTGTTGCTGTCGCCGCCTCTGTTGCTCTTTGTTTTTGTTTTTCCGTTGTTCTTCTTTTGCCGCCTCTATGCTCGTGTGTGCGTGTGTGTGTGTTTTGGGAAGGCCGTCTGTTCTCTACGTAGCTCTAAAAAGCACTGATGATGACTGACTAACCAGCGGCGACGCCGGCAGCGCTGCCACAGCTGAGCGAGCATATGATTTGGAGCTTCCTCTCTCGCCCGCGCCCGCTCTTCCCTTCCCATTCCTCTTCCTCGCCCACCCCCTGCCCATCTATTGTTTCGTAATTGGCCGTTACTCCGTTGGAATAACTTCTTGAGCGGCAACAACAACGGTGGCACAAGCAACAACAAAGAGAGCAGAGCGCCACGTCAAAGTCGACGTCGTTGTTCTTACTCACCTTTACCTCACACACTCACCCACACACGCACACACGTCGCCGTGCATGCATAAATATTTTTAAATAGCAATGGCGAGAGCGAGATAGCTGCTGACGTTATCGCCTTAGCGCACAGTTATGGCGTAGCAGAGCTTGCTTGCCGACTCGCTTGCGCACACGCAGTGGCAGCTATTGCCCTCTCTGTCGCGTAAGCGTTCCCAGTGCTGCATACTTTTCGGTGCCAGTTTCCATGACGATTCACTCGGAGAGAATGAGAAGGAGAGACAGGAAGAGCAGGAAATGGGAGAAATGGCAGTCCATCGATGCGGATTCAAATGCTACTTCAGTTCCACAGCTATCTGTTGTCGCCATCTGCCTTCTCTATCGCTCGGCCGCTTCGATTCTATTGGAAATTGTCGAATTTCCATTGAGCGGCCGGCAGCCTTCCATTAAGGAATGGCTCTGCCCGATCTCTGCCGCCACACGCACAGTGTTGCTCATTCATGAACCGCTCAGTGCAATTTACACACACACAAATGAAAAACAAAATGTAATTGTGTTGGTTGCCGAGCGGTGTTGTAGATACATTTGATGTATCTTTACTGACAATGCAGAACACTGTACTTCAAGCAAATAAGAAAGCATAAAAAAAGATCAGTGGAACCGAAATTATTTATTTTTCAGATGGAATTAAGCCAACAGATTTTTGGAAACTTTTGGCTTACCTTCCATAGCTTGTTTGCTCTTACTTCTGCACTCAGGTAGATTTTTTGTTTGCTACAAATTCGGTGTTGCAATGTTCGACTTTCCATATTTGCATTTCCGATTGGTATATACATAGAAGCCTTGTTTTATTTGTTTTTATTTGGGTTTTTTCATTTATTTCAAACTGATTCTGTAGCAACTTTGAGCAGGATAGGAAATGGTAATGTAGCCTTTAAATAAGGGTAAAATAAAGTATAGAAAATTAGGTTGAGTTGATAATAGTTAATGATAGCCCCCTCTTCTGTTATTTCAGCCACCTCTGCAGATAGGCGCGTGCCAAACTTTGGCTTAATTCAGAATCCCAGATTTTATCCCTCGTTGTCAGGGTCAAGTCACGCCTTCGAATGATTTTCCTTAAGCAGTATTTGCCCCCCATTTCCTATCCCCTTTTTGTGGGTCATGGCTTCGGGCCAACGGGGATAAGATTTCACTTTGCCAACGCTGCGAATGCGTAATGTTTACCTTTTTCGCTAACCCCCAGCCCAATTTCACTTCTTTTTTCGTTATCTGTGTGTATTTGTATCCACCCATCCAGCCCCGCCCACTTTCGCAGGCTTGAGGGGCGAAAGTTTTCGTTTTCGTTGTCGCGTGTGGCTCACATGGCGTATGCGTTACGTGGGGCAGACCACATCGAGTATACGCCGCGTTGCCTGCCCGTGACAGGCGAAATCCACTCAAAAGCGCCGCTCACCTGTTCCCGCGCAGCATTTAATATGAATTGAAACTGTGATCTGCTTGTGGCATTTATTTAATGGGAACGAAGACTGCTCGGAGGCGCGTTAAGCGAATTGCTAACCGTACCAAAAAAACCCCTTTATTAACCCACGAAGAATATTTACCGAAAATTGCAAATTTAAATTTCATATTTGGTGGGCTTAGGTTAATTGGAGTTTAAGAAAATTAAAATGGAAATGCAATTTAATTTACCTCTTTTACATTTGCTACTCAAATAAATGTGAATTAAAAAACTAATAATACCTAACGAATATTGCAAAATAAATCTAGTAATTATTGGCTTCTAGATAAATGGAAAATTCAAGAAATTTAATTGGAAATCAAATTAAATTCGTTTACCCTTTTTACAATTGATTCTCACATTTCAATTGTAATAATTGTGAATTTAAAAAGTTTTTCTTTTGTAATACCAAATATTGCCAAATAAAATCTAATATTTGATGGGATTTAGATAAATTTGGAATTTGAAGAAACTAAATTGGAAATCCAATTAAATCTGTTTACCCCTTTTACATTTGATACTCGCATTACAGTCTAAATAATTGCGAATTTACAGAGTTTTTCTTCTGCCTACCCAAAATGCATTTAAATATTTCTAATGCGCCATTTGCGGTTCACATTACATCACCTAATTGATTTAATTCCCTTGGCTGCTTGCACAAAAAAGTTAGATAACTAAATATGCACAGAACATGTTGTTTAATTATTTTAGCAGCCACGCAAGTGCACAAACGCTCTCTGCTTTCGCATTTTTTTTTTGTAATTTATCTTTTTTCCCGAGAATAATTCACAAATTAGTTTTGGCGAAAGTTTCCATGCCGGGGGCTAAATATAGCGGCACCGTCGTGGGGTTAAGAGCGCTGGGCGAGCGTGGGCATCAATGACGCAGGCAACAGGCAGGAAGCAAGTCCCAGTATAAATGGCAAGGGGGGAAAACAAAGGAAAGCGGAAAATCGAAACGTCACCAGACACAAGCCCATCAACAAGCTGAAGGTGTATTTGCGGGCCAAGCCTCCGCCGCCGCCTTTTCCGCTTCCATTTCCATTTGCCGGGAAAAGCGGAAAAAGGACGCAGACAAAGCGGTTTATGCGTGGGTCGCCCTGTCCGCGTTGATTGACAGCTCTGCCTCAATCTGTCTCTCTCTCGCCCCTTTCGCCATTGTTTTGCTTCGCACAGATAAAAAAACCCACACGCCATAATAGCCCTTTACAAATACCAGGAAAATCATCTTTATCGGGAACTGAAAGGTTTTTAAACAGCACTTTCAGCGCCCGGGGCCAGCGACTATACGAATTTCTGAGGAATTAAATGGGTAGCATTGAAAAAATACGTTGGCATCATTAAGTTCTACTGTCGAGCAGACAAAGGGGTTATTAACCTATTTTTTGAAAAGGTTTTCAAATGCATTGCCATAAAATGTTATCAAAAATTAAAATCAGTTTAAAAGAGGAACTAAATGCAACACAACACAAAAAAGTTGGATGGTAAAAATAAGTTCATTGTTCTATTGTCGTGCTTAGAGAAGGGGCTACATAATCTTTTATCTATTTTTTAGAAGGCTTTCGAATTTAAAGTTCCACTGAATTTAATCTGAATAAAACAAATAAAACGAATATTTCCAAGTTAATAAAGTATACGGTAGCGACACTAAAGTAAAAGTATACCAAGAAAAAAGGAATAAATCCCTCTTATAGACATCTATCAAATATATTTAAAGCGTTAATCGGGAAATTATTTAACTTTAAAGTTTTAGAGGTGGCTAAAAGTATACTTCGATATATGCAAATGCTGTGGATAATTACCGAAAGTGGATGGGACTTACATTTGTAGCATACTTTTGGGCAGCATATTAAGATATTTTCTCAGCGTGCATCTACAATAATGGCTTACTGCTGTGAAGATAAAGTTAGAATCTTATAGTTCAACTAAATCACGGCATAAACCTGCTGGCTGTTCCGCCCAACCGCTTAGATAAACACGCCCACCCACCCAAACACACACACACACACACGGGTGTAGTGCAAAAATTGAGTTGACGCCTGGCAAGCAAACTTAAGCTGTCATCCACATGCCTGGAAAAGCGACGGAAAAGCGAAGGAAAAGCGTTGGAAAAGCGCGGGGAAAGCACACATGCGACGGTGGGGTGATGGGCTCCATGAGGTCGGTTGGTGTCATGTTTACTCGCCGTTGCCACGCGACAACTTGTTGCACGTCCTGGCCCCAATTCACTTCCTCCTTCAGCGATCCTTCGAGCGACAGAAGGAAGCTCTAAGGAAGTCGCAAAGGAAGGGGAAAACAGAAATGGGAAGCCAACATTCAGAAATGAATCCACAAAGAGCCTGGTGCCCCGCTCGTTACTCTAAACACTATCGAACAGCCACGTAAAATTATCTTTTTGAGCGAAGAATATATACCAACAGGTTGTCAACAAGTTGGTACCTTTCTTTTTAATCCGATAAGCCCTTGTTTGCGAGATATTCACCAAAAAGTGGGTTATTATTAGAAAGATATTTATTGTGCGACTTGTTAGGCGGTATTAGGGTAAAAGCCTTTTCTGCTGAAGGCTTAAGGGATTTGCAAGCCACTTGGAAATATGTCTATAAGTGGGCAATTATTGGCATTTATAGACTTACCCCTAAAGAAAACAAGCTCTCTGGAGAGCACCCCTTTATAAAGGATATAAGATTACTTTGTATATTACCCAACACAGAGAAAATTCTGACATTCTCATGTGGGTTGTATATGTTCTTGAAAATAGGACGACATTTTTAAGTTGAAAATGTTTTTATTTTGCTCGAGTCAAGTTGAATTGGCGGTATTTAAGCACGTTGTATGTACAAATAAACTATTAGTTCAGTCCTTAGTGTTTACTTATCAAAAAGTTGTTAAATAAACTCAATTTAACTTTTGTCTTCTCACCATTTCGTTATTATATTGATACCAAAATGTATTTACACGGTTTTTAAGAACGAATGTTCCCAATTCAAGAACAATGTTCTCAATTCAAGAACAATGTTCTCAATTCAAGAACAATGTTCTCAATTCAAGAACAATGTTCTCAATTTAAGAACAATGTTCTCAATTTAAGAACAATGTTCTCAATTCAAGAAAAATGTTCTCAATTCAAGAACAATGTTCTCAATTCAGGAACAATGTTCTTGAATACTTCTCTCTATGTGTTATTACTTTACTTTTCATCGAAATCGTCCTGCCCCCTGGGACGATTCAAGAACAATGTTCTCAATTCAAGAACAATGTTCTCAATTCAAGAACAATGTTCTCAATTCAAGAACAATGTTCTCAATTCAAGAACAATGTTCTCAGTTCAAGAACAATGTTCTCAATTCAAGAACAATGTTCTCAGTTCAAGAACAATGTTCTCAATTCAAGAACAATGTTCTCAATTCAAGAACAATGTTCTCAATTAAAGAACAATGTTCTCAATTCAAGAACAATGTTCTCAATTCAAGAACAGTGTTCTCAATTCGCGAACAATGTTCTTGGATACTTTTCTCTGTGTATTATTACTTTATTTTTCATCGAAATCGTCTTACCCCCCGGGGAAGTGTATCCACCAGGAAGGAAAAGTGGCCACGGAATATCAACGAGCACAGCCCAATCTCTTAATGATTTTAATTAACAAAGTTTACCCCGTCACATGCTCACGAACTTGACCAGCTTGCGGCCGCTCCGCCGGAGTAGCACCTTGCCCAAGGGCTGGCCGAAGCCCTCGAACTGCTGATAGACATGCAGGCCCCGCACCACAGTCGCATGCACCACGCCCCTCAACCTCTGACCCGCGTACGGGGTGGCCTTGGTGGCCGTGTAGAGCAGCTCCGGCCCCACGGTGAACTCCTCTTCGGGACTCCACACACAGAAGTCGGCGTCGTAGCCCTCGGCAATGCGGCCCTTCGAGGCGGACAGCCCGCACAGCTTCGCCGGCTCCTGGCACATCAGCCGGTGGATGTCGGCCACAGTCAAGGTGGATCCTGGAAAATAGGAAAATATGCATGAGTCAATAGGCCAGGGGCTAAAGGGTGGGAAAGGCGTTTGTTTCCGGTTTCTTAGTGGCTGAAATCTAGCTCAGATTTGCGGTCTCCTCACTTCTACATCTTTCACTGTCGTCGCCAGCGCGATTATTGCCCTTATTCTTGCCCTTTTATCTATATAGATGATACATTTGCAGGTGTCTTTAATCAAACCTGCACGAATTGTTGTTTTAAAGAATTTAAGAGTTCAATCTCTAGGAAAAACCTTGCTAATGTATCTTGCAGATAAATGCTTTTGCTATTCTTAAGATTTAAATTATAGCAAATAAATTAACTTTAGTCATTTACTTAATGGTCTTACTTTAACCCTACTTATATGTGGCCTTAATCAAAGCTGCACAAATTGTCATTTAAAAGAATTTAAGAGTTCAATCTCCAAGAAAAACCTTGCTAACGTATCTTGCAGATAAATGCATTACGCATTCGTAAGCTTAAATCTATTGAAAATAAATTTACATTAGTTATTTAATTAAAGGTTTGAGGATTTAGATTCTAAAAAATAAATGTATTTTAGTCCTTTAATTACAGGTCTTAATTTATATGTGTCTTTATTCAAAGCTACGCAAATTGCCATTTAAAATAATTTAAGAGTTCAATCTCCAAGAAAATGGTATTTTGCTGTTAAATGCTTTTGGCATTCTTAAGATTTAAATTAAAGAAATTACATTTACCTAAGTCATTTATTTAAAGGTCTTATTTCACCCATTTATATAAACAGATGATATATTTATGTGTGGCTTTAATCAAAGCTGCACGAATTGTCATTTAAATGAATTTAAGAGTTCAATCTCCAAGAAAAACCTTGCTTACTTATCTTGCAGATGAATGCTTTTGGCTTTTTTAAATTTAAATGATAGAAAACAAATATATTTTAGACATTTAATTAAAGATCTTACGTTACATGTGTCTTAAATCAAAGCTACACGAATTGCCATTTAAAAGAATTTAAGAGTTCAATCTTTAAGAAAAACGTATTTTGCAGCTAAATGCTTTTGGCATTCTTAAGATTTAAATTATTGAAATTACATTTACTTTAGTTATTTAATAAAATGCATTAAGATTTAAATTATAGAAAATAAAAATATATGAGTCGTTTAATTGCGGGTCTTACTTTAAATGTGTCTTTAATCAAAGCTACATGAATTGCCATTCAAGAGTTCAATCTCCAAGAAAAACATATCTTGCAGTTGAATGCTTTTGGTATTCTTAAAATTTATATTGTAGAAAATACATTTATTTTAGTCATTGGATTTTTCTTTTCAAGGAATTTAGGAGTTAAGTCCCAGGGAAAACGTAAATTGCAGATAAATGCACCTGGCATTCTTAAGATTTAAATTAAAGAAAATGAATTTCTGTTTCGTGATGATTAATTCAAACCTACGGCGACTTTAGGGGATTCATTACAATGATGATAAGCTTCTATAAATAAACAAATAAAAACTAAGTTGTGGAAATCAACAGAGATAGAAGGCGGCGTTTTGTTTGTTTCCTATTTCCAATTAGAACTTATAAAGAACACGCCTTTCGTGGGAATAAATTCATTTAAAATAGAACAGAGCTCCCTGGAAAACTGGACAAACACTCGTGTGCAGCATTGTGGATGCCTGCGTGGGTTCCCAGAAGTGAGTGGGGGCCCTAGCTGCTTCTGATTTTATACAAATATAAGCCCCTAACAGCTGCAGCACACGCTGCGTATACTTGATATTTGCTATCCACTGGCCGGCAATTAGTGTTAATGAGGGGGTGCTCCCTGGCTTACCCCGCTGATTGGCTGCCGTCCAGACGACGGGCAGGCTGAGCTGCACTGAGTTGATGCCCGGCCAGGCGTTCAGGAAGTTGCCACGCCCCCTGCCGCAGGTGAGGGCGCGTGCGCCTGGCGTTGCCGGCGAGTGATCGCTTCCAATCATCCGGATGGCTCCGCCCAGCCGGAGAGCCGGCCACAGGTGCTCCTGGTTGCGGCGCTCCCGAATCGGTGGCCATGTCTTGAACTCCGTCCCGCACTCGGGCACCTCCTCGGCCGCCAGGGCCAGATAGTGCGGGCAGGTGTCCAGCGAGAGGTTCCCGCCCTGCCGGCGGCACTCCTCCACCAGCGGCAGACATTGGCCGCTGCTCGCATTCAGGATGTGGATGCAGCGCCCCGGGTGGCGCCGGGCCAGCCGGCAGAGCAGCTGCGTCGCCGAAATCTCCATGTCGGCTGGTCGGGTGGCCAGGAAAGTGCCGTACTCCCGCGGCGCCTCCTCGTCGGCATGGATTTCGGTGGTCAGGGGCAGCTCGGCGTGAACCTGTTGCAAATGAAGAGGCACTTAAATAAGAAATTTCTTTCGAGTCACAAACAAAAGCTGGAATGTTTGGATTCACCATGCAGATTCTTGGGGTTCCTACGCAGCGCAAGTTTATTTTAGCCGAGTGCTACGACCACATACTAAAGTGTGGTACACAATTTACTATTTAACACAACCTTAAGGGGCATAAACTGCTTAATTTTAAAATAAATGAATAAATCGGCATAGATTTCGGTGGTCAGAGCAGCTCGGCGTGAACCTGTTGCAAATGAAGAGGCACTTAAATAAGAAATTTCTTTCGAGTCACAAACAAAAGCTGGAATGTTTGGATTCACCATGCAGATTCTTGTGGTTCCTACGCAGCGCAAGATTATTTTAGCCGAAGGCTACGACCACATACTAAAGTGTGGTACACTATTTACTATTTAACACAACCTTAAGGAGCATAAACTGCTTAATTTTAAAATAAATGAATAAATCGGCATAGATTTCGGTGGTCAGGTTCAGCTCGCCGTGAACCTGTTGCAAATGAAGAGGCACTTAAATAAGAAATTTCTTTCGAGTCACAAACAAAAGCTGGAATGTTTGGATTCACCATGCAGATTCTTGGGGTTCCTACGCAGCGCAAGTTTATTTTAGCCGAGTGCTACGACCACATACAAAAGTGTGCTGGCAATATTCACTATTTAACATAACTTTAAGGGGAATAAATGGATTAATTTTAAAATAAATGAATAGACAATAAACAAAATAAATCGGCATGGATTTCGGTGGTCAGGGGCAGCTCGGCGTGAACCTGTTGCAAATGAAGAGGCACTTAAATAAGAAATTTCTTTCGAGTCACAAACAAAAGCTGGAATGTTTGGATTCACCATGCAGATTCTTGGGGTTCCTACGCAGCGCAAGTTTATTTTAGCCGAGTGCTACGACCACATACTAAAGTGTGCTGCCACTATTCACTATTTAACATAACTTTAAGGGGAATAAATTGATTAATTTTAAAATAAATTAATAGACAATAAAAAAAAAAATCGGCGTGAACCTGTTGCAAATGAAGAGGGACTTAAATAAGAAATTTCTTTCGAGTCACAAACAAAATCTGGAATGTTTGGATTCACCATGCAGATTCTTGGGGTTTCTACGCAGCGCAAAATTATTTTAGCCGAAGGCTACGACCACATACAAATGTGTGCTACATTATTTTGTATTTCACATAATTTTAAGGGGCATAAATTGCTTAATTTTTAAGTAAAGAAAACACATTTAACAAAATAAATTTTGTTTTACATTATGATGATGGAAAACTTAAGATGCTACACAAAGAGAATTATTCAAGTACACTGTTCTTGAATTGAGAACATTCGTTCTTAATAAGTACATTTAGTACATTTAGTAGTACTAAGTACATTTTGGTATCAATGTTCTCATGGGAATTAAATGAGTTTATTTAAGAAATGTTTGATAAGTATACACTACTAACTGGACTAATAGTTTATTTGTTGAGACTTGATTTTCAACTTCAAAAATGTTGTTCTATTTTTAAGAACATTTTCAACTCAGATGAGAACGTCAGAATTTTCTCTGTGTATACAAAACCAAAAACATAAAGTTTGGCTTTATTTTTTCGATATTTCAATAATCATTGGCGCCGCATCCACCGAAAGTTTAAATTTTTAACAGGTAACAGACCTTAAACGACTTTATATTTGGTACCGGATGTAATTTTTGTTGTTCTTTCTTTCTGATTATAAATGGTATAATAGAACGGATTATTTTTTTTTTTTAATGAAAAACAGAAAAGTAGGTAAAATTGTTTGACTTTGGTTTGGATTCCCTATATCTCATAAAAATCCAATAAATGATGTAAATTTATGTATATATACATATTTATTTTATAAAAAGGTTTAATATGTTAAGAAGCTATCACAAAAACTGTAGCTTTCTAAAATATACAGCGTAAGTATATAATATTCAGCTGGCCGGAGTTATCTTCCATTTGCATTTCGCTACCTCTGGCACTTAAAGTACTTTACTCACCGCTATGAGAGCTTCGCCTTCCTCCTGATCCTTGTCTAGTCGGCAAAGGGCCTCCTCCAACTGAGCTTCGTTTACGGCGGGAAATTCCTGGGATACGGGCGAAGCGGAACCGCATAGAGTGCACTGCAGACCCATGACACCGGCGGCCAACAGGGGAGCCAGCTGATCCCCGTTTCCGGGAACGAGGCCGCCCCAGAAACCCACGTCCACGTAGATCTTACCCCGGGCCGTCGACGTCTTTGCCTTGAGACCCGCCACACTCACTGTGGGCGGTGTGGCATTGGTGGGTCGGTCGATGATGGTGGTGAAGCCCCCGGCCGCCGCCGCCTTTGTGGCCGTCACGAAACCCTCCCAGTCCTTTCGACCCGGCTCGTTGATGTGCACATTGGGATCAATTAGACCCGGCATCAGTACCAGGTCACCAAAATCGAAAACCGATTCCGACTCTGTGTTGTACAGATAGGTGTTGACCTCCTGCGGGGAACATAGCACTAAGTAGGGGGAATCCGAAATATCATCTATATCACGTGGTGAATGGGACAGACTTACCCTTCCGGATAATACCCTCCGTGTCCACAATAATACCGCCATGGATCAGGGAGTTTTGGCTGCCATCGCCCAGGAAAATTCGCCGGCTGAGGAACAACAGATCCATTCTAAAGTCACCTGTCTACTGAGCGAGTTTCTTCTTCAGCTTTCTAGTCTACATATTATTCTATTTTCGGAGATCAGGAGAGTGCTTTCTGTTAAAGAGAGAGCGATTCTTATAAGAATACCCCTGTATTCGCTTGGGTAGTTCAGGCAGAGATCTTATATGTACTATGTATTATACTGAAGAAATAATATTGAGGGGTCACTGAAAAATTGAATAGGAGATTAAGGGGAAAACATAGATGGCACTACTAAGTTATAACTTTTATGGTGATATGATGAAGGGGCAATTTTTAACTAATATTATTTGGCTGGGAAACAATCTTATATATAATTTAAAAACGAAAGGCAATCTATTGCTAAAACAAAAAAATCCTAGAAATCTAAGCAATTAAAAAATATATACAAAGAATATTCTTATAATTTAAACTCAAAAATATTTGTAACAAACTATTATCAAACTATTACACTATTTTAATTTGTATAGTTAAATATACTTCTTTGCTGGCCAAGCTAATAGTAAAAACAATTGTTTAATTTTAAAAGTATGTGATACCAGGGTAATTTAGGATTGAAAGCTAATTAGAAAAAGGGTTATTAAAAAGAATGCTACAAGATATGTTATCCAAACTGCCCCAACCCATTCTTGGTCCCTTATACAGCTGCGGCAACAAAAATAGCACCAGTGTGTAGGCAATTCTTCTTTGTGCTACAGAATGGTAATTTTTTGCAATATTTTTATTCTGTTTGTAAGGGTAAGTAGGGTTACATATCTATTAACTAAAATAAAAGTGGTTACGCCCACAATGCGGATGGTTTTTAAAATTTCGATACATTTATCAAAAAAGTAGCAAAGTTATGCGGCAACAAAAATAGCACCACTTAAATAAAAAACTTAAAAAACTTAAAAATAACGCGATTTGAAAATTTTTTTTGATTGAAATGTATGATTTCATACACCTTAAGGTAAAAAAATATTGTTCTAAAGCTTGGGCTGCAACAACAACAACAACAACGACCGACCTTGACGTCACTAGACACCAGAATCTTCCCTTGGCAAAATTGTTGTCTGGCTCTTTCAAAATAGCTCGAGGGCAGTTTTTTTTCTTCGGTTTTGCATTAAAAACATAGTTTTTAACATTTCTGCAAAGATTTTCGATGTGTTTTAGTTCTGGGGCTTGTAAGGTCCCCATTATACCATTTAGCTTAAGGGTTTTAAAACTTTGTACGACTTTCTGACTGATTTTTTTTGGGTTATAACCGTGGTAAAGCTTCGGAAATAAATTAGTTTTGTATTACGAATAAAATTGCATCACAATTTCTGAGCTATCAAGGTGAACATGTTGATCCTGTATGGGTTTACATTATGATATGGTACCAACATTATAGTACGAGAATATGCCCATACCATTATACTTGCTTCACCATTATTATTCTTTGCAAATGTGAAATGGGGACTCAATTTTGGATATGTAGGTTACCCATCAGGTAATTTAAAGTCTTTTTCATCTAAACATGAGCAATTTTCAGCCGCCAGACCATATAAGAGTGTTCCTTTTATTGTGGGCCTTATTTAAAACTCGCCCTTCAAATTCACCCATGCTCTGCAGTCTAGGGAGATTTTTTTTTTGGACGTCAAGCGCATAATTGATTTTTATGTACATTATATCCAACTTTTTATGTACTTACAAATATTAAAAAAAAAAAAGCGACTTGATAGGCGCCTAAAACGGGACCTACTTGCATTCATGCAAATTACTTTTTAACAGTTATGGGGTCATTGCGGCTTTCGTACTGCGTGCTATTCTTTTGTGTTCTTGTTTTAGGTAACTACTAATCATTATTTTAAAGAATTCAACGATTCAACTTAAGTTATCTTTTGCATTGCCTTTATAAATTAGCTTTTTAAATGTCCTTCTATCTGTATCATTACAGCGCGCTAAATGACCCATTGGGAACACTATTTTATGCATTATTTTACCAATTCACTTAGTAGTACTTATTCTTAATACAACAAAACGAAAAACAGCCAACAAATCTGAGCAAATGAAGTTTTATACCCAAAAACCGTTAATAGTGCTATTTTTGTTGCCGCATAATTATGCTACACAGAGAAAATTATGACGTTCAGAAATTGAGAATTTGTATTCTCATTTTGAGGATGTACTCAATTTAAGTACAAAATTTGTGGAAAAAGCTCATGTTGAGAAAATTTTCACTCATTTTAAGAAAAATAACTTGAATTGATCACAAAATTCTAAGTTTGAGGAAATGTGTTCTTCAATTTCAAACTTGAGAATTAATATTCTCATTATGAGTAATCGATAGACTCAAAAATGAGTTGATAATTCTCATAATTGGTTCTAGAGAATTCCGTTCTGCGAACGAGACGAGAGATGAGCGGCCTTTAGTTCGTTGCGTATATGGTTGTCTCTTTCTCACTAGTGGGTGTGTAAAGTGGTACGCGCCGCATTTGTGTGACTGTCATTTGCCGTGTGATTTAGCAAAGTGAAGACGTGCGCGTAACTCAAAGCTAAAAAACTATTTTAGTGAATTGGACATTCGTACGACCCTTCCGTACCTCGAGGGTAAGTTTTTTAATTTAAACTGTATTTATAATGTGCTAAACAATGATACAGTAACCAAACACTGCAAAAATATTGCCAAAGCGTGTACATTAATATGTTTGTATGTGTGATTGTAAGTGGCGTGATGCAGTCTAGTTTAGTTAGTTTATACGTACATTGTACATACATACATACACATATAATTAAATATAATATTAAATGTACATACATTTAATAACATTTAATAAAATTCTAATTTTATTGTTTCATATATATGCATATATATTTACAATATTTGCTAACAATAACGTTTTCTATTTCAGCCTCTTTGCTCTTCGCTAGACCAGACAGCTAAGGGAAAAAATAATAACCTAGAACACGGAACATGTATATATATAACTGTATTACAAAATAAAATAAAAAAAAATATTTTACCCTTTTTTCTGGGAAAGGGTGGCGCGGGTTTAAGTGCAAAAGTTCTTCATTTGAGAATTTAGAAGTTCACTATCAAGAACTTGTTTCTCATTTTGAGCGCTGGAAATTTCTCAGTATGAGAAAAGGGGATACTCGTTTCCAAAATTCAAGCTAAATTATTTCTTAAAATGAGTGCAGTTTGTACTCATATTGAGGAAAATTGTTCAAGGAAGAGCACAAATGTACTCAGTTTAAGTACAAAATTTTTGAGAAATTTGTACTGAAAGTGAGTTTTTTGCACTCAATGTGAGAATTTTTGTTCATGCTGAATTTTTGAGTACAAAAATACTCAATTTGAGTGCAAATTACTTAAATAATTCTCTCTGTGTACTTTTTTCATAAATCTATCGAAGTTTTAAAAACCATTCGCATTACGCCCACAACCATTTTTACTTTAGTTAAACGATATGTAAACCTACTTACCCTTACACACAGAAGAAAAATATTGCAAAAAATGACCATTTTGTACACAAATAAAAATTGCCCACACTTTGGTGCTATTTTTGTTGCCGCAACTGTATATATCTAAATTTTTCTTTATATTTCTTAATGCTCTCCAGATATGATCCCAAATCCTTTCAGGGCCTAGAGCCTCAAAATTCGGACCTCTCCCGTTGAGTAATTGAATTCGCCATGGAACTTTGGCAGCTCACCTTCTATTTACTCCCCCGCTTTTTGGCTTATTAAAAACTAGAGAAGAAAAACAAAAACGAAAAAACTTTGTTGACCCATAGCGGAAAAGGCCAAAATCTGCTTAATGAAAAGCCAACCCACACACACACTCACACAACACACAGACACTTGTACATGAGTGTGTGCCTTTCCGTTTTGGTGGGTGTAATGTGTGCCCAAGTTTATTAAAGTGCCGTGTTCAACTTTCGAACGATTGCTGTTTTTTGTGCTTGTCGGATTTATTTTGTGTTTGTTTAATTTGTGAAAAATATTTTAATTGGTGGCGCCACCCAGTGGAAGCTTAGCAAACCGAAAAAGAGCCGTTCGGCTAGCGGCAAAAGCAACAGTAAAAACAACAGTAAGGGCAACAGCAACAGCAAAAGCAATACAAAAGGCGCAAGCGAAAGCGAAAACGAAAAAGCAGACGAAAATGAAACCGAAACCAATAACGAGGCGCAACGAGACGCATACATACACGCCAAACTGCCTCCGTCTGCGTGTGTGCGCCAGTGTGTGTGCCAGTGTGTGTGTGCCAGTGTGTGCGAGGAGGAGGCAGAGGGAGAGGGCACGAGCGAGTGAGCGGGAAGACGAATGCAGCGGACGAGCCGAGTGCCGAAATAAGAAACGTTCCACTTGTTGTTGCTGCTGCACAGCGAGAAATTTGGGTGAGATATTTGAAAATATCCATAAACCATATTTTGAGTAATACCTTTAACTTTTTATTTGAAAATATCCGTAAAAAGTATTACCTGAAATATGGTTTAACAAATTCGGATATTTTCAAATATCTAACCCAAATATTTTTTACTTAAAATATAGTTTAAAAAATTCGGATATTTTCAAATATCCAACCCAAATACTTTTTACTTAATATATGGTTTAAAAAATTCGGATACTAGTTAAATGCGAATGACGAAACATAATGAGAATAATTTCATAGCTAGTCTGAATGTCAGTTAAGGGTCCAAAAAATGAAATATATTTCCTTTTAAATTGTTCTTATGGTCCACACATAAAATTTTGGTGTTATATTTTCAAAAATGGGTAGAGTGATTAGAAAAAGGCACACCGATCGTTTAGTTTAACCTGCAGTTTGATTTTAGACAAATTCTAGCCATAAATAGTTCTCAATTTCTTTTTAAAACACCACTTGTACATTTTAGTTAGTTGAAACGAATCTATCCCACTAACTTATCTAATCGTTTAATATAAAATTCATAAAAATTCATTAAAAAATACTCATACGACATATATGCCAGGCAGAACTTTTTCGAAAAATCATTTTCTCCTCTTCATC